CTACTTCCATTTGATTTAAATCTTTATTCTTACTTCATGTGGTGCAAAATTGTCAACTTTGTTGCTTTTTGAAAAGAACCAACACTTTGTTTCATTGAAGAACCAACATTTTGTTTCATTGATAGCACGTATGTTTTTTTATTCTCTATCTCTGCTCTGATCTTTATTTCCTTCATTCTGATAGCTTTAGTTCATTCTTTTTCTAGTTCCTTAAATTGTGAAGTTCCATTGTTCATCTGACACTTTTAATTTTAATGTAAGCATTTATAGCTAATGATTGCCCAGTTAACATCACTTTCACTGTGTCCCCACACATTTAGATGTCTTTTCATTTTCATTCATCTTTAATTTCCCGTGGTTTCTTCTTTCATCCATTAATTGTGCTGTTACATTTCCAGATTTGAATTTGTTGGTTTCTAAATTCATCCCATTATGTTTATAGAAGATACTGTATGATAGCTGTTTCTAAATCTACCAAGACTTACTTTGACACCTAGTGGTCCATCCTGTGAAATGTCCCATGTGCACTTGAAAATAATGTGTATGCTGTTGAGTCTAGTTCTACATGCTTGTTAGATGTAGTTCATGTATTGTAAGTCTTCTATTTCCTTATCTTCTGTCTGGTTTTTTGTATCCATTATTCTGAAGTCCCCAATTGTTATTTCAGAACTACTTCTGCCTTCCACTCTGTCAGTTTTTCTTAATATTTGATGGTTCAGGATTAAGTGCCTAAATGTTTATGTAATTGTATTTTGTTTTATTGAAACTTTTATTAGTATATAATGCCCTCCCTTCTCTCATGTAACCTTTTTTATTTCAAGTCACTGTTGTCTAATATTAATGTAGCCAACTATGGTATCTTTTGGTTCATGGAATCTCTTTTTACATCCTTTCCCTTTCTAACAATTTATGCCTTTGAATCGAAAATGAATCTCTTGTAGACAGCATATAGTGTTCTTTATCCATTCTGTTGACCAGTCTTTTCATTGGTGAGTTTAATCCACTTACATCTAAAATAATTACTGATAAGGATTTCTGTCATTTTGCTATTTCTTTTCTATATAGTTTTGTTCATTTCTCGCATTACATTGTTTTTGGTAAACAGTTTAATTCCTTTCTCATTCTTTTATATACTTCCTTTTATATATGCTATAGTTATTTTCTTTGTTGTTACTATGGGGATTACATTTAGTATCCTAAAGTCATACCATTCAAATCTGGATTTATACTTACTTAATTTGAATAACACAAAAACTCTGCTTCTTTAATAGCTATGTCCCCAACCCTTTTGGTTGTTGACATATTTATTTATATATTATGTGCCTGGAAGATAAACAAAGTAATTCGTTTAAATGCTTTAGTTTTTTTAAATTATGTAGAAAACAAAATGTGGGGTTACAATAATACTTTTTAAAAATACATTAGTTTTGCCCTGGCTGGTTTGGCTCCGCGGTTAGAGCGTCAGCCTGCAGACCAAAGAGTCCCAGGTTCAATTCTGGCCAAGGGCATGTACCTCGGTTGTGATTTGGCCCTGGCCCTCATTAGAGTCATGTGGGTGGCAACCAGTCAATGTCTCTCTCTCTCACATTGATGTTTCTCTCTCTCTCTCCCTGTCTGCAGATAAAAAGAAAAATATCTTTGGGTGAAGATTAAAAAACACTAGTCTCTTAAATCATACCAAAAAAAAAAAAAAGTTTCAAACTGTTGTTACATTAAAACTAGCTTTCATAATTGTCCATGTATTACCTTTATTGAGATCTATACTCTCCATAGGGCTTCGAGGTCCTGTCTGGTGTTCTGTCATTCCACCTGCAGGGCAGGCCTAGTGCTCACCAACTCCTCAGTTTTTGTCTACTTGGGAATGCCTTAAGTGCTCCCTCACTTTTGAAGGACAATTTTGCTGAATATATGACTCTTGGTTGAAAGGTTTTGGTTTTTTCCCCCTTCTTTTACCACTTTGAATATATCAGCCCACTGACTTCCAAAGTTTCTGATGAGAAAGCTGTTATTGTTATTGAGGATCCCTCATATGTGACTTATTTCTCCTGCCACTTTTGAGGTTCTCTCTCTTTGGCATTTGACAGTCTGATTGTGTCTCTGAGTTCATCTTTCTTTGAGTTCACTGAACTTCCTGGATGTTTCATCAAATGTGAAAAATTTTCAGCCATTATTTCAAATATTCTCTCTACCTCTCTCTCTCTCTGTTCTCCTTCTGGTGCCTGCACAGTGTGTGTGTCAGTCTGTTTGATGGTGTCACACAAGTCCCTGAGGCTCTATTAACGTTTCTTTATTCTTTTTTTTCTGTTCATCAGACTCAATAATTTCCCATTTTATATTTCAGTTTGCTGTTTCTTTCTTGTGCCTACTCAAATCCGACTTTGAATCACTCTAGTGAATATTTCAGTAGTTATTTAATTTTTCAGCTCCAGAATTTCATGGTTTGTTTTCTCTTTAATGCTAGATCCATTTTGTTCATGCATCATTTCTTGACATTCTTTATATTTTTAGTTCTTTGAGCATTTAAACACAATTTTAAAGTTTCTGTATTTAAACCTACCACCAGGTCTTTTTTGGAGACAGTTTCTATTGACTTTTTCTTTTGATTGGGCCATATTTCCTATTTCTTCATATGTCTTATGATTTTTTGTTGTTGACTGGACATATGAATCTAGTAACGTAGCAGCTCTGGCAATCAGAATCTGTCCCTTCCCCAGAGTTTGCTGTTTTATTGTCACACATGTGCATGTGTGTGTTTTCTCAAAGGCTGTCTCTGTGCCCAGGATCAGCAAAACCCCTCCCCACAAAGCCCCTCCCACTTCTGACATCCTCATGTCTTCCATCTTACCAGAAATGCACAAGGACTAGGGTCCCTTTGAGAGGAAGGGTGCTGCAACCCAGGGTCAGTGTAGCCACTCTGGGCTCCTAGCCCAACTTGTTGCCACAGATTCCAGAGGGGGGTCCAGGCACTGCTGTGCCTAAGAACATTCTCAAAAAGTTATTATTTCATTATGGAATAAGAGAAACCTCCAGTGTGTTTCCACCCAAAAAAAAACAGTACAGCTTTGAGCAATACAGAACCCATCTTCAAACCCCTGATCTTGATGGGTATGAGGTTTCCCAAGATGGAGCCAAACCCACAAGACAAATGTTGGTGGCACAGGCTAGGAGGCATGCATGTTACAAATATGCCTTAAGGCCTTGAAGTCCTAAGCTTGTGCACAGGTACACACACATACATGAGCACTCACTTAGGTACACTTGCACACATGCACACATGGGCAGACTTACACACATGGCCAGATTTTGCTGGTTTATATAGATAGAATTTAGGCAAGAAACTGCAGTAAAAAGGCTGATGGGCACGTCTGTCCACAACCCAGGAGCCCTGCCACCACACTCACCCCGTGGCAGCAGGGATCTGGGTGTTCTCTGCAGTGTGGGTGCAAGAGTTGGTGGTCGGCAGAGCAGGCTTCTCAGTGCTTTGGTGCCCAGTATAAATGTCTTTCCAAACATCCTTTTATCTAGCTCTTACACTCCCAGGCCAGTATTTTCTCTGCCCTGTATCATCCCCGGGGCCAGGTACCAGGCAACTAGAACTACCCCTACAGCCCAGAGCCTGCTGAAATTATTCAAACCATCCAATCCTAACCTTGCTCAAACTTGTCCACCCTGCCTCACCAAGTCCTTCCTGGAGAAACCCCAGCACAGGCTCTGGGCCATGTTCCCTCCTCATTCCGTCTGCCTCCCAACCCGCCGTATGCTTCTTGGTGGTCCTGCACGGGGTGGCTCCTCCTCTTGGGAAATGCCAGCACCAAATCCTTCCTTCAAGGCAGTTGTTTCCAAGTCTGTCATCTTCATACACCTGATTAGAACAAACCCCTCACACAGTTTAACAGGTCAGTCAGGAGAGAAGAGGCTGCGTAAGCAACCTGTACTAGGAAACACTCCACACACAGGCTACACACATCCTCAGGGTGGGGGGGATCACACATGTGCTACCCAAACATCAACATGTCTAGAGCTTCTGCAGGGTCTGCTGCGTCCTGTGATGCAGTCCGTTCAGTGGAGCCATTGTGCTGGCAGAGCTGCTTGGTGCTACGTCCCTGCTGGGGCAGCGCACCTGGTCCCAAAGCCTATGGAGGAAGCAGCGCTGGGGGCTTGCCAGCATGGCAGAGGTGACAGCAACACTTCCTTCCTGAAACACTTCACGAAAATGCAAATTACATTCTAAGTTCCCGATTAACCTTAATAGTGTATGGTTATGTAAACTTAGTACCACTTTTAGTGTGTAAAGTTAATGATACTTGGGAGAGGGAGCTGCCCCACCCCAAGGGAATGCACCTCCATGTCAGAATTAGATAATGACGGACTTCCCTGTCCCCACAGCACTGTGCCTTGTGCCTCAACAACACTCACCTGACTCATGTTCTTTCTCTGAAAGGCACATCACAGCCACCTTGCACTTAGGAACACTAGATGCACTTCAGCACCATCCTTGGGGCCATTTTTAAACAATGAAATCACCATCAAAAGACACAAAACATGGAAAATGTGGCACAAAATACACCCTGAAAAGCAGCTGTTTACAGTATGAGAAGAAACAAGAAGGCAGAGCATTGCCTAGTCTGAACCTAACTGGGGATTAGTGCATCGCATGACTCCAATTTTCACTTCTCTGGGCACATCCAGGAATGACCATGAACGTGCCCCAAGTATTGTTCGGAGTTACAAAGAAATTTTAGTGAGTCCTGGCCGGTGTGGCTCAGTGGTTGGGTACCATTCAGTGCACCAAAAGGTTGCCGGTTCGATTCATGGTCAGGGCACATGCCTGAGTTGTGGGCTTGGTCCCCATTAGGGGGCATGCAGGAGGCAGCTGATTAATGTTTCTCTTTCTCCCTCACCTTTTCCCTCTCTCTAAAAATCTTTAAAAAAAAAAAAAACAACTTAAAGAAAGAAATCTTAGTATGGAGGCAAACCTGCCAACATGGAATCTGTAAATAATGAGGATCAACCTTACTGTCATCAATCTACAGGTTTTTACGTACTTTCCACGGTGACAGCGAACAGGGTTGAGAGAACCCTGCAACTCCACTGCGCAGCATACAAAGACTCTCCCGTGAAACACTAGAAATGGCTGTGCTTCTCAAAGCAGAATTCCCAGCAGGTGCAGAGCTGATGCCTCCAACCCTCCCTCCGTAATCCCTTAACAGTCACTTCAGTCCTTTCTGTGACCGCCTCCCTCGGCCTTCAGTTCCTGCTCTGCTTCTGAGAGCTCCCCCTTGTGTCCTGGGGTGAGTTCCTCGCGAAGGGCCCTGCCACCATCCAGTTCGTCTTCACTCACTAACCTCCATGAGTAGTTCTTGGGGGAGAGGTCATCGTCCACACGAGGCTTGGCCTTCTTCTTCCTCCTTTTCATTTGCCTTGTCAGCTCAGCCACGTGCTCTGGTCCTAGCCATGCTGGGCTCTCACCCCTGCCCTCTTTCTCCTTCCTCCTCTTGTACTCCATAACCTGCTTGTTGAGTGCCTCATGATCAATCCCACACAGACTCGAGTGCATGGCAGGGCCCAGGGTGTCACTTGGCGATGGGGCACCTGGGGGCTCAGGGTCCCTGGAGGTGAGAAGCTCAGATGAAACACAAGAACAACCACATGGGAGCTCATGAGCTAGCGCTTCCCCTCCCCACATTTCTGCCGATGACTGTCCGAAGGTACACCTGATGGAGTCGTGGAGGACAAGACAGTGGGGTTGGCTTTGACACCCTCCTACCAGGAACAATCACCAGCGCCCTGGTGCCTGAGTGTGGCACAGGCCATGGCAGTTCAGTGCAATGTCTGCATGGTCATCAGACACATTTTACATTTCTTCCCCATTTACATGTGGCCAGGGTACTAGGATCATTAAACAGGACTTTGGAAGGGTCTTTTAGATCTATTACTTGAGTTACTTGATGAACCTAAGTGAAAGTCTATTCTGAGAGCAAAATGAAAGTATGCTGTCAAAACCAAAATCTGGCTATGTCACAAAGCTAAACCCCACAACACTCCATTCTGGAAGGTTCCATGCCTACAGTTTGGCTCTCCACCTGCCTCTACCCAGGATGGCTCCTCACTGGTCTGGGACACACAGACTCCCTGCAGCTTGAGGCCTCTGCTCCAGCTCAGTGATCCCCATGTACAGCACCCACTGTGTGTCAAGTTGGGTCCTGTGGGTCCCCCAAGATCCTGCCAGGGCCCATGTGAGGCAGATGCAGCTGATCTAGGAGCACAGGCCATGGCTGACCCCTGCCAGACCAGCCCTCTACATATACCCCTCGAATCCCCACCACCCCTTCTGAAGCTCACCCTGCAATGTGACTCACCCATCTACTTATCTGTGATGTTTGTGGCTTCTTGCTGGCCTCCCCCAGTAAAATGCAAACTCCTGAGCCACCACCCTCCATTCAGCTCACAGATGTATGCTGAGTGCTGGAACAGGGCTGGGCCTGAAGTCAGCATGCCATGAAAACACACCGAGCAAATGAGGAGGGAGACACACAGTCCTGACCTAACAAGTCTTTGCAGTGAGCACAGCCGCCAGAGGCCCCGGCACTGCCCAGAGGACCTCCTGACAGCCTCAGTGAGGCATGGGGCACCATCCTCAAGCACCACTGGGGCCTGCTGCAAGCTGAGTGGGGTTGGGCCACAGAGCACATCAAGGGCCAAGCTGCCAACCCGCTGCAGGTGCCATGGAATACGCAACTCCACACCCGTACACCTGCCCAAGGATGACAGATATCCACATGCATCACCTGAAGCCACTTTGTGGAAGGTCTTCTTTTTCATCGGGGGGCCCAAGATCAGCCACTGCCAGTAACCGGTCCACCTGGAAAGGAACAGAGGGCAGCTCAGCAAGCCACACCCTCCTGCTGCGTCAGAGCCCACGCGCTGCGCCCTGCGCCATGCCCCGGGCCTTCGGGTGCCACTTCGCCATTCAACAGCCTGTGATTTCAAACAGCTGTTATTTTAATGATCACATTTTCTTTGATAATGAACAGTTGTTTCTTTTTATTTCTTAGTTTTTAATTTTAATTTTATTTTTTCTTCACCCGAGGATATTTTTACATATATCTTCAAACAGAGTGGAAGAGAGAGAAAGAGAAACATCAATGTGAGAGAAACATATCAATTGGGTGCCACTCGCACAACCCCAACTGAGGCTGGGACGAAATGCAACTGAGGTACGTGCCTTTGGCCGGAATTGAACCTGGGACTCTTTGGTCCGCAGGCCGACACTCTAACTGCTGAGCCAAACCAGCCAGGACGAACAGTTGTTTCAAAAACATTAAAATCTGTAAATGCTAGTCACATTTACGAAAAACCAGTTGGTATTAGTTGAGTTACACAAGTAACATTTACTGTTTATTAAATGCTTGCTCTGCACAGGATTGTGTTTTGGAAAAAGGCCGCCAGCACCAAGCCAGCCCGCTGGGGCAGTACCCCTCCAGCGCCTGCCCAGATAGCCCGTCATCCGCAGCAACAGAAAGCAGTGCCCTCCACTGGCATCGGTAAAACTGACAAATGTGCCAAGAAGCAGAACCAGGAGTTCAATCAGTGCACAGAAACAGGACAGACTGACGAGACTCAAAACAAAGACCAACGGGGACAAAAGGCTCGCAGCACATGTTCTGACGGGGACTTGGTCACACACGACGAGCCACAACCTGACAATCAGCAGAAATAAAAAGCAGCAGGGTTTGAAGACCTTGTAGAAGAAGGGATGACCCCAGACCCTGAGGACATGCACATTTAGCAGACAGGAGGCTTCCTGACAGTGAAATACGCACTCGTAAGCTGACCTAAAGAAACCACACACATCCAAAGATGGTGTACAGCAGCTTCACCCATCACAGCCCCAAATGGACAAGAGGACACTGTCCACCAGCAAGTGGGGTAGAACAATTGCAGTGTGTTCCCACCATGGACACCAATCCCCTATAAAAGAAGCTCTTTACCCATGAAATGCAGGGATGCGCCTCAAAACACAGTGCTGAGCCAGAGGCAAGACAACATCCTGTCAGATTCTATTTATGTGACCTTCCAGAAATATAAGCAGGCCACACTAACCTAGGCGCAAAATCAGGCGGGTGGTAGGGGAGGTAATGACTGTTTGGGGTGGCAGGGTGCAGGGGCTTGTACCAGAGCACATTCACCTGCTCCACTGCTAACACAGGTCTGGGTGTCCACGAGAAACTGCCACCAACACTCTTGAGCACGTCTGGCACACACCCTCCCACTGTCACACTCGGCTTCTGCAAGCTTGACACAGCCTGTATGCTGCACTGCTAGCTGCACCCCCATGGTACCCTACTTTGTTTTTTATTTTTTTATTTTTTAATTCTCATCCAAGGATATTTTTACATTTATCTTCAGACAGAGTGGGAGGAAGGAAGAGAGAGAAAGAGGGAGAGAGAAACATTGATGTGAGAGAAACACATCGACTGGTTGCCACCCACATAACCCCAGCTGGGGCCGAAGCTAACCGCAACGGAGGCGCGCGCACGCACATGCACGCACACACACGCACACACACGCACACACACACACATTTATAGATCTTAATACTTAACTTACAGCTGAAGAAAGGAAAAGAAAAACAATTACCAAAGCTATATTCACAGGACAGAATGCAAACCTTGTAAGCCTTAATGGTGTAAAATAATCACAGGTGGATTGAAACCCAGGAAGTGAGAGGTGGTGGTAAGCTCAGCTTCGACTACCTCCAGTTTGTAACTTGAGAGCTGTAAATCTGGTTCACTAGTTAAGAGTTAGAGACAAGCATTATAAAAAATCTGCCCGGCCGGTGTGGCTCAGTGGTTGAGCGTCGGCCCTGCACCAAGAGGTCACCAGTTTGATTCCCAGTCAGAGCACATGCCCAGGTTGTGGGCCCAATCCCCAGTTGGGGGCATGCAGGAAGCAGCCAATCAATGTTCTCTCTCATGGATGTTTCTCTCTCTCCCTCCCCTTTCTTCTCTCACCGAAATCAACAAAGGAAAAAATAAGTAAATAAATAAAGCCCTGCCAGAGTAGCTCAATTGTTTGGAGCATTGTCCCATACAGCACAAAGTCTTGGGTTCAATCCCTGGTTAGGGCACATACCTAGGTTGCGGGTTCAATTCCTAGTCAGGGTTCGTAGGGAAGGCAACTGATTGATGTTTCTCTCACACTGATGTCTTTTTCTCTCCCCCTTCCCCCCTTCCCTCTAAAATCAATAAAAACATATCCTTGGGTGAGGATTAAAAAAAAAAATTGAGAGCCAGAAAGCAAGGTTACATCTGGTGATCTAGGCTGTGAACGAGCATGGGAGTGTCTTTCCATCTGTACCCTTTCAGGTATCACTTTTGTGAACTGTATGTATTATCTTTTTAGAAGGCTCACCCATGTAAAGGTTCACATCATCAAGTCTATGATTTAAAAGCCTCACCTCAGCTAGAGCTGCATGTTCTTTGTCCTGAACAAACACTATCGGTGGCACGTTCCTCAGAGTCTGCTGGGACATCAAAAGGTGCCTGGAGGGAGACAATGCAGATTAGAGCTGTAGCAGGTGACAGTGACAGGAGAGGTGTGATGGCATCAGAAACAAAAATATGTGATAATGTCACAAAGACATAAATATGGGATTGAAGAGTAGGAAAAAGGGACACTGTTTACCTGATTTTCTACCTACCTAAAAACCAACCAGAAAATAATACTGTTATGTCAATACTTGTTGGAAATCTCTCATTTTCTTTTTTCCGTTCAATGTGAAAATGAATTAACTGACCATCCTGCAGTACACCCCTGTGCAGACCCGTAGGGACCACTGTGACAGGGACAGTGATCACCATGCAGGAGAGCTACAAAGATGACATGAAACACCAGCTCCTTGCACAACTCTGACTTCTCAACATCTGCCCACTTCTCCTGACAACGCAGGATGATATGAGCGGAGAGGTGAGAGCAACAGAGAAAGCAGAAGGAAGCAGGAAGGAGGGATTCCAATTCTGAGTGCTGGTTGGTAGGGTTTCTGGATTTTTTTAAGCCTAAGGAGAAAACTGAATAACTTCTTTACTATCACCCAGCTTAGCAGTTCTCAAAACCTCAGGACCCCTTTATACTCAAAGAATTACTCAAAACCCTAAAGATCTTTTGTTTATGGGGGTTACATCTATCAATATTTGCTATAAATTAAAACTAAGAATTTAAAAAAGATGTATTAATTCATTTAAAGTAAACCCACTGGGCCCTAGCCGGGTAGCTCCGTTGGATGGAGCATCATCCCAGGAAGCCAAGGTTGCAGGTTTGATCTCCAGCCATGGCATACAAGATTCAACCAATGAATGCATAAGGGAATAACAAATAGATGTTTTTCTCTCTCTCTCTAAAAAGCAATAAATTATTGATTACTTAAACCCTCACTAAATGTTTACATAGACATTTTAAATGAAAAGTAACTATTTTCCAAACACAATTATTGGAAAGGGTGGCACAGTATACACAGTTACACGTCTCTTTAACACCCACCTTAATGACAGACAGCTGGATTCTCATGTCTACATCTGCATTCAATCTGTCCTGTTATTTTGGTTGAAATATGAAAAGAAAACCTGGCCTCACATAGATCTATGACTGAAAAATGAGGGCTATCTGAACATCCTTAAGAAAATGTGGCTCTTTTAGATACTAAACAACAACGCGTGGCGGTTTTTTAAAGGTTAGCTGCCACATGGAATCAAAACCAGACCAATGAGCATGTCTCACTGTCACACTGAACTTCCTGGTCTCTCTTGCACTTTGACCTTTTCCAGTGCATGATCTTGTAACCTCATGCACTGGTCACCTGGAAGCACTGGGTCACCAAGTGTGCAGATTTTCAGAAGGCTGACGGACACGTTCACCATACAGGACCATATTTGTTAGCATCACACCAATCTCATCAAGAGGCTGTAAGTACTGGGAAGCTGTCAAACTCATAGCCATAGATATGCTTTCGAAAATTCTGATTTTCACTTGAAAGCCTGAATTTTAGAACTGGTAACAAGTATGGTCAGTTGATTTCCCTGAAGTGACAGGTTCGCTTGGCTCATCTACAGAAAGTGTCTGTCAAATACCCAAACCTGGAAAACCATAGCCGGTTCTCCTGCTCCATCAAGCGGAAGCGTCTGTTTCAGCACAGGCAGCAATCCCCCCAGGGACAGCCACCCACCCCCACACAGCGGAGGTTCCACGCACACTTCCTACCACACACAATACTAAAAAGGGTGTACCCGAGCATCAAAATTTAATGAAATTGGTAGCTTTTGCTTATCCATCAAGGACATTCTCGAGTGAAACTGGTGCTGTTCTACTGTGAGCACGTGGCAGGGAGCTAGTGACCACAGGGCCTCTGGGCCAGCAGTCTTACCCACCGTGGCCTCAGTGCAAATGTCCACACAGTGAGAAAGGCAAACAACATCTCACTGTGACAACAGCTTCAACTTCACGAACCTCCCCTGAATACCTCAGGGTCCCCTAGGGATCCAGGGCCACACTCTGAAAAACACTTACTTAGGTTACTTATATGAAAATGGGAATTATACTCTAAAGTTCAAAACAGTGCTCCCAGCCCTGCCCAGTGGCTCAGTTGGAACGTAGTCCCATACACCGAAGAATTGCAGGTTCAATTCCCAGTCAGGGCACATAGCTAGGTTATAGGAGGCAAGTGCTCAATGTTTCTTTTTCTCTCTTCCTCCTTTCCTCTATCTCTAAACTCAGTTAAAACACACACACACCCCAACATATCCTCGGGTGGGGAAAAAAATGCTTCCAAATTTTCCCTCAAAAGCAAACACACACCATGAAACAGGCCGGGAAAATCCCAGGTGCTGCGAAAGCAAAGCAAAGCGTCCTCACCTCACATGCGCTGCGCTTCTCCGCAGGGCGGCCTGGGTGCGCGTGTTCTGCTCGGCAGAGGCAGTCGTCCTCCAGTACACACGGCAGGCGGAGAAGTCTGAGGTCAGAGACACCTGACCCCCCACCCCCAGCGAATCCCTTTCAGTGTCAGTGGGTTTTCAGCCCACAGTGCACAGATGGGCCAACGTGGCAGCAGTCTTCAGCATGTCCACCACTCGAGAGCCGGCTCTCCAGGTGCACTGCACAGGCTGCCATCTGCACACTCACAGCTGAAGTAGGTTCAGAAACCAAACTCTCACCTCCCCACCCCAAGCCCATAGCGCTCCCCAAAACACCCGAACTGCCACTATTCTCATTATTTCCCTTTGGTTAACCTCACTCTCAGTGGACAAACGGCAGGCAGTCACCTCTGTCTTTACTCTAAGACAAAGGCAGTCATGTCCACTTCTCATCTGACCCGCAGGTCCCGGAACGCTCCACGCCATCACACCTCCTGGGCTACTGACCAGCACTCGGAGCTGCCCCGCCCCTGCTTTTGCACCAGTCCCTCCATCTGCCTTTAGTACGTAAACGGCCACACCTGGCATCACTTCTGCAACCCAAACTAAAGACCTTGTGAGTGGCCCGGCGCCCTTTTCCTAAGGGTTAGGCAAGCAGTCCTTGGCCTCACTTCTCTCGTTTGGCCCCTGCAGTCACCTTGGACAGCTCCACATTCAGGTCGTAGATCTCCTGGCTCACTTCAGGGGTGCACAGCATATCACTGAGTGCTTTGTAGAGGAGGCCATTCAGGGCCCTCCGGCGCACATGGTCTTCCTTCCTGGTCTGCTTTGAGGTGCTCTTTGTTAGGAATTCCAACTGGGAAGGCTTGTAAGTCTGCATTAAGAACAGACACAAAGGCCAACATCAGACTGTACAAAAAACTTGTACTAACTTAAAAAACAGGCAGCTGGAAAGAACTTGAACACTTTGATAAACACGAAACAAATGTTATGCTCAATCACCTTAGCTTAAGATATTTTATTTTATAGAACTGGATCCTTTCACATTTTACCTGCCATTCCTTCAAGATAAAAATTACTGCCAGGCCCAGCCGGTGTGGCTCAGTGGTTGGGCATCAACCCATGGACCAACTAGTCTCACCCCTACAGACTCTGTCCTCTCCAATATGGAGATGGATGGGCTGCCAGGCTAGAGTTTTGCCGATTTTCTGGAACCTTGTGCTCATCTAGGCTGTGAAGTGGCTCATCGCTGCCACACTACTTACCAAGTGAGAACCCAGGGAAGGGCCTTCATACCAAAACTTCTTCCTATGGTGAGAAAATAAGAATTATGTTGGATACTGCCCTGGCCAGCTTGACTCAACTGTTAGAGTGTCAGCCCACGGACCAAAGAGTCACGAGTTTGATTCCAGTCAAGGGTACATACCTCGGTTGCGGTTTGATCCCCGGCCCTGGCCGTAGTCATGCGGGAGGCAACCAACTGATGTGTCTCTCTTACATTGATATTTCTCTCCCCCCCCCACCCCCACTCTATCAGAAGATAAACAGAAAAAATATCCCCAGGTAAAGATTTAAAGAAAAAAAGAATTATGTTGGATACTGATAGCAAATTAAAGAGAAGTTACATAAGCTAACTTGAGCTTATGATATAAAACTGTTTCTAAGGAGCTGAACTTGGACACTGATATTATGAAACTAGGAATCTACCTAACTGGGCAAGACAGAAGATGGTTTTAATTAAACCTCAAAATTTTTACTCAAAGTCTACTTCTAGTCCCAAAGGTACAGAAAGAGGATCTTAAAAATATACCTACCCAACTGCACGTGAGCACGTCACCCTACCTGATACAGCTGTCTCCAAGGGGTGTAGATGAACAACTCTGGGGTTGAACAACTAAGTGAACAGGTGCTTCTCCCTGGTGCAGGGGGAAGTCCCAGATGAGCAAGGAAAGGAAGCTAGAATGGTCCATGTGGTCATGGATTAGAGTTGGAGATCTGTACAAACTCAAGTTTCACTTGTGACAGATACAGATGGTGACACACAGCATAGATAAGTGTATACAGGAGTTAAGATAAACTCCTATTTTTTTGCTTTGTCAGCTGAAAGGACCCAAAAGACAGCTCTCAGAGCACAGCTTCTAAGGCCATTGTCCAACAAGGGAACAAAGGTCCTTGGAGAAATGGCTGATTCTAGAACTGAGGCATCTTGTAGCTCCACTAAGTAAGAAGTGCTAAAATTTAACAATTAAAAGTGTAAAAGCCACCCAACTGGTGTGGCTCAATGGATGACCATCGACCCATGCACCAAGAGGTCAGGGCACATGCCCAGGTTGTGGGCCCGATCCCCAGTGCGGGACATGCAGGAGGCAGGAAGTGGCCAATGGATGTTCTCTCATCAATGTTTCTTTCTTTTTTTTTTTATACCTGAGGACATTTTTCATTTTTTGTTCAGATAGAGTGGGAGGGAGAGAGAGAGAAACATCAACATGAAAGGGATACATCGAGTGGCTGCCACTCGCAGGACCCAACCAGGGCCAGGGACAGCAACTGAGACACATGCCCTTAGCGGGAACTGAACCTGGGTCTCTCTGGACTGCAGGTCGATGATCTAACCGCTGAGCCAAACCGGCCAGGGCTCTCATCGATGTTTCTAGCTCTCTCTTCCTCTCCCTACTTCCCCCTAAAATCAATAAAGAAAAGAATTTTTTAAATTCTATTAAAATATATATATAATAAAGTCTATTAAAACAAACAAAAATCTACCACGTATATCTACAAAAGCAGTCTGTTAATTAACACATTTCATTATATTTACCTCTTACCATAAAAATCTATCCTGACAAGCTTTCAAATTTATTTCTCAGATTAAGCCCACCCACATGGAAAGCATTAACATGGAAAGAAAACTTTTCATGTTTTTCTAGTTTCCTTCCCTATTTGATGGAACTCCTCTCCTGAAAAATGCTACTGGTAACAAGAATCAATAAACGTACACGTCATTCTGCGTCACACGTTCATTTAGGAGACTTAAAGCTCCTATCTCAGCTATAAAAGGGCAGAAAAAAGGTTGGGTAGGAAAAACGCAAATGCTAACAGAGCAGTGGAACTGCCGGTGATCTTTCAATAGTCGTCCCTTTAACGTGCAGAGGCTGCGCTTGCTGAAGCGGTGCCCGTGGGCCCCGCCGTCCCCAGCCTCGTGGGCCCATGGCCGCCCCGTGGCCCCGCGGACCCCCGCCGCCCGCGGACCCCAGGCCGGTGGGCACCACGCGCGCCCCGCGGGCACCACCCCGGCCCCCGCCCCCTCCCTCGAGCGCACCGCCCCACCCTTACCCCCTGCGCTCGGGACGTCGTACTTGGTTTTCGAGGCAAATTTCTTGAGCAGGTTCTTGCCACAGGGGGCCGGCGACACGTGCAGGCCTCGGGCCCCACCGGGAAGAAGCCCCGCGCTGAAGCGGCCGAGCAGTGCCCGGAGCCCCCCGGGCTGCGCCCACAGCCGGTGCGCCGCCATCCCCACGGCCGTCGAGAGCCCCGGGGCGGAGCGGCGCGGGGCGGGGCGACGCGGGACGACGTGGGGCGGGACGGCGCGCAGAGGCGACGTGCAGGGGGCGGGGCCTCAAGATCGAGGCGGAGCGACGTGAAGCAGCGGTGCGGAAACGTGAGGCGGAGCGACGCGGGGCGGGGCGGAACGTAAAGCGACGGGGCGGGGCTACGTGCATATGGAGCAACCAGCAAGCGGAGGGGCGGGACCTAGAGGCGGCGGGCGGGGCGTGAAGCCGCGGACGGGGCTGGCGGGCCAGGTGGGTGTACCTGCTGGAAGCGCCCGGGCCACGGGACTGCCGGGAGTACGGGACTGCGGGAGGCGTCCTGGCGGCGAGCCCCTCATGTTGGCGCCGCCGGGGTGCACTGCCAGGTCCCTTCTCACGCCGAATGTGCTTCCTGTGCCACCTGAGCCCCAGGTTCGGAGGCGCTCCGGGAGGGAGGTACACTCCTCCGCAGCCCGTCGTCACCGTCACCCCGACGCGCTGGTCGCTCGCACACGGAGGTGCTTTGCTGCTGTCTTGTCCGCCACTAGCCAGTAAACCCCTGCCCGTGGCGACTTGTTTCCTACGGTCGCCCCAACGCTCAGAACAGGTGTGGCGCCTAGAAGGTGCTCAGTCTGTTGTAGGCGGTGGGACAGCACCAGGTGTTAGACCAGTGGGGTCAGACCAGACCTGGGTTCAGCAACCTTGAGTTGTGGCTCAAACTATAAGAGAACATTCATTTGGAAAATCACAGAGGTAGAAGTAATTTGTAGAAGAAATGGGCTTAGGCTACAAGTTATAGTGGTAAAGGAAGGGCCCTTAGAGCTTGGAAGTGCGGAAGGTGAAGGTGATGCCAGGGGAGAGGGAGGGGTAAGAAAGGAGGGGACTGCTCTGGGGAGAGTGAGCTGGGTCCTCCTAAGGGTGTTTTGTTTTTGTTTTAATCCTCACTCAAGGACATTTTTACATTTATCTTCAGACAGAGTGGGAGGGGTAGAGAGGGAGAGAAAGGGAGAGAGAGAGAGCAACATCGACGTGAGAGACCCATCAAGTGGTTGCCACCCACACTACCCCAACTGGGGCCGGGGACAAACTGCATGGAGGTATGTGCCCTTAGCGGAACCGAACCCGGAATTCTCTGGTCCCCGGGCGGATGCTCCAACCACTGAGCCAAACTGGCCAGGGCCTCCTAAGGGTTTTAAGGGTGGAGATTTCACAGGTGGTCCCAGGGGAAGATCTCAATAGAATATTCAGCAGCTTTCCAGGGTCCTTTCAGGGTCAGGATCTCCACTGATTGAGTGGTCAGCGCTGGGCAGGGCGTCATTCGTCAATGCAGCTGGTTCTGAAGTCATCCATAGGGTCGCTTGTCTGGTTTTACTGCTTCCTTTTCAGAAGCTGAAATGCAACTGAGGACTAGATGTTATCTCTAGGGGCAATGGTCAGGGGTCCAAACCCATGACAGCGATGTGCTAGGGGAGAAGAGGGAGGTCCCATGCTCCAGTCGTCCTTTGCTGGGCACCCGGGGCTTTCCACCCTGCTGACCTGTACGTGGCCCATCGTCCTGGCTCTGCTCATGCCCGTCTTCCTGCCTACTACAAATAGCCATTGCTTGAATAATTGGATTGAAAGAAACAAGTGAACAGTGAAGAGTATGGGGAAGGCTACCTAACCCAGGAAGTTATGGGAATTTAACAAAATGGAAAGCAGCAGCCCCCTGGCAAATCCACAGACCTATCCCAGGATTTTAATCCAAGTACAGTAACTGCTCAGTTTCATTGTGAATGATAACGTCCCTCACAGCGCTGCCTTGAGGATGAAGTGAGAATGGAAGTATTGTCACTATTAGATTTGCAGATAAAATGACAGTAACCCAATCTATGTATTGAACTCAAACATAAATACAACACACAAAATAGTTTTCCCATTTAATCTGCCATATTTCATACTTCTGATTTCTCAGCTCACGTAAATCATTTAAATAGCACTTCATTAGGAATGGGAAGGCCATTGAGAGAAGCCAGGATGCTTCCAACCAAATTTTCCATCATCTGTCGTCTGGCTTGATGAGTTGCACTTCCAATGTGAGGTGTCAGAGTGACATTCTTCAACTTCAACAAAGGATGATCTCTGAAATACAGGTTAATTGGGAAAAACCATTCAGAGCTATTTTGTCTCTCGAACTTCATAGTCTGGTTTCAAATCTCCATCCCGAGATGGTGAAGGCTACAGGGGATTTACAGCATACTCTAAATTCCACCTAGGTATGACCACTGCTCATCTAACCCTAGTGTGAGGGACCTTACACTTGTGGATGTAAAACACATATCCTAACTGCACACAGGCCATAGCATAGAACAGCACAACAGGCATGGTGGATGAAATACTGGCCCACAAGACAGAATACGGCATTAGGGGACATAGGTGCTGGTCGAGGATCATAGGACAAGCTGAATGTGCATTTGACAAGGAGTGGCATTCAGAGGTAAAAGATGTATTAACTGGAATTAGCAGATTAGAGGGACTTCTTTCTCTTCCAGGAAGAAGGCAAAGGATGGGGGTCAGCCTGGAAGGGTGAGGTTTTAGTGAAGAACATGTTGATAGATAACTCTCAAACCCAGCATTGGGAAAGGACTGTATGTAACCTGACCTACCAGGGCCTCCTTACTATTTTAATACAGACAGAGCCCAAAGTTGCCATGTGACTCTCCTAGCTATTGAGGCTCTAGGGGCACACCTTTAGGGTCTTATGGACCCCAGAACCTATGGAAGTTCTCTGAGGGCACTTGCCACACTGTGACTGCACCATTCCCAGGACTGGCCCCTTAAGGCACAGCCTGCAGTCTGGGAGGGATACAGACTCTTCTGAAACACATGTCCTCCCCATAGGCAGGCGGTGGCCCTGCTAGCTGACAGCACACCTTGGGAAACAGGGTGACCTGCTTTGTCCCAGCTGACTTGGAACCCAGAAATAACTGAATCATGACCAGTTGTAACACCTGCCCATAATAATATCCGGGGTAGAGGCCAGAGCCAATTTTGTTGAGAAAGCATAGCAAATACCTCTGTAATTATTGTTGAATTGTTGTGTTATGAAATTGAATTATACCATGACCATATTGTGAGACCATATTGTTGTGAGACAACAATACCAACACTAGCATTGTTGGTAGACTTTAACCACCTCCTATAAATGAGTTGTATGATAACACTGATATTGATGGTCAGTTGTATTGGGAGATTGAGTTAAAGCCTCCTCAGAATATGATACCAATGGAAAATGACTGGCCTGAGGAAAAACTAAATTTAGCTAAATAGCTAATTTATACACTAATAGTACTGCATAAGTTCATCATAAGGTACAAATGGTGGTAGATCAATGGGCAAACAAACTAGTACAAATATACAAAAATTCATGTAATGGCTTTATAGGATGGGTTAGTTGTTGCTTAAATCTATCTGCCCCACCCGGGCTCTTCCAAATGTTAGGTATAGTCATACTGATGTTATGACTGTATCTGTCATATAAAAGCTATAATAAATGTAGATACTCCAATAAACATAATCATTTTGCTGTAAGACAGCCTAGGTCAAGGATCAGAGAATGGTCCGTGCAGTAAAAGATTAACTCAGCAGGCAGGCTTGGAGTGCTCAAACCATGCACATTGCGAAGACAGAGGAAGAAAGAGGGAGAGTGAGGCTTCTGGGAGATGACCTCGGAGCCCTTGCGATGTACCACTGGAAGAGGGTTGTCTTGCCTGGCAGGTTCCATGCACTAAGAGGCCACCGGTTTGATTTCCCGTCAGGACACGTGTCTGGGTTGCAGGCTCAATCCCCAGTAGGGGGAGTGCAGGGGACAGCTGATTGATGTTTCTCTCTCATATCAATGTTTCTATCTCTCTAAAAAAATGAATAAAAATGTATTTTTTTTTAAATGGTGCCGTCTTATCCTTGGGACCTTGAGCACAGCCAGACAGTGTATGCTAACATGGAATCTGCGGTGGATGCCTGTTTCTGCTCCTGGACACTGGCCCACTCTGTCATTGTGACCTCTGGAAGGCTGGAGACTAGGTAGCGAATGTTAGACATGTGGGCACTCTGTGCCTACCTGACCCCTGGGTGCACTTCCCTGGTTAGAAACACATCACTGCTGGAGTAGTAACTACTATCCACACAGCTCCTCTGAGGACAGCTGGAACCTCTTGCCTCCTTCCTCCCGGACTCCACCGGATACACTTCTCACCTTTGCTGATTTCAGTCTGTATCCTTTCACTTAATGAACTGTAAGTGTGAGTATAAAAGCTCTTTTGAGTTCTGTGAGTCTTTCTACAAAATCATTAAGACTGAAGATAATATTGGGGACTCCTTACACTACTGGCAAATTACTTTAAAAAAAAATAATCGTGTAGTAAATCCTTGTGTAAGGCAATGAATACTTATGTAGTGTGACCAAATAATCTCAAATATCCTTTTTTTACAGTAAGCAACAACGAAATGTGTGGGGTTGGGGTATTGAAAGATGGACGTTTTTTAACCTTGTGTTAAGCACTCTCAACCATGTGTTAATGCATTCTCGGAATCCTGGGGGGGGGGGGGGTTGTGTGTGGAACCTGGCCCACCCAGGTGTGTTGGGCACTTCATTTGCATGTGAATAAGGGTGTGTTATCTTTTGGCTTCAAGGTCTCTTCATAAAAAGCAAGAGACAGCCCTGGCTGGTTTGGTTCAGCGGTTGGAGCATTGGCCTGCCGACCAGAGTCCTCGGTTCGTTCCCGCTAGGGGCATGTACCAAAAATAAATAAGTAAAATTGCAAATCTCCCCCTCACTCCAACCAGCATGTGGTTGTAGGTTCATTGCGGTGCACCGATCCTGGCAGGCCGAGAGATGGCAAAATACCTGCCGTGAAAACTCAAGCCTGTCTTATAAAGGTAATATAGAGATTTGAAATTAATGTAGATATATAAAAAGTTATTCATAAAATAGTTGCTAAATCTCCTGGCCACAAAAATAATTTCACATGGGAAGAGCACCACCTATTGGAATAAACTGAACTTTGGGACATTACCTAGTATTTGCCCTGTGATTTGTGCATCTAATGAAAAGCTCATTTCAGCAGACTAGACAATAGAGGTGATCACATGACTTCTAGGTTTCTGAGTAGGTAGATAACTATCTAAAACATTCATGCTTCTCATCTGGTTGGTATGGCTCAGTGGTTGAGCATTGACCCATGCACCAAGAGGTTGCCGGTTCGATTCCCAGTTGGGTCACATGCCCAGGTTGTGGACCTGATCCCCAGTGGGGGGCGTGCAGGAGGTGGCCAATCGATGTTCTGTCTCATCAATGTTTCTATCTCTCTCTCCCTCTCCCTTCCTCTCTAAAATCAATAAAGGAAAAAAAATTTTTTAATAAATAAAATGTTCATGCTTCTCAATTTATATTGAAACTTTTTTGTTCTAGATTAGTGGTGCTTAAACACTTGTTCTCAGCACCTCTTCACACTCTTAGAAATTGGAAACCCCAAAGAACATTTGTCTGTGTGGGGTCTGTCAGCATTTGCTGCATCAGGAATTAAAACTGGAGGACATGAATACAATAACGCAGGAGCACATGTTCCTTCAGCGGTCAGAGTGTCACCACACGTCATTACTCAGCACACTTGTGAGAAAATGTGAGTGGGAAGTAAGTGACATCTGACAGTATTATGAACATAGTTTTGACTTCACAGACCCCCTAACAGGGTGTCCAGACCATGCTTCTAGAACTTCAGTAATGTCATCCAGGAATTTGCTCACTGGATAGAAATCAAAGCTGGAGCCCTGCCCGGTTTGGCTCAGTGATTAGAGTGTCGGCCTGTGGACCAGAGAGTCCTGGGTTCGGTTCCCACTAGGGGCGCGTACCTTGGTTGCAGTTTGTCCCCGGCTCCATGGGGTTGTGTGGGTGGCAGCCAGTCGATGTATCTCTCTCACATCGATGTTTCTCTCTCTCTTCCTCCCTCTCTTCTTCCAGCTCTATCTGAAGATAAATGCAAAAAATAATAATAAAAAAATAAAAAAGAAATCAAAGCTGGAGGAGCCCCCGCGAGTTTAAAGAGTGGCAGCATCAGGCTTCAGAGTAAAGGACAGTCGTGGCCATGGCCCTAATGGCCTGGATCTCTGGGTCAAAACACAAAAGCAAATGAAATAAAATGGAATTCAATGTAAAATTCCACGCAAATGCTTAAAAACCAATTGGGGGATAACAATTTCAGTTGTATCTGACTAGAGAGTGAGTCAAGGGTGCAATGAGGCTTCTAGAACCGTGTGCAGCCAGCACAGACTTGGTGAGATTTTTCTTCAGCGGTCTGGCTGCAACATGAACATTGTGTCCAGTTCCCAAAAGCACATTTCCAAAGGATATTAAGAACAAAAGTGCTGCAAGACAATAATGATGACCGGGTGTCCAGAAACGCCATTGCTCAGGGCTACGATGGAAGGCTACAGAGATATTCAGCCTCAAAAAAAGACTAAGATAAAACATTAGTTGTCTTAAAACACATGGAGGCTTGTAAAAGAGAAGAAAACCCAAGTTATCCTTCAGTGCTCCGGAGGCAATCCAGGCTCGGGGTTCGGGAAGACTCTGGGCTCCACAGGAGGAAGATGACCTGGTGGGGTGTCCGTCCATGCGGCCAGCTGCCCGAGTACCCTGAGCCCCTGTCCATGGAGGTGTGGAAGCAGAGGCCAGACTGTCTGTGGAACTGGAGGCCCCAGAGGTCTGCAGGCCCCGTGGCCACGTTCTGTGACAGCACAGCTACAGAAGCCAGAGCCGCGATTGTCTGAGGACCTCCGGGCAGCCCCGGTTGGGAAAGGAATGTGGTGCTGTCTGGCTGCCTTACCTGGGCAGGGGCTCTGGATGCGACACGTCGAGTGCAGCTGCTCTGATGACCCCAGTCTGAAGAGCTTCCACCAGGGCATCCTGATCGATCAAGAGACCTGAGTCGACGAGACAAGTCCTCTGTGGTCACCACAGTGAGGCAGTGCACAGGAAAGGTGCTCTGGTCACATCAGCTACTATTCCAAACACATCCTGACCCTGCCCAAGGTCTGACAAAAAGAACCTGAACTTCATTCTGCTGATTCTCTGTTGGAGGTTGTGAGCCTCCCAGGGACCATGCAGTGTGCTAAGCCCAGACAGACCCATTTGCACCGGACCCTCCAGAACCTGCAGAGTCAATATTAATTTGACAAACAAGGAAGTTCAGCTTGGTTACCAACTTGCCCAAGATCACATGCGTAGACCCAGATTGGAGCCTGGGCCTGGCTCACTCCACCACACCACCTCCCCAAACAGTGCCCAGATACCAGTTTTACATGCACACTAGAAAACTAAACAGCCACAAACACAATCTATAACTGTCATTTCAAACACAACACAGCAGGCAGAGCTGAGAAGAAAATCCTTTCCTCCCGCCCAGCCGGTATGGCACAGTGGTTGAGCGTCGACCCTGCACCAAGAGGTTGCCGGTTTGATTCCCGGTCAGGGCACATGCCCAGGTTGTGGGCCAAATCCCCAGTGGGGGGCATGCAGGAGGCAGCCAGTTGATATTCTCTCATTGATGTTTCTCTCTCTCCCTCCCTTTCTCTAAAATCAATAAAGAAAAAAAAATTCCTTTCTTCCCAGCAGAGATCTGCATGGAGCCCACACACCAAGGGCACCTCCTTTCTGCCGACTGGCTGGGAGCAGCGGCCCCCCAGTCAGGGCCCAGAGCACCCCTGGCTTGCCCGTGTGGCTGTGGGAGAAGCCGAGTCTGAAGCCCCTTCCTTGAGCACTTGTCTTTCCAGACTCGTACTGTGTTCGCTGGCCTCTGACGTTCCTGAAAGCATGCACAGGGAAGCCCACCTGGAGGGTGTGAGTTTGCAGAGCAGTTCCAGCACGTCAGCATGGCCCTGTTCACCAAGGACACATGGATGGCGGTGGCAGCGCTGGGTCTGCATCCACAGCCACTGACCCTGCAAAGGCCAGCAGCCCGGATGTTTGGTGTCAGCACTGACCCTTGCGTGTGCTGTCACTGGCCGGCATCACGAACGCTCCGTGTCTCCTTCATAAATGCCGCACCAGCCCACCCCGATATTTGGTTATAGCACAGGGCCCCCACCCCCTGTGTACAAACACATACGGCACCACGTAAATGTCAAGTAACCAAACTAACACTGAGTTGTTTTGTAAAGTGAAGCCTCAGAAAATTCATCCCCAAGCATTTTGCTTAATTACACCTAGAAGATCAAACTGTGAGGCCCCTATCCCGTGTAGACGCCCAACCTGGATTTGAAAACACCCACATTGCAGTGTTCTCATTATGTTTGATACTAATTTGAGGATCAGAAAGATGTGAAGACAAATATCAGAAATATTTCTAAATAGAAGCTCACCGCCCCACGAGTCTAAGTGAATGTTTCAGCCACTCGGGGAAAAGGTCGACTAGAAATGCCCGGAGTCTAGCCGGGGGCTTTCTGCCTGCGTGGTTTCCTGGCCACACAGACAGGGGGCCGGTACCTCTGCCAATGTTGACAAGGATGGCGGTGGGTTTCATCAGCCTCAGCTCCCTCCTTCCGATCAGCCTCTGGGTCTGGGGCGTCAGGCTCAGGGCCAACATCACAAAGTCTGATTGCTGAAGCAACTCATCCAGCTTGTCACAGTAAGTGGCCCCAACAGCTTCCTCCTCCTCCAATTTCCTATGAGGAGAGCAAGGAAGAAAAATCACATTCTCAGAAATTCATCCACTTGTCCCAGGAGGACTTTCTGAGGGGAGCAGGGACTCAGCCTGTCCCCAGCATGGGCCCAGGACTCAGCCTTGGAGATCCTCTGGGCATCTGGGTTTGGGCTGAGCCCTGTGTCTGCAGGATCTCACACCAGACCCACAGCCCCGAGACCAGGGCCTACCTCTCACTTCTCTGAGCCCGGAGTCTGGCATAAGCCTGATCGTGAACCACTGACTGTGGGCAAACATAACACAGTTCCCAGAAAAGAAAGCAAAACAGGAGAGGGCCTGGGAGTGCTGTTTTTTGATCCTTACTCGAGGATAGTTATCCATTGAATTTTAGATAGAGTGAAAGGGAGGGAGGGAGAGAGAGAAACATTCATGCGAGAGAGACACATTGACTGGTTGCCTCCCACATGACCCTGACCAGGGCTGGGGATCGAACCTGCAACCCAGGTACGTGCCTTTGGCCGGAAATTGAACCCACAACCCTTCCGTCGGAGGGCTGACACTCTAACCACTGAGCAAAACCAGCCAGGACAAGGAGTGCTGTCTGTTAAACAGAATTGAGATCCATGAGCTGGATGGAAGCAGGGCTGCATTTTGGCTCTGGCCAAATCTGAACTCCTGCTTGGCCATCCTAGACGTATGATTGCTCAAAGAAATTCCAAGCTCCAGGAGGTCCTAGTGTCCCAGGTAGCCACCCCTGCCATAAAAACAGGGAATACAAAGGTATAGGTACTTGTCCTAACCTGTCTTGGCTAGGGATGCCTGGAGGGAAGATGGATGGCCAGCACACTCAGCTCCCTGCTCAACACCCTGCCCACTTCACTCACCTTGTCCTGGAGAGTCCTGGCCTCTGCCTTTGCCCTCTCATCACACTGAAAGTTGTCTCCACTGTCCACTGCACACACAGTGATTGAGAAAGGGAATGGGCTTGTCCTGGCTGGTGTGGCTTAGTTGGCGGGGCATCGTCCCATGCACTGAGAAGTTGCTGGTTTAATTTCATCAGGACACATACCTGGGTTGCAGGCTCGATCCTCAGTAGGGGGCATGCAGGAGTCAGGCCATCAATGTTTCTCTCTCTCACTCCCTCTCCCTTCCTCTCAATCTAAATAAATATATTTTTTAATCCTCACCTGAGGATATTTTTTTCTATTTATCTTCAAAGAGAGTGGGAAAGGGAGAGAGGGAGAAAAAGGGAGAGAGAAACATTGATATGAGAAGAACACATCAACTGGTTGCCACCTGCACGACCCTGACCAGGGCCAGGGATGAACTGCAACCGAGGTACATGCCCTTGGCCGGAATTGAACCTGTGACTCATTGGTCCATGTGTCGATGCTCTGCTGCTGAGCCAAACCAGCCAGGGCATTTGTTTTAAAAATAAATAAATAACATTAACTCCTTAAAATGGAAAAGAAAAAGGGGGTGGGATCTGACATCGAATCTCCCAGCTCGCTGTGCTGCACAGCCGTCTCATCAGCGAGAGTTCCATTCCGTGTGGTCTGGACGCCACTACAAGGTGGCGAACAGTGGCCATGCTCTGGCTGAGCTGCAGAGGGAACTGGGTGTTCCCGAGCAGGCCATCGCCCCTAAGGGCACGTGTAGACAAGGGAGAGACAACAAGCAGGTGGGAGGGTTGTTTGGAGACGGAATCAACAGGACTGAGTGTTGGGCTGAATCTCACAAGGGAGGAAATGGCTTTCAGACTGCACGAGTGTGTGAGCCTGCAGCTCAGCACTGAAGGAGCCAGTCAGACTGCTCAGCGGGTGTGCACTGCCTCTCCCACAATCAAAAATCACTTGAGAAACAAACAAACAAAAGAACAATTATAGGTGAAATTTTTTAACAAGTCACAGTCACATTTCTAGGTAATTGTAAAAATGCCACGATTCCTTTCTAGACCATCAATCCCACTTTCTGGAAGAAGGAGCAGAGCATCTTATGAAAAATGGAAAGATTGTACATCAGAGCCACATTCAAGGCAGTGATGGCGTAGGTTCTGCTCAGTTCTCTTCAAGTCCACTCAGAATCTCACCTGCGCTTCCTGTTGTGGTACAGAATCTTCATTTCAAATGCCCTGGCCCGCTGAGCGACCTTGTAGCCGATGCTGCCCATGCCAACGATCCCCAGGGTGGACCCCGTCACTTCCTCGCCCATCCAGTTTGCGGAAAAGCTCTCTGTATCTGGGGAGACGGCCAGCTGGTGACCTAACATACAGGAGAAGTCAGTGGGGAGTGGAGATGGCACCACACAGAAACCCATAAGCCTTCCTGGGACCTTTGCCAAGGTCACAAGGGTACAAGATGCTGGTGGCAGACCATGGCTGTCATGCATGTCTATGTGACAGCAAACACATGTTTCTGCAAGGGGAACAGACGGCAGTGTCCTCCCCCAAAGCCAGCACTTCCTGGTAGAATGCTTTAAAGAGCAACTCCTTTCACATTAAGGAAGGATTTCTGGTTAAAATTGGTTTTGGGGTATGTCTGAGTATGTGACTGTCTGTGTATGACTATGTGTATGTGTGTAACTGAGTACATTGTGCATGTGGGGTTGTGTGTTACCTGTGTAACTGTGTACCCATGTGACTGTATGTGTGCATGACTAGGTACATGTGTGGCTATACATGCATGCCACTGTGTATGTGTATATGGCTGTATACATGTGTGGCTGTGTGTATGTGTGTGGCTATATGTGTGACTATGTGTATGTGTGTGACTGTGTGTGTGTGACCGTGAGCTCGTGTGGGTGACTGCATGTGAGTGTATGTGAACCAGCAGTCAGAAACAGAAAGACTATGTCTTGCTTCTCTCTCCAGCCCCTTCACACCAAAGCTCTATCAGGGGGCTGGGCTGCTGCACTGCCTTTCCCGGGGATGCTCCCAGGTATGTCCAGTGTGTGGACAGGTGGGTTCTGCCTACTCAGATATATGCCTTCCCCCTGGGGGGCATGCTGATGAGTCAGGGAATGACCCCCAGGGCACTTCCACAGTGGTGCTGAAATGACCACACGCACGCACTTCCCACCTGTTACATGAGAGAGTGGCACTTGGTGAGGAGGAAAAGAGTTGCTGTCAGACAGACTGCTGAGCGACTGGGACTGGGACTGGGCCAGGGCACTAAGTGGGCTGCAAAGGACCAGGAGGGGCTCCAATTCCCAAGTGCCACCACGTCCTGGATGTGGTGTAAACAAATCAGGGCCAGAAAAGGAGGTGAAGAGTAAAGGTAAAATTACGTTTGTCATGTGTTAACAAGTGTCTGTGCCTGGCCAGTGTGGCTCAGTGGATGGAGCATCATCCCATGGACTGAGAGGTCCCAGTTTGATTCCCAGTAGGGCACAAGCCTGGGTTGTGGGCTGGATCCCCAGTAGCGGATGTGTAGGAGGCAGCCGATCGATGTATCTCTCCCACATCAATGTTTCTATTTCTCTCTCCCTTCCTCTCTCTCTAAAACAAATCGATAAAAACATTGAAAATAGAAAGTATCTGCCATCTGATCTCGGGAAACCAGCCTCTCCAACATGCTTTACCTTCCACTACTCTCCGGGCTGCTGCCAGCAGTAAGGCCATCCCCAGGTCCGCCGTGGGGCTGGAGACGGCCTGCGGTGTGTTGGCCACTTTCACACCAAAGCTGTCGATGAGCTTCAGGTCCAGGTGGTCTAGGCCAGCTCCTGAGCTGGCAACAATCTTCAAGGCGGGCAGGCTCTGCAGAAGCTCCTGATTAATAGCTGGCTCTCTGTTCCAGATACATACAGCCTGGATCTTTGGACCCAATTGCGTTTTATTTTCCAGAAGTTCATGCATGGTAATGAGATTGAAGTGCTTCTGCAGCTCTCCAACGTGATCTTTGCATATACCAGAGGGCCCTTCGAATCCAGACACCAAAACTCCTGGTAGGTCCTGATCTCCCATGGCCTGCAGAAAGGCAACCTTGATTTCTGCTGTCTAAATAGAGTCTATAAGAGAACAACCTGTGTGCTCTGCTGCTACTCTTCAGACTTTCTAAATTGCAACAAGGCTGGGGATTCATTCTGAAAGTCAACAGACCCTGAGCTCTGAAGGCATCAGTGCCTCCACGGCACCCTCTGGAGCTGTCTCCAATGACACCTTGGGGTAATCACACATCAGTGTGACCCCAACCCTGGAGAAGGTGGCATAACGATGTGATGGGAGGTCACGGCCTGCCCGCACTCTCCCTCAACTGGGAGGCAGCCTGTGCAGAGGCTGTGAGTGAGATTGGAAGTAGATCTAAGAGGTCTGCCAAGAACCAAGTGCGCCTTGAGATGGCTGCAGCCCTGGTCAATACCTTGTTTAAAGTTTCAAGAGAGATCCTCCACCAGAACCAATTGGTCAGCCATTCCTGGATTCCTGACTTGTACACCTGGGAGATACCAGATGCTTGTTGTTTCTGGCCATTAAAATGTAGGATAATTTGTTATATATGCAGCAATAACTAATAAAATTGACTGTTGACAAAAATGTGGTTCTATGGAAAGTAACCTCGCAGGGTGACCAGGTCATGAATTCCTGACTGGGCAGATCACTGAGGCAGTCAAGCCGCAGGCATACACCTGTTTTAGCAAAAGATTTATCTCTGCCTCACACAAATCCTGACCATTGTTTTTGTGTGTTTAGGTTAACATACCTTTGAAATGCCAGGCTAATCTTATTTTTGAGACCCCTGAAGTTTGACCACTCTCAAGAGAGGCATGGTCTTGTCAACTCCCTGTAACCCAACCCCTACCTGCTCTCCCCACCTTCATTTAATCTTCCTTACATTCCCTCATTGGTTCCAAATGCAAAAAGAAACTGAAAACTATCTTTCTAGGGAACATTTAAGATCTTGCCTCCCGGCAATTGTCAGTTTTGGCTCAAATAAACTCTTACAAAAATTGTCTAGCCCTGGCCGGTTTGGCTCAGCGGTTAGAGTGTCGGTCTGCGGTCCCGAGAGACCGGGGTTCGGTTCCCGCTAAGGGCATGTACCTCGGTTGCAGTTTGTCCCTGGCCCTGGTTGGCTTGTCATGCAGGTGGCAGCCACTCAATGTGTCCCTTTCACATCATCGATGTTTCTCTCTCTCTTCCTCTCTTTCCCTCCCACTCTATCTGAACAACAAAAAAAGGAAAAATGTCCTCGGGTGAGGATAAAAAAAGAAATTGATCATAGATGTAGATCAAGAGGAAAATAAAAATTATTTAAAAAAAATTTTTTTTTCTATAGGTCTGGAAGTTCTCACGTCCGACATGATCTTTTTTTTTTTTTTTTACTGTGAAAATAAAAGATACTTTTTATCTGTCAAATTAATTAAACAAAATTTTACATTCCCCATTACTGATTAAAAATAAGATACTTCTGCCCTGGCTAGTTTGGCTCAGCGGTTAGAGCGTCAGCCCATGGACCAGAGAGTCCCGGGTTTGGTTCCACTAAGGGCACGTACCTTGGTTGCAGTTTGTCCCTGGCCCCGGTTGGAGTTGTGTGGGTGGCAGCTGGTCGATGTGTATCTCTCATATTGATGTTTCTCTCTCTCTCTTCCTCTCTTTCTCCCTCCCGTTCTATCTGAAGGTAAATGCAAAAAAAAAAAAAAAGATATTTCTAACATTTTATAGCTTTCCACCAAAAGGAAAACCTGTTGTAAAAAACTGGTCAATGAATGCATCTTTGGGTCATGTCATGACATAGCTAAAAATGTTTAACATTTGTTCAAAGCTGACAGTGCAATTGGTTAAAAAACATTTCTTTTTTGGACTTCAAGATAAGATTTTAGTTTACTTTTGCAGAGAGGAAGCTTGATTCCTGATTGCTTTGATTTTGACTTTTCATCAGCATTGGTTAAAGAGCAGCGCCCTCCATCACACCATTGCTGTTAGTGGTTTTATGTGAAAAAGATCCAAGATTCTCCGAGTGACTCATGGCTGGTCCAAATAATAAGAAGGGGTGAGATTCCCATCTGGGAAAGATGGAAGTAACAGTGATGGGAGTACTGGGCAGATGCAGGGCTCACACCTTTCTTGGCCTCTCTCTCACACCAGACTTTGACCATCTCCAATTATGGGCCAGAGTCCAGCAAAGGTGCATGTGATATTTGATTTGATGGACAATTATCTGATCAGTACATGACTAGAAAAGGAGACTTAAAATATTAAGATATGCCAAAGGGTTTACAGATTCCTTGATGATCGTTTGGTAGTTCTGGATTAGTGAAAACTGCACTGTTCGCACCTTTTATGTAAGGTTTCCCGAGTCACAGCTATCAACAAATCCGACATAACTTCAAACCAATACTATCACAATGTGTCTCAGCAAAAACAGGTGCTAAGCTCCTAAAACACTGGACTCATGTAAGGGAGAAAACTATGAACTACAATCTGATGTGTGTACACGAATTTAACCCATTTAAAGGTTAACGTGCCATTGCCTACAGCTTAGAAAAATAGCAAATACCTATCCAAATTGACCTTTAAATTCCCGCAGGGTCCCCGGAGCCACCTTCATCCTCTCTCAAACAAGGCAACGTTGCATTTCCCCAGTTAAATCCTTTAGGGTCCTGCTGTGCAGGTCAGGATGGGTCTTAGGGTTCAAAGGCGGCCCACCTGTCCCAGGGGCGGTCTGTGGTCACAGTCACACCCATGCTGCAGAGCTACGTCCAGTCTTCTGCCCTCGCCACGACATACTAGGGGCACACTTACCTTTTCAGAGGACCTTAGATTTCAAGGGCGCTCTGGTGGAACCCAGCCTCCTAGACAGGTAGGTTCCTCACAGTAAAAGTTCAAAGGACACACCTGCCTATCACACCCCACCTAACCCGCTCCTCTTCGCCTCGCCCCGCCCCGGCCCCGCCTCGCCTGGACCAGCAGACCCCGCCCTCCGCCCGGGCCCCGCCCCTAACCGCGGCTCGCCACCAGGTGAGGCCCCGCCCCTTCACCGCTTCTCAGATGGGCTACGCCCCCATCTACCTTCCCGCGGGTGAGCCCCGGAAGTTGTGGCGGAGCGCACCGGAAGTGCACTTGCGTGCGGACGTACGGAGGCTCAGAAGGGCGTGAGGCCGTTGATGGCTGGGGCCGCCTCGGGAGGGAACCTCCTCCCAGACCGTTGGGGAAGCTCCTGGACCAGGACGGGACCTGTGTGGTGGGAGCGTTGCGGGCATGGCCTCACCCTGGCGGGACTGCACCCTCCGGGCTAGGAGTATGAGGCTTTAAAGAGCAGGTTTAAAATTGTGCGTGGATTTACTATGACTTAAGTACAGGTGTATGACACGTGAAGTTGTTTTGATGCACTTGATTACGACAAAGACTAAAATGTAGCTTTGATATGAGGATAAAGTAAGTCATGCTACATTTGTTGTCCTTGATAAGCAGCAGCTGGGGGGCTCATTGATAAGAATGGTGAAACCACTATGGCAAGGGGACATGTAGGCTACAAGTACTAAGAGTTTGTGAGGACTGTTTGAGAGTTTCGGGCTGGAGGAGGTGACTTCCCACCTGAAAATCTCTCAGAAGACCCGTGGGGAGTTCTTCCCTCTAAACAGTGACAAACCACGGCCCCCACCTGCCAACACTGCAAAGTTGCACAATGCAAGCTCAGTATACAAAAATCAGTTGTATTTCTATACTCTAGTCACAAGTAATCTGACAATATTAAAAATAATCCATTTAAATAGCATCTAAAAGAATAAAATATTGATCATTTAAGTGCAATGTGGACAATGGAAACGAAGTCGTAGAAATTAAAGAAGATCTAAATAAATGGAAAGAATCCCGAATGCATGTATTGGAAAGCTTAATCTTGTTAAGATGACAATACTCCCTAAATTGGTGTACAGATTCAACACAATCCCAGATGCCTTTTTGCCAAAATTGACAGACTGACCCTAACATCCATATGGAATGCAAGGGACTCAGAAGAGCCAAACTAATCTTGAAAAGGAGCAGAATGGGAGGACTCACTTCCTGATTTCAAGACCTATACAAAGTTTCATGAATCAAGACAGCAAGACTGACATAAGGCTACATATAAAGATCACTAGAGTAGAATTGATACTACAGAAATAAATCCTGCCTTTAAAATCAATTAAAGCCCTGGCTGATGGCTCATTTGGTTCGTGTCATCCCAATACGCCAAGGTTATGGGTTCGATCCCTGGTCAGGGCACATACAAGAATCAACCAATGAAGAATCAACCAGTAAATGCATAAATGAGTGGAACAACAAATTTATATCCCACCTCCCTCCCTTCCACTCTTTCTAAAAATCAATGGAAAAAATATTCTCAGGTGAGGATTTAAAAAAGTCAATTAATTTTCAACAAGGGTGCAAAAAAAAAAAAAAGCCCCCCCCTCACAAAAAAACAAACAAGAGTGCCAATGCAATTTGATGGGGAAGGAATACTCTTTCCAGTAAATGATGTGGGACTACATATCCACATGCGAAAGAATGGTGTTGGACACCTAACAACATACACAACAATCAACTCAAAATTATCACACACCTACATGTAAGAAAAGTATAAGTCTGGTAGGAGTAAATATTCACGACCTTTGTTTCATAGATACGACCCCAAAAGCACAAGCAACAAAAGAAAAATATAAATTGGGCTTAACATGTAATACTTTTCTGCTGCAAATGATACCAATAAAAAGTGAAACGTCAACCCACGGAATGGGAGGAAATATGTTCACATATGTCTGGTGAGTTTTATGCATTGGGTTTTCTTTTAAAAAACTGCTTTGGACAAGCAAAGCAAACTGTGTTTATGTCTGGAAAGCATGACTAGTGATAAATCTGGGGCCTGTGTGTGGAAGGAGCAGCACAAGCTCCTCCCGGGTCACGGTGGCCCCGCAGCGAAGCTGGGTCAGGTCGGATACAGCCCGGCCGCTCGGGACCGCTGAGCGTCCCGGTGCACCAACCTCTAGGCGACCCCCGGAGACCACCCATCAAGACCTCGTAGCCCCGGCGCGGGCGCGCGCGCGCGCGCGCACGGCGGACGCACGCACGGCGGGCACACGCACGCACACGTCAGTGCGCTCGCCCGGCCGGAGCAGCCGCCGCGCGGGAGGTTTGGTGTCGCCCGAGGTCCGTGCGGGCCGGGGCCGGGGAGCGGGTCCGGGGTCCGGGGGGCGGCGGCCGGGCGGGGGTGCGGCCGGGAGGGGCTGCGGGTCGGTGGGAGCCCCGCGCCGCGTGCTGTGGCTGGGCCGGCGCAGCTCCTCCACCGAGCCCTCTCCCGCAGGGGCCCGTGGAGTCGCCAGCATGTCGTACATGCTCCCGCACTTGCACAACGGCTGGCAGGTGGACCAGGCCATCCTCTCGGAAGAAGACCGCGTGGTCGTCATTCGGTTCGGGCACGACTGGGACCCTACGTGCATGAAGATGGACGAGGTTCTGTACAGCATAGCGGAGAAGGTACGGCCGCCCGGCTCCCGCTCCCGCCGCGCCGCGGGGCTCGGGCCCGCTTTCTTTTGCTTGGCCGGTTGACAGGAAACTTTAAAAGTGAGGTTAAAGACGGCACTCCATACTCTTTCTTCGGCCTTACTCCCCCCCCCCCCCCCCCTTGTACGTCCCCCTAGTGGGAACCGAACCCGGGACTCTGTACGGAGGCCGACGCTCCAAACGCTGAGCCAAACCGGCCAGGGCTTCGGGCCTTAAGTTTTAATGTGCCAGCAAAGAAAGAGAAGACGCAGGTTTGACCTGGTGATATGAGGACCGGCTCCCCGACATTACACGCGATAGGTGATGTGTGTTTCGGGGAGAAGTTCCCATGCGTGACAGAAAAGTTCACGATCCCTCTCCCTAGATAAATAACTTAATGATTTCTAATGGTAGGGTGTTCTCCAAATTTTGCATCTATAGTGCCATGCACACATTTGGCATACTTTGGCAAGACTGTTGGAGCTCCCTTTAAATGGCTTAGTTAAAAAGGGCTGTTCTCTTTAGCAGGAAGTTTGTATGTTGTTAGTAAGGCAGAGCACTTACGTTAATAGCGTTGTAAATCCTGCTGTTTTCTTTGCATCGTTTCTACTTTCTTAACACAAGAGATTTAAGTGCAGGAACAATCGGAGAAAATAGAATTGGGCTTTGTTAGATAGTTTTCCTGACGTTTTGACACTGGGATGTCCGGGGTACTTGTTTTCTGACAGCAAGACTGCTGTAGGGCGTTTCTGCGTATTGACTTTAGAGAAAGGAAGGGAGCGGGAGAGAGGTGGAAACATCGATGAGAGAGAACATTCATTGGCCGCCTCCTGCATGCCCCCACTGGGGATCGGGCCCACAACCTGGGCATGTGCCCTGACCGGGAATGGAACTGGCGACCTCTTGGTGCAGGGTCAACGCTCAACCACTGAGCCACACTGGCCGGGTCAGGGCCTTAATTCTTTTTTCTAATTTCCTCATGGTGATTTTAGATAACTTTAATTTGAATTTTTACAGTTGCAGCAATAGGGCAAAAGGCACATATATTAGGGTGCCAATGAAATAATTAACTTACTATTTTATGAATTATTTGAAAGGTCATTTGAATGAAGAGTAAAACTGGAAATACTGAAACCACATTTTCTTTCATGGGAATAGGAGATGCTAATATAGGCTGGTTGAAATAACACCTTTGAGTAAATAGGAACTGCAGTAAATATATACTTTGTGTTTAGAAAAGGAAAGCTGATTTTTACTGTCTCCTATTTGCTAGGAGCGGCAGAGTGAGGTAGGGGTGGTGGCATTGTGTACTTTAGGGACTGTTCTGGGTCTGTCATCATAAGTACCACTTGGAATACTTGCCAAGTGCATGGCAGAGATTCTGATTCTATGGGTCTGGGTGAGGTCCAGAGACGACTTCTTTGAGAAACTCCTCTGGGAATTGTGAGGTGACTTTCGTAAATCCCTCAACAGAGGTCTGGGTCCAAGTACAAGTGCTGTGCTTGCCAGCCATTCCTAAGACAGTGAGGAGCTTGGGGAGGTGACTGGGGAGCTCGGGAGAGCCTTGAGCGAGGTGGTGTTGGAATCATCTATTCATTGCTTAAGCCGTGCTGGTCAGGGGCAGGTGCTGCTGGGTTCTGAGGACTCTAGCAAGCACCTTTCCAGTAGGCAGATCGTTAGCGTGTTGACTTTGAAATAACCTGGGGTGTGTGTCCTGGATTCTACCTTGCAGGTGGCTGCATAATCACCAGGTGATGTCAGACCCTGCTGCCCTCAGCGCCAGGCTTAGGATGCCTGGAGACGGGAGGTGGGTTGGCTATATCTGAGCAAAACTCAGCAAGATGCTCTTAGCTAGGAGACAGGTTTTGTGTGTTAATGTAAGTTTTTAGGGACTTTACCAGAGTGGTTCTTTTCTAATGCCTACGTGTCAGTTATAGACCAATCACTGTGTCATCAGTGGACACCCTCTTCTTGTGTTCAAGCTGTTAAACAGGACCTTTTAGTTAGGGTTTGACTAAACTTTGACTATTTTCTTTTGGTCTTTTTCTTTATTAATTTTAGAGAGAGAGGAAAGGAGAGGGAGAGAGATAGGAACATTGATGAGCAAGAACATCGATTGGCCGCCTCCTACATGCCCCACAGGGGGGATCGTGCCCACAACTTGGGCATGTGCCCTGAATGGGAATCGAACCAGTGACTTCTTGGTGCAGGGTCGACGCTCAGCCACTCAGCCGCACACAGGGCCTTTCCTTTGGTCTTTTAAGTTATCCTTTTTCTTTAGTCCAAAAATGTGGGTTTTTATTTTAATAAACTTTCAATATTGTGTTATAATGTAGCTATTCAAAATGCAAACTTGAAATGCATTATAAGACAATGTTTTATTCTTAGTATAAGGGCAAAATAAAGAGTTTATAATTTTGGGAGTTTTTTTGGGGAAGCTCAACAGGAATTTTTGAGATCGGAGGTTTCAGTATAAAGAACAATTTAACTCTATGTAAAAATCTCCCTCTGCAGAAATGGCAGATAGTGGGGGATCGTCCTCGTCTTGTTACGGGCCCTGTTTGGACACCCCAGCTGCTTTAAAGTGAGTAAAAGTTCTGTGTTGAGGATGGGATGTGGTGTGTTGACTCGATGCTCCGACAGTCCAACCCCTCCTCGTGCTGGATTAGTTCTGAGCTGTGCTGAGATAGGCTAACAGGTTTCACAGCTGTCTGGAAGTTGGTCCAGTGACAATAACAAATAAAATTTCCTATTTAGCAGCTGGTTTTATGCGGGGCTTTGAGGAGAGCCTGCTGTGTGCCCTCTGAGCTGCCTGCCATCCTGGAGGAACAGTTTGTCACAGCTCACTGTTAAATCTCACGGTGGGTAAGAATAAGTGGGACATTTAATTTTTGTATTAAAAAACTCATACGAATGGTTGAAAATAAGCAGAACCTCAGTGATACTGACTCACGATCGTACATTCTAGATGCAACTGTACGTAAGGCACAAGCATTGATGAAACTCTTTAGGGATGACTGTGGGGTCTTTCTGAAGCCTCACGTAAAGCACGGGAGCCAGTGGACGTGGTGCTGCTTGGTGAGGAATGGACGGGCACCAACAGAAGGCTTTGTGTCCACTGTGGCTTTGTGTCTGCGTATAACCACCTGGCAGCTGTGAGAGGCAGGATTGAGCAGTGGTTGAGGCTCCAGACAGAGCTGGATTCTGCCACCTAACTGCCTGTGTGGTCTTAAATAACTCCTTTGAAGGAAAGGGATACTAGTGCCTGACTCATAGGTAGTTGGGAGGGCAGAGTTAACATCAAGGTTCCCAGAAAGAACACTTCCTGTTTCATAGCAGGTGGTCTATTTAGTAATCATTAGCGACCATTATTATTACTAGATCTCTCACATCACAAAATTTGCAACCATTATTGTGAGTAGAGCTGATCAGGACACAGTTTTGGAAAATAAAGTTACCATATAATTTTGGCGAGATTTGGAATGAGTCACTTAACACTCTAATACTTAGCCGATTGACGGCCCAGGACATTATTCTGGAGCGTTAGATATTCTCAGCTCAGGGAGGAGCTTCCTACAAAGAGCAGGGTGTTGACCACTGACTCGCTGAAGCAGAAGGTGTGCTCATAAAACGTGGGCAACGGGGCTGGAAAGGATCCTTACTGTTGTGGATGATGAAAAGAATAAGTATATCAAAAACAACTTGATAATAGAAATGAAATTTGTACTTCATTTGGTACTTGGTTCACAAATACATTATTCCACAACCAGTTAAGATTACTACAGATATAGTAGGCAAAATGTATTTTAAATATGGTAGACTTATGCAAGTACATTTACAGTATCATTTAAAAAGATGGTTCTCATGGGTAAATGGAAAAAGAACTTGAAAAAAGAAATTCCAGTGGTTAAGTAAACTTCAGAGAAACACATTAAAACGGTGCACGGTGTTCTAGGTACATTGGAGACAAAAAGGCGAACGTGTTGAAGTGTGCGGTGTGCTGGAAGCCATGGGGTCTCGGTAGAGCTGGCATCACCCTGGGGATCAAGGCTGGCACTGCCCCACCCCGCCCCCCTTCTCAGTGACCCACCCTCCAAGGCTTTGTGCTCCGAGAGACCATTGCTGTCATTTACAGCAAGGATGGAAACAGCCACAATGTCCAGTGATAGGGGAACACTTAGGCCGGCACAGTGCAGGTAGGAGACTGACCCCTCACGTGGTCCTTAGGGTAGCTCCTGGCAGGTGCTAGCAGTTACCTGTCTGGGCTTGGAAATTGGGATTTAAATTGGGAATGCCCACCCTACTGGGTAGAATATTATTTGGCCATTAAGAAACAGTTTCCTGCGAGCTTTATTTAATGACATGGGGAGACAGTGATGTCAGCTGGAGAACAGCAGAATGTGCGAGGTGTCCTCAGCACGCACTGGGGGGGACAGGAACCCCCACTTTCACTCTGGACACTGGGACACTGTTGTGTATTAGGATTCTCCTGTGGTTTAGTTATATGATTTGTTTGAAAAGTACTGGACTGGCTACAAAAGAGCAGTTTTTTCATTTCACTTCTGTATTTTCCAAATGAATGTGTTTTGTTTTTTGTTTTTTCCTGTAAAAACACGATTGATCGATTGATGTTTTCAAACATAGTTACTATTTTTTGTTATTACTACTATTATTATTATTCTTAATTGACTTGAGAGAGAGAGAGAGGAAGAAAGAGGGAGAGAGAGAGAGAGAGAGAAACATCTATGAGAGAGAACATCGATTGGCCACCTCCTGCATGTCCCCCACTGGGATCTGGCCCACAACCTGGGCACGTGCCCTTACCGGGAATCGAACTGGTGACCTCTAGGTGCAGGGTTGATGCTCAGCCACTGAGCACAGCACCGGGCACAAGGAAGATCCATTAAACGCTTCCCAAAGTGAAAACACTGAACACTGCCAGGCTGCAGATGTGGCCCCTGTTCAGTCGGGGCTGCCACACAGGCAGGCAGACCACGCAGGGATTTCTTTCTTGTGTATCACAGTGAAAACCAACTTTTTTAAATGGGGGAAGATAGACACCTACTTAATTTCAGTTGTATGTTCACATGCAGGGTTCTAGTAGGCTGCAGATCCACTAATGGATGTGCACTGTTTAGGGTCGTGGTTCAGACCATGTGGAAGGCTTCAGGACAACAGAGGCGACTCAAAGCTTCGTGAGGAGGAGGTTTGACAGGTGGGAGCCTCTCCGGAGGACTGCTGCTGCGGTCTTGGGACAGCCTCCTGTCAGGCCCCTACCTCGGAGGAAGGGGGTGGACCTGACCCCCATAAGGCAGGTCTGAACTCAGGATTATAGAGTTAAGTCTATACTGTCCAAAACCACAGTTTGTAGTGGCAATGTGTTTCTTGAGTTTTGAAGTATGAGTTTACTGTTGACGTTAATTCATTCAGCAGATATTTACTAGTGCCTTGAACGTGTTGGGTGTTTAGCCCTGAGGACACATCAGTAAAGACCACAGATGTGGTTCCTGGCCTCATGACTTACCTCAAGTGGAAAAACCAAGTTCTGTGCTGTCACTTAATTGGGGTTTATTGTACCTTTGAATGAGCTGCAGTTTTCTTATCATTGAAGGCAAAGGGAAATCAGGCCATTTCTAAAAATCTCACTCTGAAAGGCCTCTCGGGTTTTCATGTGACGGCAGCTTAAGCCCCATTCAGGAGACGGATGCAGGTGTGTTCAGACTAGAACATCAGTATCTCCCGTTTTAAGTTACAATAACCTCCATTATGTGGGAAGTAATAAAGCAAGAAAATGGTTTTTTTAAAGAAAGCATCTCTGCTTAGTGAACTTTTCAGAAGGCAGCACCTTACGAACTGGCAGGTAACGGCTGTGAAGAGAGCCTGTGGCTGCCGCCACCCAGCCCCGGTGGGAGCGGCTGCGGTGACCCGAGCCCTCGGAGGTTGCGGGACATCTGTGCTCAGCTCGAGTTCTTCGGTCCTCAGGAAACAGTGGCGTGTGCACTGGTTCAGGCTAGAATGTTCCCTGCTGAATAGATGATATTCTTGAAAACGAATTTTTTTTTTTATCCTCACCCGAGGACATTTTTCCATTTTTCACTCAGACAGAGCAGGAAGGAGAGAGAGGAAGAGAGAGAAACATCGACGTGAAAGGGACACATCGAGTGGCCGCCACCCACACGAACCAGCCAGGACGGGGACAAACTGCAGGCAAGGTACATGCCCTTAGCGGGAACCGAACCCGGGTCTCTGCGGACCGCAGGCTGACGCTCTAACCGCTGAGCCAAACCGGCCAGGGCTTGAAAACGAATTCTTAATTTATTTATTTATTTTTTATCCTCACCCGAGGATGTTTTTCCATTTTTTGTACAGATAGAGTAGGAGGGAGAGAGAGAGAGAAACATCGACGTGAAGGGAAACATCGAGTGGCTGCCACCCGCACGACCAACCAGGGCCGGGGACAAACTGCAACCGAAGTACGTGCCCTTAGCGGGAACCGAACCTGGGTCTCTCCGGACCGCAGGCCGACTCTCTAACCGCTGAGCCAAACTGGCCAGGGCGAAAACGAATTCTTTATAGTCATGAAAAATCAGGAAGAAAGTAACAGAATAGTAAAATAATGACGTAGACATTTGATGAACTAATTATTTAATGTAACCATAAAAGTTGTATGTCTGTGAAGCATAGAAGAGAATGCTTGTGGTTAAAGCAGCACTGAATGCTGCAGCATGATCACTTACGGTCACACTGTGTAAGCCAGTATGAACAGACTATTTGTGTTAGTATGTCTGCCAGGAGCCCTGGCTGGGTGACTTAGTTGGAGAAAAATAATACATTAAAAATACCTTTGCAGCAGTGAACTTTTTGTTGGGATTGAAGGTGATTTTATTTTTAGTTTTCTGGGTTTTCTAGATCCTCTCTGGTAAACTTGCAATTAAAGAAAATGTGCTATAGACGATTTTATTTGTGGTATTAATTTGTTAGTATTTACAAGAGTTCATACCCAAGTACATCGGAACGTATGGCCGAACTCGAACGGCATGCGGCAAAGCAGCTGTTCTGTGCACGTGATTGAGTGCTTACAGAATTCAAGTTTGGAAAAGTTGGTGTAGGTTATTGCTAGATCAGCATAAATGATATATCTGCTGATATTTTGTGAAGGTTCTTGTAACTTGTTACTCAAAAAAATTTGAAGGGAGTTGTGAATGGTCAATTACTGCTCAGTGTCCCGAGCTCATTGAATTATTTTTCTTTGTTAACTACAGGGAAAATGTTGGAGAGTTCATTTGAAAATTGTTCTATTATACACAGATTTTTTTTTTTTAATATTGATTTTTTTTTTCAAAGAGAGAGTAAGGGAGAGAGAGATAGAAACATGGATGTGAGAGAGAAACATCAATCAGCTGCCTCCCGCACACCCCCTACTGGGGATCGAGCCCGCAACCCAGACATGTGCTCCGACTGGGAATCAAACCAGGACTTCTCAGTCCATCTACGCTCCATCCACTGAGCCACAACAGCTCGCTTGTTTTCATTTTTAATGTGCTTTTACTGAATAAAAAACTGACTTATTGTTTTAGGTTTTTTTCAATTGTCTTTACTTTTAGGTTAAAAATTTTGCAGTTATTTATCTTGTGGATATCACAGAAGTACCTGACTTCAACAAAATGTACGAGCTTTACGATCCCTGCACTGTCATGTTTTTCTTCAGGTACGTACTCTGCTCTCAGCGTTGTTGTTTGACATTGTTGGTCTGCAAGTTTCACGTGATCAGTGCCTTCAGATTCTTTCATGTCGAAGGAAGTCATGCAGCCGTATCACATACAGACTGTGTCACCAGGCAGGTGTTTCCTTGGGGTCCCTTCTAGAGGCCTTGATGAGTGTTGCCTATCTCCTCTGCAGGAACAAGCACATCATGATCGACCTGGGCACCGGCAACAACAACAAGATCAACTGGGCCATGGAGGATAAGCAGGAGATGATCGACATCATCGAGACCGTGTACCGGGGCGCCCGCAAGGGCCGTGGCCTGGTCGTGTCCCCAAAGGACTACTCCACGAAGTACCGATACTGAGCGCCCCTCACGGGCCCGGGGTTGGCGGGGGTCACTTCCACGTGTGGACGCTGGCTCTGACGCCTTGGAGGAGGAGTCTGGGAAGGACAGGAAGCTGCACAGCCTCCACGGGAGTCGGCCTGGCTGTGCTTTTATGCTCGCAGATAATCTGTAAGCACCCAGCCGAAGAAACAAATACACAGTGACGGGAAGTCCTGATGGTTTCTTTCTTGTATAGGTTACAGGTTTGGGAAGTAAAAACGTCATTCTTTTTTTTTTTTAATCCTCACCAGGGGACATTTTTCCATTTTTTGTTCAGATAGAGTGGGAGGAAGAGAGAGAGAAACATTGACATGAAAGAGACACATCAAGTGGCTGCCTCCCGCATGACCCCAACCAGGGCAGGGGACACACTGCAACTGAGGTACATGCCCTTAGCAGGAACTAAACCTGGGACTCTTAGGACCGCAGGCCAACACTCTAACCGCTGAGCAAAACTGGCCAGGGCCAAAACATCATACTTGACTGAAGTTCAGGGTGTCTGATGGCCGCTCTGTAGCTCTGAGTGTCCTGGGGCTGCTGAAACAGGACCACACCGAGTGGCACCCAGAAGAAATGTGTCTCTGGCCTGGAGACAGGATGTTCAGGGCCCCAGGTGCCCCTCCCCTCCCCGTCCCAGCCTTTGTCTTCCCCAGGCCTTAGCCCTGAGCCTGCAGCTGACCCCTCTGGGGTGGGCAGCCTGCTGAGAAGGGATGGAGGTTATTTGAAAGCATTTCTGTGTAACCCAGGGATCTAAGTGCTGACAGCCTCCGAGGGGGTGAGGTTAGGTGAGGCTGGAGTTGGCCCCCTGCTCACCTGCCTTTGTGGTTTCCTCGTTTTGCTTGGAGAGCGTTGCTCTGGGAACCTGCCTGGACTAGACATGAACATGAGTCTTCCCACAACGCTGTGACTGGAAATGTTGAGTGATGCAGCCATTTAAAAAGCAGCTTCTATCAGAAAATTGCTTATGATCTTTTAAAAAAATATTTATATAGAAATTAATTTAGAAAAAAAAATAACAGCATATGCTTTTCTTGTGTTTGTTAAGTGGTCATTCGCTTTTGGAATTTTATTCTCACCACACTGCCTTTGTTTTTAAACTTTTTTAATTGATTTTTTTTTTTTTTTAGAGAGGGAGGCGAAGGGGTAGAGAGACAGAAACAGCAACGTGAGACATGATCCGACATGATCCGCTGCTCCTGCACGCCCCCGGGCATGTGCCCTGTGGGGAACTGAACCGGGACCTTAGTCCACAGGGCCACACCAGCCAGGCTGCGTTTGTTTTTTTAATCTTTAATTTTACTAAAATGATTTTTTTTTAATCCTCACCCGAGGACATTTTCCCATATTTTGTTCAGATGGGGGGGGGGGGAATATCGACGTGAAAGGGACACATTGAGTGGTTGCCACCCGCACGACCCAACCAGGGCCGGGGACAGACTGCAACTGAGGTACCTGCCCTTAGCAGGAACCGAACCCGGGTCTCTCTGGACCGCAGGCCGACGCTCCAACCGCTGAGCCAAACCGGCCAGGGCTAAAATGATATTTTAAGTACTGAAAGTCAGAACTTGAGTTATGCAGATTATAACTCAAAAAGTAGTTTTCATTTGATCATTTTCAAGTGTGAATTTGGGTGTAAGAAAAGAGATAAAGATTTATTTACATATGAATGAACTAAACTGGAATCCAGGCTTTCAACAAATGTACCTTAATTCCCTGTAATTACTAGAGCATTTGCATGGGAACAGCTCAGATATAGGAGAACGTGATGTTAGTGACTCATTCAGTCAGGTGGCATCACGGGCTCACCACCAAGTGAGTCGAGTCGACCTGAGCTCCCTGTGGATTCGCGTCCGCCTTCCGCCGCCAGGGGCCACAGTGTCCAGGGCTCACTCTGTCTGCTGGAGTAAACATGGGGAAGGTGTTACGTTTCACTCGGAGACAGAAAGAGCCAGGTCTTTCCGAACACAGAACAGTAGTTTTTTAACATTTTGGGTCATGGACTCTCCTCCCAGGCACCACGCCCCCCACCCCGCCCCGGAGCACACGTTAGGGTTTGCAGATCCCCTGAAGCCCAAGGCACAAGCCCTGACCTAGTGCCACCTTCAAGCACAGGTTTAGTCAAGCAGACGAATTTATTTAGGCCTTTCTTTTAATGTCAACAGCGTTAACTGCTTTGAGCAAACTTGAGATACCTGGACTCATGCTGCTTTATGGCTATATGTGTGTAAAAAGTGAAGTCTTGCCCTGGCCAGCTGGCTCCATTGGTTGGAGCATCACCCAGTACACTGGAAGGTGGCAGATTCGATTCCCGGTCAGGGCACATCCCCAGGTTCAGTCCTCGGCTGGGACACATTTGGGAGGCAGCTGGCCCTGGCCGTTTTGGCTCAGCGGTTGGAGCATCGGCCTGCAGACCAGAGAGTCCCGGGTTCAGTTCCCACTAGGGGCATGTACCAAAATAAAATTAAATAAATAAATAAAGAGATGGGAGGCAACTGATTGATGTTTCTCAAATAAAAAAAATTTTTAAAGTGAAGTCTTGATACTTAACCATTTAATTTGGTGCCTAATATTTAGTGGTTTTTGACCAAATTTGAAACCCTGCTGGAGGGCAGGTGATGAAGGGAGAGGACAGAGTCCCCACGGCCACCCTGTGCCTGGCACTGTGCCAACTCCGGACCCTGCAGAATCACCCATTACTGGTCCCCACCTTCAGGCATGGCTAGTCACCAGTCAGCCCTCAGAGGTGGACGGCTCAGCGTCCAGTAGGCCTAGACAGGGCTGCAGGGCAGGTGTATCTTCACCCTACGGGCAGAATTGCAGAGTGCTCGTGGGTAGCAGGACGCAGGGTACAGCTATCTCTTCTACCAGAGGTAGATATTTGTAAGTCACGGATAGGTGAACTAGCTATGATGTATCAGTATGACTTAGGCTAACAATTGTCACTGAATGGGAGAACAAGAAAAGCAAAAGCATCTAATTAAAATATGCTCATATAATCAGAACGGTGCGTCAGTCAACAGGCACATCTTTCAATAAAGTTGTGTTTCTCCACACACATCACATGGACCTGAATCAGTCTGAGACCTGAGGCTGAGCATTTATTTGCATCTAAAGATCCAGTGCAAAATTCCACTGGAAAAGAGAGATTCGCGTGGCAGGGCCAGGGGGGATCCTCCAGACTCTAGAAGTGGGTTGAGGGCTTAATGCAACATTTCTTCTTTAATTCCATGAATACATTGTCTCACAGAAACTGCTACTTATAATCCCCAATGTCTAAATCATGGAGACTTGTGTTTTGACTAAAGATTAATTTGAGGGATGGGGGTAGAAAATACTTAAGCAAAATTCAATCATTTTTTAAGCTTTAAAACCCAAATTTTAAATAAAGTTTTCCACTTAAAATGTGCACTTTTTAAGGAATTACAAGAGCTTCAGTGCGTCTACTTAGAAAGGAGCATCTGTAAAGGGCTGTTACTCCTGAAGTTTTCTCCTGTAGCACAGAAGCAGTAATCCCCACAGGGAACAAGCACGGGATTGTACTTCTCAAGCCGAAAGCAATCACAAGCTCTGCACAATGTAAACTTACTTGGTTTCCTAGTGATGGCTTTACCATTTGTTCTTTGATGGCATTGTGGATCCCAGCTTGCACCATTAAGTCGCTCACGTTCCTCTGCAAGTCCTGGAGGCGGTTCCCCATTTCTTCCAGTGCCGCGTTAAGGTGCAGCCCAGCAGCCCCTGGCAGGGGGGCCCTGCCTCCACCTGCCTGCTCCCCCGTCTGCCACACCCCGGCCGCGCGACTCGGTGAGACAGTCTCTCCCCGGAGGTTTCTGTAGCTGTCTCTGACCTCGGAACTGGCAGCTCAGCTCTGAAATCTTGGCTCCCCTGGACAGAGACTCAGATGTGAGGCACTCTGGTATGTTTCTGTCTTAAGCATACTCTAGTGAGGATGTAAATGTAATGGAAGTGAACTCGGTTTAACTTCATCATGTCTAGGAATCATCTTCTCTGTGGGAACCCATCGACAGGATCAGAAACCGCAAGTTCCATATGTAAATGCTTCGCACAGCTTTTAGGGAATGAATTGAATTGTGTGGAGTGAGCTCAAGTAGGGCAGATGTTACCCTGGTCTGGATTTGCTCAAACTGGAAGCAAACATTCTATCCTGAGTGTGTTTGAATTCATGTCTTAACAAAACAGTGAGCTGCTCAAGTCACGAAACAGCACAGGTGGGAGCCAGGTGTAGCACCCGACACCCGAGGCCTTCGTGTTCTGGGGGCTGCGGGTCTATTTAGGGCTCCAGGGCTCGGTGCAGAAGCCCTGCTAGGGAGTCACGGTCCATGTGTCCACCTACTTTATTGCCACACGAGATGTCCTGTGCTGCCTGCTAGTCAAGCAGGAAGAAATTATGTGTGACGGCAATTACATCAGGAGGCCACGTAAGGCACAGAAGTAAACACCAGGGCATTCTAGGTCAACAATCACCCACTAAAAAGATACTCCACAATAATTTAACAGTTCAAAGCATCACAGTATTTGCGATAAGATAGAAAAGGATATTTCTGAGGTTTAATGTTGCGGTCAGAGCTTGAAAATGTTCTTGAAGTTCGTGAAATAGATTTTCTGCCTGAAAAAATTAGCCGTAAACAACGATTGTAATGTTTACTCTCAGTGTGGGGCATTTCGAGCATCGTAGACTAGAACCATCCACATACGTAAACTTTTAACAAGGGAAGTCTTTTCCACCAGTAGTGGAGGGACAGTGAGAGCCAAGTGCATAACGGAACTAACCGGCAGGACCCTACGCCTGCCCGGGGGCACCAGGACCGCCATGTCCAAGGACGGCAGGAAAACTCTCAGTAGCCCTGGGCGCCGGGAGCCTCCTGGCAGGGTTTGGCAGGGCGGCCACCAGGGGTCATCAGCTGGGATCTGCCGTGCGGAATGTCACGCGGAGACGCCCAACTGCCGGGCAGGCCACAAGCGCAAGTGACTCTCAAACTACTTGCGATGTAATTCGTAAATTCACACGTTTACCTCCACAGACCCGGGAACACTGGGGGTCAGTCTAGCATCGGCATTTCTTTGTGGAGACCACCACCCACTGTCAGAGGGTTTCACCTTCATCAGGAAAATGTAGGTTTAAGTACCTACAACATCTGACAAGTTCTTTTTAACAAGACGGGAATCAGCCTTTCACTGGTGCTTCCAGGTTACAGGAGGGAGGGTGGGTGGGGCCCCGCGGGGCTGCCTGTGGGTGGCCCCCTACAGCTGGGTGCCAGCATGTCCCCACCAGTCCCCAGCCCCGCAAGGAGTCTAGCACCAGGAGGGTGAGGAGGGAGGGTGGGGTCAGGGTCCCCACTCACCTTGCTCTGCAGCACGTCCCCGGGGTCTTCTGGTTCCTGGGTGTCCATGTGGACATGGGGCGTGTGGGGTGGGCCCCCAGTCCAGGTGGGTCCAGGTGGCTCCGGTGGCCGCGGGCAGGGCTCGGGCTGCAGAGTGAACAACTGAGAGCCTGGATGTGCTGTAGATGCAGAACAACTTAGGTGCTGGTGGTGAAGTCCTGGGCGGGGCACAGCTGTCCAAGCCGGGAGACGAAGAAGCTGCTGGGCAGGTCCTGGGAGAAGGCCTGGGAGGTGAGGGCCAGGTTTGGGTGGCCGCTTCATCCTGAAGGTCATTGTCATCGACCCTGGGGTGGGAGCTAAAACCCTCTGCAGGGACCAGGCCTTTGGTCTGAGTAGTTTCACAGCTCCGGTTTGCTTTTTTCATCCCATTGGAGATGCAAGAGGGAGGGTTAGGGCTAGCAATACCTCCTGCCTCTGCTCCTCCCCCTGCTCCTCCTCCTCATTACTATTATAATAAAATGCAACATAAAATCTACCATCAGGCCCTGGCTGGTTTGGCTCAGCGGTTAGAGCGTCGGCCTGTGGTCCGGAGAGACCCGGGTTCGGTTCCCGCTAAGGGCACGTACTTCGGTTGCAGTTTGTCCCCGGCCCTGGTTGGTCGTGCGGGTGGCAGCCACTCGATGTGTCCCTTCACGTCGATGTTTCTCTCTCTCTCTCTCCCTCCCACTCTATCTGTACAAAAAAAAAAAAATGGAAAAATATCCTCGGGTGAGGATTAAAAATCTACCATCAGACATTGTCGGGTGCACAGCTCAGTGGTGTTGGGCACATCCACCCGCACAATTCCTTCATCTTCCCAACTGAACCTCTGTCCCATTAAACTCTGCTCTGTCTTCATGTTCACTTCTCCAACGGGGGTCCTGGTGGCCCTGGGACTGGGCCCTGTCCGCACCCTGCAGGAGACTGTCAGCTTGGAATCTCTGCCACATCTATGGTCGGCTTTAGGGTTCAGAACCCTACGCTCTGTGGCCAGTTCCTGACACACCCCAGCACCTGCATCTGGATTCTGATTTTACGGAAGATCTGGAAGGAGCCCCCCACCCCCTTCTGGTGCCTTTTAGGCCTGTCTGAGTGGGAGCTCCTGGGTCACTTTGTGGGTGGCGACCTGTTTTGTACTGGTTTTGTACCCCTTTAAGCTTGAAGCTCTGTGGGGCAGGGCTGTGGCTGTCCGAGTCACCCCGATGGCCCAGGGTTGTAGCTGAGCCACACAGCACGTGGGCACCTGAGTTGCTGAATGTGTTTGTGAAACAGCCACACAGGCAAAGCCCCCAAGAGCATTAGTAACCAAAACCACACTGAGCCCGGCCCATGTGGCTCAGTGGCTGAGCATTGACCCTGCACCAAGAGGTTGCCGGTTCAATTCCCAGTCGAGGCACATGTCCAGGTTGTGGGCCTGATCCCCAGTGGGGGGCATGAAGGAGGCAGCCAATCGATGTTCTCTCTCATTGATGTTTCTATCTCTTCCTTCCTCTCCAAAATCAATAAAGAAAAAAAAGTTAAAAAAAACACCCCCCCCCCCAAAACCACACTGAGATCCCAGTTCACACCCATGATGGCTGCAATCAAACACAGACAATAACAAGTGCTGGCAGGAGGTGGCAAATCTGGGAACTCACAATTGCTGAGAGAATGGGGTACAGTGCAGTCAGTGTGGAAAGAGCCTGCTGGTCCCTAAAACCTCAATCCCACCTTGAGGTATTGACCCAAGAGAAATGATGACGTGTCCACACCAAAACACGTGCACAGATGTTTACAGCAGCGTGGAAAGGGGGAGCCAGTGTTTAATGGGTACAGAGTTTCAGTTTGGAAAGAGGAAACGTTCTGAGATCATGGCGGGGATGGCTGGACAACCTCGAGGATGTACTTACTGCGACTTAATGTGCACTTGCTGCCTTCAAGGTGGTAAATCTGATACTGTGTATATTTTACTACTATATATACATTTTTCACCATGTGCTGCACACTGTAGCTTTTATACTTTATTAAATAGTAGTTTTATTTATTTTTAAATTTTATTTTTGTTATAGATGTTTCTCCTTTTCCCCTCATTGACACCCTTCCCCTGATCCCCCCCCCCCCCCACACACACAAATTATATCTTTTTAAAATTACATCTTCCCAGCTAACTCTTTAAAACCCTAGGCTACAAATTCCAGGACTCACCACGATTCTCCCTTTCCCTTTTTTTTTTTTTTTAGAAACATCCATGAGAGAGAACATCGATTAGCCGCCTCCTCCATGCCCCCCACTGGGGATTTGGCCCACAACCTGGGCATGTGCCCTGACCAGAAATCAAACTGGTGACCTCTTGGTGCAGGGTCAACACTCAACCACTGAGCCACACCAGCCAGGCTCCCTTTGTATTTTTAAATATCTCTCTCAACTGTAATCTCTCTGGTCAAATGGGAACCTCCTCAGAAATTCTCTGATGACCCTGAGAACCACTCTCTCCTGGAGAAATAGGACCTGTCATTTCACACCGCGCACCTGGAGGGGTGTTCACCTACACTGCCTTGTTAGGGATCAAATTCTTCGTCCTGCATCTGTGGGAGGCAAATTCATTAATATGGAAGCGAGAATCACTCAACAGAAACCCATTTTGTTAAGAATATTAAATTTCAGGAACTAGGTTCAGGGGGGAAATTCTCTAACGAAAGTGACCTTGGAAATCTACAATGTGAAAACATTCCTGTGAAGCTGCAGAAAGTGAATGGTGATCGGCTGGTGCAGGGCACAGATCCGGGAGGAAAAGAGTCTGAGTAAGAAGCACGTGTTTGTGGAAGCAAAGACCTATAACAATAGCAGAAGCAAAATGTGAAACAAAAGTAAATTAGAAAACTAAAATTTTAATTTTGATAGACGAGAACGTCATAGTGTGACCAAATGGAAGAGGAAACTCTGTCCTGTGAAGAGTAAATGTCAGTGGAAGCTGCGCCGTGGGTTCCAGGTGACGGTCTCATTTCTAAGGCCTTTGATCTAAGACGCTGCTGAGTTTAAGATGCACTCTAATGGCCGAGAAAGGGAGAAATGCTGTCAATTACACTGTCCTGCTTAATTTTTATTTTATAATCATTAGAAGAGCTTTTTTATAGTTCCTGATGCTGGTAATAGACACATGGGTCTCAGTGTGCTACAACCACTTTTTAAAAATTGTATTCCTCACCTGAGGATATTTTTCCATTTATCATTAGATGGAGAGGGAGGGGGAGAGAGAGGGAGGGAGAGAGAGAGCAATATTGATGAGAGAGAGACACATCCACTGGTTGCCTCCCACACGACCCGACCAGAGCCGGGGACAAACCGCAACGGAGGTACGTGCCTTGACTGGAATCGACCCCGAGACTCATTGATCCGCGGGCTGACGCTCTAACCACTGAGAAACCGGCCAGGGCCAACCTCTTCTTTTGTGTTTGCAAATTCTCACTTATATGTTCTTTGGGAGTGTAGAGCTGGGTATACAGGCTGGAGTATAAAATGTTTTTGCAATTTTAGCTTTCATTTTTTAATGCAATGTTATCAACTATTTTTATTTTTTAATTCTATTTATATTTAAAGACAGGAAGGGGGTGGGCATAGAGAGACACCGAGATTTGTTGCTGCTCCAACAGGAGATTGAACCCATAACCTGGGCATGTGCTGATGGAATCGAACCCGCCACCTGTTTGTGTAAGGGAAGACACTGCAACCAGCCGAGCCACACCAGCCAGGGCTTCTCAACCATTTCAAAATTAATTATTTACGATGCCATTCTGGCCACACCGAAGGTCAGTGGCCTTTCCTGGAAGCAAATTACTCTGAATCCTGAGGACTTTCCGTATTGAGTGTAGATCTTGAAACAGTGGCTCCCGAGCCTGGCTACCCCAGAGGCTTCCAGGGCTGCCCAGACTTTAGTGGCCTTTGGAGGCGCTCCCTGGTGTGGGTGCCCCGCCCCCCATGGACCCAGAGTAGCAGGTGGCTGTGGGCTGGCCACCAATTTGCCCACGTGCCAGGAAAACAGGCCCAACAGCGTGACCCAGATGCTCCAGGGCGGCAGGGAAGCCCGTACCCTCCCTCCACCCTCCAGACTTCCGAGAATGGAATATTCTAGAGGCTTCACAGCTGGGGGAGGGAGTGGCTAAGTAGGAACACCTGTTTCCCTGGCCCTGTCCGGCTTCCTTCTCTGGGTTGTTTTTGTCTCTCTAGTCATGCTGGGTGTTGTGTTCTCTGTCATTTCTGGTGGGTACTGAATTGTGATGACCCAGAAATACCCGACGTCTGCCGTTCTCTCCAGCACCCCTCACACCAGGCTTGTTGGGGAGTTGGTCTTAGGCTGTAACTGTTAGGATTTCCCACAAAACCTCCCAGGTAGGAAGCAGGCAGCCCGACCTGTGTGGAGGCGGGTTGGGGGCCAGGTCTGTGCATCTGGGGCCACCCTCTCATCCTCCAGGCCTTCGCCTTTGGGGTGCTTCAGGTCTGCCCTGGTTGAGGGCAGCTCCTCTGCAGACAGAACCCGTGGGCCCTGAGCCCCACCTACGCGGGTCTCGGGCACGCAGGGCTGGCTGGCTTCAACAGGGTCCCCCCAACCCCACCACCCACCCTGGCGGCGCAGTCCCCGCCTCTGGGGCTCCCCGCGGTCCGGCACCCCTCAGGAACCCCGTTTCCTTTCACTGTGCAGGGTACCCTCTTATTCACATCACAGAACTGTGTGGCTGACTTGGAGCAGTAACCGCGTGTCTGATACGCGTGGCCGAGGCCTGGGGCACGTGCTGCGGGGACACTGAGGACCCTCGCGGCTGCGGCTTTGTTCCAGGAGAGCCGCCCGCCCCACCCGGTTAAACTCCCGAACTTCTGAGTCCTGCTCCGGGGTGTCCCCTGGTCAGGAGGGCCCCGACTCCTCCAGAAAATGACCGCGCGGGAGCACCCCGGGAGGCTCCTGGAGGCCGCCCCCTGGCCCCCAGGAGGGGTGACGCCCCCGGCTCACACCCTCCTGGTCCCCTAGACGGGTCCTCAGGCCACAAGCTGACCGCGGGGCTTCGACAAGACCCCGTGTCCGCTCCCTGTGACCGAGCGCCAGTCTACGCGGCCCCGCCCGGGACATGCGGAGACCGTCCACGGGACACCTGGCCCCGAAGGGCGGCCCGCCGGGCAGGCCTCTCGCCGCGGGGCGTCCTCACCTCCCAGGGCCCGTCCCAGCTCCGGGGCCGGACACCGCGCTCTAGGACCCGCCGGCGCCCGTCCCGCCCGCGGTGGGCGGGCCCTGGCATTGTGACGTCACGCCGAGGCGGGCCCCGGGCTCGGACGGGCAGACTGACGGACGCTGGCCCGACCGGCGGAGCCGGCGCAGCGGGTGAGGGCCGGGGCGGGATCCGTGGTGCGCGTGGGCGCGGCGTGCGGGGCGGGCGCCGCTGGACGGAGCCCCAGGACCCAGCCCTCCCCGGGACCGAGTCCCCCGGACCGAGCCCGCCACTCCCAGGGCGGTGCGTCCGCGCCTTGACCCGCAGCGATGCCGCTGCGCGCGCCCAGGGCGCCCTGACCGCGCGTGTCCGGGGAGGGGTCGCGCCCCAGCCGTGAGTCCCCGCGTGCCTCCCGGGTGCCCAGCGGAGCGCCGCCCCCTCTGCGCGAGGCCCCGGCCCCGTTCTTACCTCTCCTCTCTCGCCAGGCTCCGGCGGCGGCCATGTGGGGCTGACAGCCAGCGCGCGCTCCAGGCGCCCGTGGGAGCCGCGGGGACTCAGCCAGGTGGACGTCAGCCCGCGGGCGGGCGGCACAGGTGTTCGCGATGGACGCACAAGGCTTGGATTGGCTTTTGGTCCCGCTGCACCAGCTGGTTTCCTGGGGGGCGGCCGGGGCCATGGTGTTCGGAGGGGTGGTGCCGTACATCCCCCAGTACAGGGACATCCGGAGGACTCAGAACGCCGAGGGCTTCTCTACCTACGTGTGTCTGGTGCTCCTGATGGCCAATATTTTAAGGATACTCTTCTGGTAAGTCAGGGCTCTCTAACTGTGGGGTAGTCCCAGAGAGATGGCTTTCTCCTTTGGGGGTTTCCGAGTGAGGCCAGGGGTGGAGGTGTCTGTGCTTACTGAGAAGGATCTGGGGAAATGGATGAGACGATCTCCCAGGGAAAATGGTGGCGTGGGGTGGAGAACCTCACTCGTGATCTCAGGCTTAGTCTTCATTCCATGTCACCAGGCACTGGATGCTTCTCCGGGCCTTCACCCCAGGATGGGGTCCCTGACCTCAGGGAATTGGCATGAGAGACCAGGGGAGAGAAAACAACAGTAAATGAATGTCAGGAACGAAACACAGTGGCCAGTAGGAAGGACATCCTGCTGGCCAGTGAGACCTCTCAGGAGGGGACTTCTGAGCCTGAGGGGGGCCGGGGCCTGCTCAGGGCCAGCTTGGGGGGGGGGCGTCCCCTTCAACTCTCTCTGTGTTGTGTGAGTGTTGTTTATTTTCGAACAAGAAGTCCACTTTCTGGGAAACGCTGCTCAGAGACTATTTTTTCTTGCTCCACCCAGCCCAACTTCCTCTTCTTGTCATTTGCATTCCAGTAAAGAACTTGAAATTAATTTTAACAGTTGCTGAAGCCAGACATAGTTGGGAGGGTGAATGTTCAGAGAGATGAGGAGAGGTCTCATAGCTTCATTCTAAGGCCTCCAAGTCTGGAACTTTCCTTCCTTCTGGGTGGTCTCAGACCCCTGTGTCAGCAGAAAGGTTGCTCAGGGAGAGCCTGGCACCCAGGTTGGGAGGAGGACTTGAGGCTACTTCATTTGACTTTTGGTTACTGAGTAATTAGGCTTTTTCGCTTACTGATTTTCAGTCAGTGTTATTGAAGTATGATTTTCATTAAATAAAATCGCCCATTCTAAATGTACGGTTTGATGGGTGTTGATGAGCACCCCTCCCCCCATCATCACCATCACAGTCGAGATATGAATTTCCTGAGCCAAGAAGTTCTGTCTGCTCTGTGCCTCTGTCCAGCCAGGCCCCAGCCCACCCTGATTCACTTTCCTTAGGCATTACTTTTGCTCCTGTCTGGGTGTTTTTTTTTTTTTTTTATTAAAAACAATTTTTTTTCTTTATGATTTGAGAGAGAGAAAGGGAGAGAAATAGAAACATCGATGAGAGAGAACATTGATTGGCTGCCTCCTGCATGCCTCCCACTGGGGATTTGGCTCACAACCTTGCCATGTGTCCTGACCAGGAATTGAACTGGTGACCTCTTGGTGCATGGGGTGACACTCAACCACTGAGCCACACCAGCTGGGTCCTGTCTGGGGTTTTACAAGGTGAGCTAGTGAGTCAGTCGCATATTTAGTTTGTCACATGGTGAGCCCACTTTGCAGGGAGGGGTCAGTGGGGGCTTATTTTGGTTGAAAAACACATGTTGAAAAACAGTGTTTTGAAGATTCCTTCTTTCCCTTTGGCTGGGGGACCTCTGAGGCGGAACCCCTTGTTTCCTTTTTCTAAAATGGCCTGAAGTCTAAGCTTGCACAGAAGCTGGTGAAATGTATTGGCTGAGACTGCTGTGGACCCTGAGTGCTAGGAACCGCGTGGGGTTCGGACCTTGTGTCCGGCAGGTGCAGCATCTCCTTTAGCCTGGAATCAGTTTTCTCCAGCAGTGGAGGGAACTACCAGAGTTGGATTACCTTATGGGAAAATAGTTCCATTTAGAGATCTTTCCCTTCATCATGCTTGTCATTCAAAACTGAAAAAAAAAGAAAATAGAATATCTAATCTCCATTTTAGTATCTGGTTTGAAGGAATCAGAAATCACACCAGCTTCTTGAAGGTCATCTTGTTGGTGACTCTGGATTTAACTAGCATTTGATGTGTCTGGACCCCATGTTCTCTCTTCACCACAGGGCCTGAGTCTTAGAAGGTCTTGAGCTCCCTCCCAGTGCAGTGTAGGGTGGCCTTTGTGGGATTCTAACCTTGGTCCACTGGCAAGTCTATTTCTGCACATCCGATTCGTTCTTCCCCATAGAGTCAGCATCCTGAGCTGTCCTGGGTCACTTCAGGGGTCCTGGGTCCCTGGCTACCATGTGAGCACACAGGGCTGCCTGCAGCCAGCATCCCGAAAGGCTTAGAAAATGTGTCCTATGAAGGGAGGGCTGGCAGCGGTGCTGGGCCTCCTTGAGGAGGGAGCGCATTGGCCTGGGGGTCACTTCCCGACGTTGCACATTAGCAGAAGGGCCGGCCTCCATCCACAACTTGTCCGAATGTGTTCCTCTCTGCCCACCTGGTACTGAGACCCTACTGCTCTGAGGGCGAAGCAGATGCCCACTTACATTCCTCTCTCACTCTCTGTCCTCTCCAGGCGTCGTGGGTCAGCAGTCCATTTGATGTAACGGATTTTTTTTTTTTTTTTTTTTTTTTTAGTTTTCCTTGTGCCAGACGCTGGGCTAGATGCTTCAGTTTGCATGTTAGTGGACGCACTGTGGGGATGTACCATACACATAGGTTTAGTGGATGCACTGTGGGGATGTACCACACACATAGGTTTAGTGGATGCACTGTGGGGTGTACCACACACATAGGTTTAGTGGAAGCACTGTGGGGTGTACCACACACATAGGTTTAGTGGAAGCACTGTGGGGTGTACCACACACATAGGTTTAGTGGAAGCACTGTGGGGTGTACCACACACATAGGTTTAGTGGATGCACTGTGGGGTGTACCACACACACAGGTTTAGTGGACGCACTGTGGGGATGTACCACACACACAGGTTTAGTGGACGCACTGTGGGGACGTACCACACACATAGGTTTAGTGGACGCACTGTGGGGACGTACCACACACATAGGTTTAGTGGACGCACTGTGGGGATGTACCACACACACAGGTTTAGTGGACGCACTGTGGGGACGTACCACACACATAGGTTTAGTGGACGCACTGTGGGGTGTACCACACACATAGGTTTAGTGGACGCACTGTGGGGTGTACCACACACACAGGTTTAGTGGACGCACTGTGAGGACGTACCACACACACAGGTTATGGGTGGTGGGGAGGGAGAGCACAGGTCAGAGGTTGTGGCAGGTTCCAGGGGAGGTGGGAACTGGGTCCACACCAGAACAGCGCTACCATTAGGAGCACTGGAGAGAGTGCATTTCCAGAAGCTGGCCGGCCACAGTCCTCAGAGCTCCAGTCCACTTGGGAAGCCCCTTGAGAGATTTGTGCCAGGACACTAGTGGCTCCGCAGGAGGGGCTGACTGCAAACCCAGGTTTCTGAAACGAGGAGAACTCTTATGCCCCATTTCTTACCATCTTTTTGCAAAAAAAAATTCAGCATATCATACTCTAAAAAATGCTGATGTACAGGATTTGGCCTTTGAGGTATTAGAAGCCAGGACAAGGGCTAAGCGATGCCCCGTACCTAATATTTGTGGGCTCATAATTTTGTAGAGACAAAGGGGAGGGAGGTAGCCAGGGCGCATGGACCATGCTGCAGAGCCTCATGCATTCATGGAGGTAGTTCTCCAGCTCCATCCCTATTGGACAAACACACTGTATCAGAGATGCAGTAACATTGTTTTGAAAATTAAGCAACATTGTATTGGAGGTCTGGTAATACTGTATTGAAGATTTAGTAACATTGTATCAGAGACGTGGTAACATTCTGCTACTAATGATCATAACACTCAGGCCACACAGAGAAGCAGAACACAACTTCTCTTCCACTTGATATATTTTTCTGTTATTTTGAGAGGTAGAGAAGGTGTTCCCTGTGGAAACTTTTACTTGAACTTGGTAGAACGGTGCACGTCCTCTGCAATGTGTATTTCCCTAGGGGCGAGACACGTACTCTGCAACCAGGAGAGAACTCGCTTCGACTGGCTTCTCTGTAAGAGAAGAGGCTGTGCTGTTCCACGTTCTCGGCAGGAGAGGAGGAAGTGCTGTCGCGACTTACCTGCCAGCACAGACTATTTAAGGAAGAAAAAGTTTAACTAATTTCATAAGTAAAAAGTTGTATCTTTCTACTTTATTTGGGTTCAAAAAATTATTGATGACGTTGAACTTGGTTTCATCTTTATTTTGTTTCTTGTGTATTGTTTGTGGAAAGTTGTGTTTTTTGAAATGTTGTGTCTTGCTCAGCCAGCCTGCATCCCCAGATCCATTAAGTACTCATCCGTGCTTCCTGTCACTCACGTTCAATGGTCTCTTTTTCACTGTAAACATTGAGTTCGTCTAAATTTGATTCTCGGTGTGTCGTGTAAGGAGAAGTACAAACTTGGTATTTTCCCCACAGTTTCTCTAGTCACTCATTGTTTCTGTTGAAAATTTGAAAAATGGAACTGGCCCTTTTCACATCATGGCCCAAATGGCCTTACAGCTTGGTGGAAGGGGTCCCTAATTTGACTTATTTTGTTTTGATGCCGGCTGCTCAGCCTGACATGGAACCTTCACTGTCCCTCATATTACCTTTACCTGTGGGTGAGTCCACCTCCTGGATCAGCTAGGTAGCCAGTGGGGACCAGGTCTTAGAAATGATTAGAGCTTTCTTCAAACAGCCTTAGGGGTTATACTTGCAATTTATAAAGAGTGGGCTTGAGGCCATGGGTCACTGGGGCCAGAGGGCCTGGGGGCTGTGGTGAGCAGGAGCCAGCCCTTGGCAGACTCCACCCCACCCATCTGTGCTTCTTGGCCAAGAAAGCCCCGGACACCATCCCTTCTTCTGCAGCACCTTCTCCTCACCCAGGCCCGCTCATTGGCTCTTGCTTGTCCTGCGGGGTCAGTGGGGGTTGAGGGGCTGCTGTGCAGGATGCCCCGGGCCCCTCCGCACCCAGCTCTGCCCTCTGTGGAGTTTGGGGCCTGGCATCATGGCCACAGTGGGTGTGGCCCTCTGGCCCTGGTCAGACCCGGGCAGGGAGCTGGGAGTTGCCCCTGGCAGTCCCCCTCCTGACGCCGTGGCTCCTACCCCAGGTTTGGAAGGCATTTCGAGTCCCCGCTTCTCTGGCAGAGCATCGTCATGATCGTCACCATGCTGCTGATGTTGAAGCTGTGCACCGAAGTCCGTGTGGCCAACGAGCTCAATGCCAGACGCCGCTGCTTTGCAGGTGGGTGGTCAGCACCTGGGGTGAAGCCACAAAACCACAGAGCTTGCCTCGTCTGCGGGTGGGAGGCAAGCCCCTTCAGCCCAGCGGCGTCCGAGAGGCTTGTCTCGCCACGTGGCACTGTGACCTGTGACCGATGTTGGTGTTGGCAGCCTGTGACCTGACTGCAAACATTTTATACTGTGAAACAGCCCAGATCATAGTTTCTTCCCTGCGGTTTGGGCGAGTTACCTGGTTCTAACGTTTTTCTCCTCACTGGGACCTGGCTGCGTGCGGAGTCTGACTGGGACCGGAGGCGTGTTCAGCTGGGCTCCTCTCTGGCTTGGCCAGGTCAGAAGGACATTTGGGAGAAGGCAGTTTGTCTCTGACTTTCTGTGAGGCTTGTACATGAAGCCTTTTCCCGGTGGCCAAGTTAACTGGTACTTACTCACCTGCCTTGTTAAAAATACTCCCAAAGCCGTGACTTTGGGGGTGCTGGTGGGTCCCCACCTGGGTGTCCTGCTTGGGCAGCATGAATGACAGGCTCAGCCACACCACTGTTGGACATCTTTGGCTCACCGACCAAAAGGTGCTTCTGCCTGTTTCTGCCTGTTCCTTTGGAGAAGCGTCTTCTGAGCTGGTGTCCCGTCTGAACGTCAGCTACTGGGCTTCTCACGCGCGGGAGGCTTGGTGCCGTACTTCCATTTCCTTCTGACTGCAGATGTGCCGGAGCTCGTCTGTGATTGTGTCGCTCAGAGAGGCGTTTCCTCAGTGTGTTCCGTTTGGGACGCCATGGACGTGAGGTCTCGCCCGAGCTTTTGTCCCTGAGGTCTCGCCCGAGCTTTTGTCCCTGAGGTCTCGCCCGAGCTTTTGTCCCTGAGGTCACTGTTCTCTGCGAGCTGCCCCTCCTTCGTGTAGGTCCTGGTTTTTGAGTGAGAGAAATGCATGTTCGTTTCCGTCCTTGTGCAAAGTAGGTCAGCCTCCTGCTCTGACACAGGGCCTGCGCCACCAGTGTCACTAAACCACGCAGGCGATCATCCTGTTCCTGCGTGTGTGGTGCTTTCTCCCTGTCGATGCTGTTGTCTCCTCTGTGCTCTGTCCCCGCCCCCTGTGATGACGCGGGGGTCACCCCGGAGCCGGTGCTGACTGTGTCCGTGGTCTTGTGTTGGAGGCAGGGCTCAGTGAAGGGGACCCATGGCCAGGAGTCTCTCGGACAAGGGCTTTCTGCTCGCCCAGCTTCTGCCCCAACCTGTGACCTGTGCCCCTCGGAACCTCGTCTCTACTTTGGCACCACCCCGCTGGCCGACGGCTCTGTGCGCCCGGCTCTGGGACCCGAGAGCAGGTGTGTGGCCTTGTTCGGGTAGCGTCGTGTAGGCCACCAGACAGCAGGCGTGGGCGCCGCCAGGCCGTGCGGCGTAGGCGACCGTCTTTGTGGCCTGCTCAGCCCCACGCTCCCTTCCCTTCAGTTTTGCCAGCAGGTCTTCCGGTCGGCGCAGTGAGGGCAGTGGGCACTGTGAGGGACCAAGGGTCTCCTCTGCGGACTTACCTTCAAAGGCTCTCGATGAAGTGAGTGGGGTGGTGGACGTCTGATCATTTCTCTTGATTTCCAGTGTTCTGTGTAAATTCTTCCAAAAGGAGTATTTCTATTCTGTTACCTGGGCTTGAGTTAGAATAGTGAATCTCGCCTGGCTGGTATGGCTCGGTGGTTGAGCATTGACCCAGGCACCAATGGTCATGGGTTCGATTCCCAGTCAGGGCACATGCCCAGGTTGTGGGCCTGATCCCCAGTGGGGGACATGCAGGAGGCGGCCAATCAGTGTTCTCTCTCATTGATGTTTCTCTCTTCCCCCCTGTCCCTTCCGCTCCCTCTAAAGTCAATAAAGAAAAAAAAAGAGCTGGAGTCTGAATTGTAACAAGTGACCTCCTGGGGGCGGGGGGAGGCAGGCAGGAACCTCATGAGGCAGAGGGGCTCTGCAGGTGGAGTTAATTTAAGGTGGGGCCTGGAGCCGGGCTCTCTGGGGTGTCGGCGTCACAGGGCCCGGAGAGGGGAGAGCACAGGGAAGACCTGGCAGATGGATCACAGACAGAGGACTTGACCTTGCTGGCTTTGAGGGCGGGTGAGGGGCGAGCTCCAGAGGGGCCCACCCCTCATCCTACAGCCACAGGGACAGGAACCCAGTCCTCCAGCCACAAGGAACCACATTTTGCCGACAGGTGAATGAGTGGAACCGGTTTCTCAGGAATCTGTGATTCGGGCTTGACAGGGCCCTGACATCCGCTCCTTCTCTGTCTCCTGTTCGCTCTCGCTCACGTCTGGCTTGGTGCTGGCCACCAACTGGAAGCTCAGTGGGCTCGCTGCTGGAACGTCCACGTGTGGCCTCTTCATGTGGCCTAGGTGTCCACACGGCGTGGCCTGGGTTTCGAGGGTGCTTTTGAGAGAACTGGGTGGCCACTGAGTCATTTTAAAGATCGAGTCTCAGAAAGCATGCAGCTTCCTTTCTGCAGGCGTGTGGCCACAGGTCCCCCACAGCTAGGGACAGAAATGCCTCTTCCTGGTGGGGAGCGTTGAGGTCACGGAGGATGTGGGCCTGGCCGGGAGTGCGTCCGGCGCAGATGTGTGGAAGGACAACGTTGTTGAGAGCATTTCTGATGCCTGTCTCCTCCAGTCTGTCCACACAGAGAGGTTTTTCTAAGACGTAGATCTGATCATGGTGCTTTCCAGCCGAGAGGCCTTAGGCGGTGGCGTTGGGAGTGTCCGATGGGGCCCCGCAGGGCTGCCTGTGCAGAGCTCGCGTGCACTTTGCTGGTGCGGCCTGGACACGGGAGAGAAAGGCTGTTTGCTCTGAGCTGCACAGGAGCCACTTCAGGTCCCCTCCTGCCCCCTCTCCCCTGCCCGCCCTGCTCCCGCCCCTCCTCCCTCTCTCTCATCTGGGACCTTGATCTTTACACAAGGTGCCAATGAATGGTGAAATTGGTCTAAATTAAAAAAAAAAAAGAAGAAGCAAAAAGCTGAGAAAATCCACGTGACTCTGGGTAGTCAGAGCCCAGAAGGTCCAGGGGTGGTGCTGGGAGGTCAGGTGAGAGGGCCACGTTGGGGGGTGCTGTGACCCTCCCACCACAGCCCCGAGTCCTGGCAGCTGGTCTGCTCTTTGCTTTTAGCTGCTCACTTGCCAATTTCCATGTTTAGGGGAGTCCCCATTGCCTGGGCAGCTGAGGCGACCTTTGATCCCACCTCACTTTGTGGTCACAGTGACTCACTGGAGCCTCGCTCTTCCTTTAACCACCTCCCACCTGCAGGGACCCTGCTGGCTCTGTTCCAGCTCTGTCTTCCAGGGTGTTGGGCTGCTGTCGGGGCAGTGCAGTTGGGAGGTCTCCGGCGGGGGTGGGCCGCTGGTGGGGGGTGTAGGGGCAGGGCACCTCAGAGTGGAACCACCCCTCCGTCAGGTGCTGCTGGCTGCTGGGCTGGGTCACCTTGGGGGATGCAGCACTGTCTCCTTGCTTCTCCCCTTTGTGTGCTAAAGCAGCTCTGGGGGTGTCCTGGGGGTGTCCTGGGAGAACAGCAGTCCTCGGCCCAGAGTTCTGCCCTGGGCTGTGTGGCAGCCAGTGTCTGGGGGGCAGAAGCAGAATCTGGTGACTGCAGGTGCCACCTTAGCAGTCAAATGAAAATGTAGTGACTTTTCATTTTTGGCCCCAAATTTCCTCCCTCTATTCCAAGTACTTATTTGGAAAGAGGGTAGGTTTGGAGAAAAATAGTTCAAAGGTGGATTTCCTGATGCACAGACACCAACATCTATGGCCTTCCTGTCCCAGTGGTTTTTAAAGGAGGAAATGCAAGAAGGGCTGAGACACAGCTGCTCGTCTGGTTAAAACTGTTTTGTCTCTTCCTCTCTGTTTCCCTCTCTCTCTTTAAATGTAGCCGCAGATAATAAGGACGAGGAAATCAAAGTCCCCCCCAGACGGTCCTTTCTGGGTATGTACCCCCTGCATGCGGCATCACCTCGTGTTTCATCCCATGGCAGCTGTGTCCCTCTCTGTCACCTCTCCCTCTGTGCTCGCAGCCTGGCCGTGCTTGTGACTCCGTGCACCCAGTGTGGCCGCACCTCCCGCCAACTAACCAGCCCGTCGCCTCTGTTCTCCGCATGGAGTAGTCAGTTCCCAGAAGCCTGCCCCGTGTTCCTGAGGGTCCGCGAGAGACAGAGAAGGGAGGGAGGGGAAAGAAAGAAAGAAAAAGAAAAGAAAGGATCAGAGTATAAGTTCTGGAATTCTTCTGTTAAATGTATCCTAAATACTTTATTCCTTTTGATGCCATGGTAAATGGATTTGTTTTCTTGCCTTGGTTTTTGGGTTGTTCATTGCTACTTTGTGGAATAAAATGGATTTTTGCATATTGATCTTGTATCCTGCAGCTTTGATGAAATAATGTGTTAGGTCTCATCGCTTTTTAGGGGACACTTGAGGATTTTCTACATACAAGATTATATCATCTGCACATAGTTTTACTTCTTCCTTTCCAACCTGGATACTTTCTATTTCTTTTCTTGCCTAATGACCTGGCAGGAAGTGGCCTGGGGGCTGTGCTTGTCCCTGATCTTCGTGAGAAGGCGTTTGGTCTTTCCCCATCGAGTATGGTGGTTCTGCACAGACGCCCTTTGTTCGGCTACGTGAGCGCCCTCTATTCTGAGTTTGTTGAGTGTTTTTATCATAAAAGGATGTTGAAGTTTGTCAAATGCTTTTCGGTGTCTGTTGAGATGACCATGTGTTTTTTGTCCTTTCTTCCATTAATTATACTGTATGATATTGATTGGTTTTTGTTTCTTGTACCAACCTTGCATTTTGAGAATAAATCCCATCAGATCAAGGTATATAATCCTTTTTTTTTTTTTTTTTATCCTCACCCGAGGACATTTTTTCCATAGAGTGGGAGGGAGGGAGGGAGGAAGGAAGAAAGAGAGAGAGAGAGAGAGAGAGAGAGAGAGAAACATCGACATGAAAGGGACACATCGAGTGGCTGCCACCCACATGACCAACCAGGGCCGGGGACAAACTGCAACCGAGGTACATGCCCTTAGTGGGAACTGAACCCGGGTCTCTCTGGACCTCAGGCCGACGCTCCAACCGCTGAGCCAAACTGGCCAGGGCTATAATCCTTTTAATAAATTGCGAGATTCTGTTTGCTAGTAACATGTCGAAGATTCTTGTGCCCCTAGTCGTAAGAGATACTGGTCCTTTTCCCTTGTGATGACTGGGGTGTCAGTGTCCGGGCACTGCCGTCTTACGGAAGTAAGTGGAGAAGGGCCTCCCTGCGCTTCTGTTTTGTTTTTTGAAGAGTTTGTGAAGGATTGGTATCAATTCTTTGTTAATTAAACACTTTTAAATTGCAGTGCGACATACAACATTGTGTAAATTCAAGGTGTACATGTTAATTTTATAGACTTATGCATCGTATCATGATTGCCATCATGGCGATACTTAGCACCTCTATCACAGGACATAGGTGTTTCTGTTTAGCGACTGGAATTATTAGTTTTAGTTTCTAAGCAAGTTTGAGGGTTATAACACCATGTTGCCATCTGTGTTCATGGTATCTGTGGACATTGTATCTCTCGGGCTTATTCATTCTCACTGCAGGTTGCGGTTCTTTACCTGCTGGGTGGAATCACCCGGAAAGGCGTCTGGGTCTGGCTCCTCTTGGGGGAAGTGTTTAAATCACTAGTGCAGCCTCTTTACTGACTGTAAGTCTGTTCGGTGTTTCAGTTTCTTCCAGAGTTAGTGTTTATAGTTTTTTTCTTGGGAGTTGTGCATTGCACCTACGTTATGTAATTTGTCGGATTACGGTCGTGCCCTGTGTTCCCTTGTAACTCTGCCCGTTCCGTGGGTTTAGAGTGATGGTCTCGCTTTCACTGTTGACTCTAGTGATTGGCGTCTCCCCTTTTCCCTTTTCCTTTGGTCATTCCAGCTATGTGTTTGTCAATTTTACTGATTTTTTTTTCTTCAAAGAACCAACTCTGGTGGTGTTGATATTCTCTACTGCTCATTTATTCAGACTTGATGCTGATGACACCAAACACTGTCTGGCTCCTGAAGGCAGGACTCACACTGTGTGGCCACACAGGAGGTCCAACCAGAGCCGCGGACCCCCCGCCACCACCCTGCAGGTGCTGTGCGCTCCTCGTGGGGACGGTCTGGCCGGACCGCCCTGCATTCCCTTGTTCTTAGGAGCATCCCAGCTGCTTCTGGGAGGCCATCTTCCCGCTTGTGATTGGCCAGTTTCTGGGCAGCACTTTGGAAGGGTGTGCTGCCCCCTCTGCTCAGATGTTCACTGCATTCCTGTGCCCAATGCCAGCAGCAAGGACGTGGGGCTCCTCACCTCCTGCAGGGACCAGAGCTGTCTGTTCTGGCCCCATCTGGGGAGCCTGCAGGCGGGTCCCTGCGTCTGCCACCGTGAGAGGGTCCAGGTGCCTGGTGCCCCCACTGCCCTGCCCAGGAAGCTGCCCCTCCTCTGGGAGGAGCCTGGGGGCTGCCAGGTGGGGGGGTGGCCCTCATGGCGAAGGCCACGAGGAGGGAGGGGCCGGCACCAGCGGGTCCCAGGCCCACTGGGTTCGGTTGGGTTCTGTAAAGTGTGCTGATGCAGGCACCCTGCAGTGGGACCAAGAGAGCTGGTGACCGTCAGTGACGTGACTGTCCCTGACAGAGCTGCGGCCGGAGGAGTCCAGCCAGGGGGCGGGAAGGAGGCCGAGGTGGCCCGGTCGAGCGGACTTTGTTTTCAAGCAGAGCTGACGTTGAACACTCAGCGTGTGGCCGGCACTTGCTTGTCTTTCACGTGCAATTGCTCATTTAATTTCCCGTTGGCCTTGCACAGGGGACTGTGATTTCCCTGCTTTGTGGATGAGGACTAAGGCACAGAGAGGCTGGGTCTCCAGGCAGGTGGCCATGTAGCAGTAGCGGCCGGCTGGGGCCCTGGAACCTGGTCAGTGCCCGCCTGTGCCTCACCCTCACCCTCCGGAGCCCTGCGCCCTTCACTGGGGTCGACTCTCACCACCGGCACAGTCGGTCTCCCCTATTCCGGTGGGACATCAATGCTGCCTGGCTGTTCTGCCAACTGTCCCCCCCAGCTCCCTCAGGGATCCAAGGGGTTGGCTGTACCTCCAGGTGCCCTTGTCGGCCCCTTGCTGGCCCCAGGGCCTGCGCTGACCACGGAGCACTGTCCCCTCCCCACTGCACACACAGCCTGGCAGTGTGGAACCCGGGACCTGCACTCAGGATGAGGGGACAGGCAGGGCCACCCGCCCGCAGTGGGGCGTGGCTCCCCCGAGGGCATGAGGCTGCCACGTCTCTGCCACAGCAGCTTGTCCTGAAGCCGTGGCGCTGTCTGTGCATCTGCCCGGGCCTGGAAACACCAGGGTTTTCCCGGGGCAACAGGGCGGTGGGCGCAGCCACAGGCCCTTGAGTTCCCGGCGACGGGCAGAGTTCTAGCCGTGCTGGCGGCGCCGCATTGACGCACAGCGGTGCCCGGTGCGAATGCAGCGCCAGCCAGGGAGCCAGCCGTGTTCCTGGCGCACACGGGAAGTGAGAAGACGTGGGTGAAGTTACTGAATCTGCTCTTCAGCGAAAGGCTCTCACAAGATTGTGTAACCACCACACCAGTTATTAACAGGATATTTTCTGTCCTTCTTCCGCATCGAGCCTTCGAGATCAGGGGTGTGTCCTGCGCTCAGAGCGAGTGTGCCCAGCGGTGTCTCAGGGCTCAGTGCCCGAGCAGGTCAGTGCCCTGCAATTTGGGCACACGTGTTTTTTCCTCAATTCCTGACGGGGAGACTTTCCCGGGCTGTTGCTTGGGAAGGTGATTTTTCGAGTTTCCAGGGTCCTGACCGTGGGAGACCCTGTCTAGACCGGCCTGACCTTTCCTCAGTTTCGTGAATTTCCGCAGCTGTGGTGACGCTTTGCCAAGACCCTCAGTGTCCTGTTGCTGTGGTCGCTGAACTGCCCATCAGGAGGGTCACCATCTCTCCCTGTCGGTTTGAACGTACAGAAGGGAGCAGGGAGGCCCTTGCTGTTGCGTCTGCCGGGAAGGTGTGAGTTTTTGCGATCTGCAGTCCCGGGCATCGCCGGGTCCTGACCTCTGGTGGGTCCAGGCACTCAGGGCTGACTGGGGTTCGTCGTGAGCGTCTCCACATCCCCAGGCCAGAGGAGCGCCGGGCTCCAGCAGGCGGGCGGGCTCACGCTCAGCCACAGGCCCTCTGCCCTCTTATCTCGAAGCCCAGGTGGTGCGGCAGCCACCACACACAGCACGAGGCCGCTGTCAGTTACGGGGGCCTCTTGGAACCTGTCCCTCTCCTCCTCCCTTGGGTGTGACCCTGATTCAGAGAGAGCTGCTGGCCGGGTGGCTACCGGCTGTCCTGCTCGAAGTTTTGGTCCCAGTCCCGAGAGGCAGCTCTTTGCTGTGGACCTGGGATGCGAGCCCCTCCCTGGACGGCCTTAGGACAGCCCTCAGCGTCCACAGCGTCCCCCTCGTTTCCGGGCACAGGGCCGGCTGGGCTGGGAGGGCACAGGAGCTCCAGCCACTGGCAGCTTCCGTGAGAGGAGAGTGGCCGCCGGCCGCCTGAGTCCTCCGCACTCTTGGTGCCTCTAGGGGTCTTGTGAGAACAGGGACACCGAAGGGGGGTCCCGCCCAGGAAAGGGGGGCATGTGGAGGCCCCGTGGCTGTGCGTGTGTCACCACGGGGTTCACACCACTCTCCGCGGGTTTTCATTGTGGTGTGGGCCCCCCACGCTGCCCTCTGCCTGGCGGGTGGGTGTTGGTGGGACCACGGGGGCCTCCTTGCTGCTTTGGGGGCTGAAGACTCGGCCTGCACTGATGGAGCCAGGCCACACGGGGGAGCTGGTGGGCTGCCGGATCTGGAGCCCAGCGGTTGCATAACCGGTGTCATCGGTGGGGTCCCCTGGAGCCCTAATGAGGAGGCGCACGGGGAGTCACCTGGGAGGCCAGGGTTTCTTCTGCTCCCAACGTCGACGTCGGAGCTGCAGAGGCTCTGTGCCTCGGCTGGTGGTGCCTGTCGGGCGAGAGTGCAGGCCCCCGTCCCCCGCACTGCGGATCTGTGGGGGGCTGCCTGATGCACTGTCCTCCCCGCCTCCCAGTTTCGGGCCCCTCGGTCTGCGGGGTCACACCACTGCCGGGGCCCCGGGGCCTGTGTGCGCCCCACCTCAGGGAGGCCGGGGTGTGGGTGAGGGTTGCTGGGAGGGTCTCCACCTCTGAATTGGCCACAACAGAACCTCCCTAGGGTCCCTGGGGGCAGGGTGGGTGCTGCCATCCTGGGGCTCAGGGAGGTTAGTCCCGTCTCAGGGTCACACGACCGGGGTGGGGGTGGGGGGCGCCATCCGCTGGATCTAGAGGCAGCGTGGCAACAGGGTCCGGGTTCAAATGCTGTTCATCCCTTCTGGCCGGTGGCTCTGCCTCAGTATCCCCACATTTGGCTTGTTGGGGTTCCAGGTGCTGACCTAGAGGCCTCTGGAGAGGGGTCCGTGCCTGCCGGACCCAGGCAGAGACACCTGCGGCCCAGCCAGAGAGGCAGGCGGGGCTCAGGGAGGAATGGCCCGCGGGCGTGCCCCCTTTCCCACCCCATCCTGGGCCTCAGCCCCCAAGGGGCATCAGGGCCGGCCAGCCCGCCACGCGGCCTCTCTGTCCATTTAGAGAGGTGGTCAGTGATGGTCCCAGATGACACCCTGGGGTGTGGGGCCTATTGCCTGACCTCGAGGCCCCCAGTCTCCTTCTGTTAAAGGGGTATCCCTGTCCACGGGCATGGGCAGGATGAGGGGCTGGCTATACGTGGCCTGCCCAGTGCTGGCCCTGGCTTGTGCCCACGAGGGGCTGGCACGGTGCTGTGCATGACCCTGCTCCCGTTTCTTCACCCCGTCGGGCTCTGCCACCCTGGGCACCGTCTGTCGTTCTGCCAGGCTGTGCTGTGTGCAGGAGGGGCCAGCGTTCATCCGTCTACACGGTCTCTTCTTTCAGAAGGAAGACTTCGAAAATGTATCTATGAGGCTGTATTCTCTGCCACAAGTTAATGTAATTACACAAAATTAATTTTTGTGAGTTTTATGTGTAAACACAGATCCCTTTGCTTCCACGGACTTAATATTGTGAGATTTCTTGGCAAATGGCCGCCCTGTGGAGGTGGATGTGGCTCAGGGGCTTTGCTTCCGAAGCCGAAACCCGCGATACCCCCCCCCCCCCCCGGGTGGCACTGTGCCCGTCTCTTCTGCCGCGAGACTGTGTGGGGCTCTACTTGTGGGAGGTGGGAACAAACCTGGGTTGCTTGAGACGCTCACCCTCCTGGGGACGCCTCTGTTTGTTTCTCTGGCTCCTCGGGTCTGTCTGTCTGTCTGTCTGTCTGTCTGTCCTGTGAGTGCTGCTCGTCTGCAGGAGGGGGCCTGTCAGTCGGATGCAGTGGGAGCCTGGCGATGGGAGACTTGGGCTCATGGCGTTTTATCCTTAACCCTCCGAGGGGCGGTTTCCGGCAGTTTGTGTGGCTGGTTTGCTGAGCGGCTTGGGAGGAGCTGCCTGTGGCCGGGCGTCAGGTGGGCCCAGCGGGCCTGGGGCTGGACCACCGAAGGGGACGGGGGCACCCGCCAGCTGGCCTCAGTGGTGGGTCCTGGGGCCCACACTCGTCCTGGGGGCCTTCTTCTGCCCAGGCCTGTGTTGAAGACCTGCAGACCTTCCAGCGTCAGGGCACCTGTGCCAGCCCATCGGCCTCGCTCTGAGGCCTGACACCCACTTTTCCCACCAGGAGAAAACGGGTTCGAGTGTGACCCACGAGTTTAGGGACAGGCCACTGTTGTGATTGGTGGCCTTGGCTTGCTCAGAACCAGCAGGGAGGACCTGGGTGGCCCTTCTGAGAAGCTGCCCCGGTCCCTTGGCACGGAGGCCCTTGCCCACATGCGGGTCCAGCTGTCGGCACCCCTGGCACCCACCGTCCCCTTTCTCTCTGTACGATGTTGATGGCTCCAAGTCACTCTGTAAGTCGAGTCACTGTGTGTGTGTGTCTGGTTTACTCTGCTCAGCATGTTGTCCTCAAAGTTCAGCTGTCTTGGAGCCCGAGTCCTCGGCTCTGACCACGTTCTCTCCACTCAGCGGGCACTGAGGCAGGACTTCGCCCAGACCTCTGTCTGCAGTGCCTCTGATTTTGCCCCCGTTGTGTCCCCAGCTCCCCTGGATGCCCCTGAGCTGTAACAGGGGCGTTTTCATGACGCCGGGTGGCTCACACCCCACCGTGCTCCGTGTGACCTCCGACTGCAGACCGTGCCCATCCCCCTATCCCCCTCTCATACTCACCCAGCAGGGTTCTCACGCGGGATGAGGGCCGGAGCCCTGGGGGACTCAGATCTGGGGGCTGGGAGGACAGGGCTGTATGTGCAGCCTGCAGGCCCCTATTCCACTCTTCCCAGCTTCCCAGATGCACTTCACACCCTTGCGGGCCGTCTCCTGGCGGAGGCCCTGGCTCCTGACTGCAAATCGAAGGGCTGGGCTGGACTGGGGTGCATTGTGCCCCTTCATTCCCCTGGCTGTACGCACCCGCCTCTGTCCCCAGAACCTGCCAAAGCCCGTGAACTTCATGTACTTTGCTGATTTCTGTGAGTTCAACCCAGACTGCTTGGTAATACTAATCCTCTTTTACATCGAAAGGAATGGCCCTGGCCGGTTTGGCTCAGCGGTAGAGTGTCAGCCCGCGGACCATGAGTCGCGGGTTTGATTCCAGCCAAGGGCAGTTGGTTCCTGTTCAGGGTCCTGTGGGAGGCAACATGATGTTTATCTCTCTTTCTGTGCCTCTGTCCCCCTCCCACTCTGTCTGAAGATAAATAGGGAAAAACATCCTTGGGTGAGGATTAAAAAAAAAGAAGAAATGGAGAACAACTGACCTGGCACTGTGGAGGGAGGAGGGGTATCAGCCCAGGAAGGAGATTCCAGGGCCTCAGGGATGACCCTCCCTGTGCGTCATCAGTGCTGCTTCAGGCTGAGCTAATGTCTGTGCGACTCTCCCTCAGGGCACCTCAGGGCATCCTTGGCTGAGAACAGTCGGAGCCTCACAGCTCACATCCCCCTCCTCCCGCTGACCGTGACCCCCTCACCCGGTTCCCGTCCCTCTCCTCCCGCTGACCGTGACCCCCTCACCCGGTTCCCGTCCCTCTCCTCCCGCTGACCGTGACCCCCTCACCCGGTTCCCGCTGACCTTGACCCCCTCACCCGGTTCCCATCCCTCTCCTCCCGCTGACCGTGACCCCCTCACCCGGTTCCCGTCCCTCTCCTCCCGCTGACCGTGACCCCCTCACCCGGTTCCCGTCCCTCTCCTCCCGCTGACCGTGACCCCCTCACCCGGTTCCCGTCCCTCTCCTCCCGCTGACCGTGACCCCCTCACCCGGTTCCCGTCCCTCTCCTCCCGCTGACCGTGACCCCTCACCCAGTCTCACGCTGGCCACGCCCTGACCACCCCGTCTCTCCTGCCCCAGACTTCGACTCCCGCCACTTCTGGCACTGGAGCAGCTTTGCGGACTACCTGCAGTGTGTCCTGGCCTTCACGGGCGTCGCAGGCTACGTCACCTACCTGTCCATCGACTCGGCCCTGTTCGTGGAGACCCTGGGCTTCCTGGCCGTGCTGACCGAGGCCATGCTGGGCGTGCCGCAGCTGTACCGCAACCACCGCTACCAGTCCACGGAGGGCATGAGGTGGGTGGGCCCGTGTCCACTGCTGTCCACGGCAGCACCGGGTACACAAATGCTCGATAAAAGTCAAATGAGTACAAATCCGGCTGCTTCGTTTTCGATTCCGTTTGTAAAACAGCCAGTTAGAGAGCAGTTGGGTTGAGACACATCGGTCTACTGACCTCGTGATGTGTGAGCACCAGGCTCGTGTGTGATGGGCGGGGAGACACTGAGACCCTCTCGTGAGCAGGTGGCGGGTTGTGGGGTCGGACAGCTGCTCCTTCTGGCTGCTGAGCCCGAAGAGTCGGAGCGGGAGGGAGGTGCGGAGTGGCCCAGAAGCAGAAGCCCTGCTCACAGTGGGGGTGCATAGCTCTTGGGGGGTGTGCCGTGAGAAGCACTCTCAGGATGAGTCCAGAACAGGTCATACTAAATTGACACCAAAGGATTTCATTTGCTTTCAAGCAGTCGTGGTTGGTGTTGTGTTTTAAATGTCATCCTTCTTTTGTTTGCTACTATACAGAAATACAATTAATTAGTATGTTTATCTTGTATCCAGTCACCTTGCTGAACTCATTATTTTATTTATTTATTTTAATCCTCACCCGGGGACATGCATCTTGATTTTAGAGAGAGGGGAAGGGGGAGAAGGAGAGAGAGAAAGAGAGAAACACATTGAAGTGGAACAGAAACATTAAATGGGTTGCTTCCTCTCTGCGCCCTGACTGGGAATCAAACCCACACCTCTTGGTGTACGGGACGATGCTCCAGCCAACTGAGTCACTGGCCAGGGCTGAACTCATTATTTTTAGGCGTTTTCTTGTAGGTCCTGGATTTTCTGTGTGAACAATTATGTGTACATGGGGACAGTTTTATATCTTCCTTTCTGATCCATATACCTTTTATTTCCTTTTCTTGCCTTACTGCGCTGACTGGAACGTCTGGGACTGTGTTATACGAGCAGTCGTAGTGGGTGAGGTGTTTCACCCTCAGGTGTGATGTTAGGTGTCGAAAGTTCTCAATTCGTTTTTCTGAACATTTTTATATTAAATGAGTGTTGACTTTTGTCAAATGGTTTTTCTTCCTTAAGGGATATGATCATGTGAGTCTTCTTTTTCAGCCAATAGCAATGACATTGACGATTTTCAGTAATGACCTAGTCTTGCGTTCCTGGAATAAAGCTCACTTAGTTCAGATGTACAAACACACACATGAAAGTAAATCGCTGAATTCTACCTGCTCATACTTCAGAGATTTTTGTGTCTGTTTTCACGAGGGATATTGGTCTGTAGTTTTCTTTTTCTTTCTCTTTTTTTGGTATTTTTCTTGGCTCTGGTATTAAGGTAACACTGGTTTCATAAAATGAATTGGCAAGTCTTCTTTTTCTGAAAGAAATAGTGTAGAATTGGCATTCACTCTTTTTAAGCATTTACTAGACTGCTCCAATGAAGCCATCAGAACCTGTATATTTTTGGGGGGAGGATTTAAATTATGGATTCAATTTCTCTCCTAGTTGTAGGGTTATTAAAATTATTTGTTTCATATTGGGTGATCTGTGGTAGTTTGGGCTTTCTCAGGAGTTGGTACATTTGATCTGTGTCGTCAAACGTAAATGTGTAGAGTCGCTCAGAGTTTCCCTTCTTGTCTTTGGGTGTTTGCAGGGCTGGTCCATTACTGGCCATTTGCAGGCGTTGGCAAAGTCGGTTTATAGTTGTGAGCATGTGGGACAGAGGTTATTCTTGTGTTATTAATTTGTATTTGTAAGCCTACTTCTGTAAGCCTATTTTCTCTCTTTCTAGAAGTCTGTCAATTTTATTGATCTTTTCAAAGAATTAGCTCTTTGTTTTGTTGCTTATTTCACATTTTACAAATATTTGCTCTTATCTTTCTTTAAATTATTAAGATAAGACTTTTTCTATCTCCTAATGTAAGCATGTAAGGTTATGAACGTCCACTCAGGACTGCATAGCTGCGTCTCACACGTTTTGGTGTTTTATTTTCATTTTCATTCGTAACTAAGCCGTGTTTATTGTAAAACTTTCCCTTTGACCTGTAGGTGACTAGAAGTGTGTTGTATAATTTCCGTGTGTTTAGAGGTATTTCTGTCTTTCCATTATTTATTTCTATTTTTTTATTTTTTTTATTTTTTTTAATCCTCACCCGAGGACACTTTCCCATTTTTGTTCAGGTAGAGTGGGAGGGAGAGAGAGGAACAGAGAGAGAGAGAGAAACATCGATGTGAAAGGGACACATCGAGTGGCTGCCACCCGCACGACCGACCAGGACCGGGGACAAACTGCAACCGAGGTACATGCCCTTAGCGGGAACCGAACCCGGGTCTCTCAGGACCGCAGGTCGACGCTCTAACCGCTGAGCCAAACCGGCCAGGGCCCATTATTTATTTCTAATTGGATTCCATGATGTTTAGAGAACACACTCTGTATGATTGTAATTCTCTTAAATTTGTTGACATTTGTCTTACGGCTCAGAACCTGGTCTGTTTTGGTGTGTGTTCCGTGGGTACTTAAAAGACTGTGTATTGTGCCCTGGCTGGTTTGGCTCAGCGGTTAGAGCGTCGGCCAGCAGACCAGAGAGGCCCGGGTTCGGTTCCCGCTAAGGGCACGTACCTCGGTTGCGGTTTGTCCCCGGCCCTGGTTGCGGTCGTGTGGGTGGCAGCCACTCGATGTGTCTCTCTCACATCCATGTTTCTCTCTCTCTCTTCCCACCTCTCTCCCTCCCGCTCTATCTGAAGATAAATGCAAAAATGTCCTCAGGTGAGGATTAAAAAAAAAAGAATGTGTATTGTGCTCTCGTTGAGTAAATGTTCTTTAAATAGCTATTAGATTCTATGTGTGGATGTTGTTAAGTTTTGATTTCCTGCCCACTTTTTCTGTCCGTCGCTGAGATGTTGACGTCTCCAACTATAATTGTGGATTTGTCTGTTTCTAGTTTTAGGGTCACATGCTTGGTAGCTTTGCTGTTTTGGTGAACACACATCTAGGATCCCAGTGTCTTCATGGCCAATTGGCCCTTTTACCTTTAGAGTGGCCCCTGTCTCTGGTGATTTTATTTGCTCTGCAATAGGCTTTATCTGATATTAATGTAGCCATTGCTGCTTTCTTTGATTCATATTTGCATAATATATATATATATATTTTATTATTTTAGTTTCAACCTGCCTGTGCTGTTGAATTGGAAGTGAGTTCCTTGTTGAAAGCATCGTTGGGTCACGGTTTTGAACTTACTTTATCAGTCTTAGTCGTTTAGTTGATATGTTTATACTGTTTACATTTATTATAATTATTAATATGTTAGGGTCTACCTCTGCTTCATTACTTGTTGCTTTCTGTACTGTTTCTTGTTCTGTTTTCTTTTCCTGACTTTCTATGGGTTACTTTAACTTCTTTAGAATTCATTTCTATTTAACTATAGTGTTTTTGAGTGTCTGTCTCTTTATATAGTTTTTTTAGCGATTCGTCTAAGTATTACATTATGTATACATAACTTACCACAATCTACTGTGTCCTAATTTTACCCCTTTTTCTCCTTGCCCTCCACCATTTATAATACCCTCTTCTTAGCCATTTCCTCCACTCATAGATTTTGTTTGTTTCAGGCATATCCATAGTTGCTCATTGAAGCAATTTTACTGTGGCTGCTTTAGAATCTTTGGTTTTCTAACATCTGTTACCTGTTTGGCATCTTCCTGGGTCTTGGTATGATGGGTGGTTTCAGTGGAGACCCAGACATCTCCGAGCCCTCTGGCCCTGGCTCTTAGTCAGACCTGTTGTAGTGGCTCTCAGACCCACCGCAGGGGGATGGTGCCCGGCAGGGGGGACCTGCCCCCCGCCCCCCGCCCCCCGCCCTCAGGACGCAGGGCTGCAGCGTGTTCTGCCGCCTCAGTGAAGCGGCTGTGCCCTCTGAGTGCTGCCTCTCCTGCCCGGCTGCCCTCCTCCTGGTCTCTCGGATGGAGACAGCGCCTGGTTTGGGGGCTTTTTGGTCTGTGACTGTTGGCATTTCTAGGTTGCTGGCTTCTTTAGCTTCAAGTCTGGGATTCATGGGGCAGAAACATTCCACTGTGTTGTCCAGTGTGTTGTTCCCTGGGTCCCGAGGTCCTAGCCAGTCTGTCTTCTGTGCACCTTTGAGAGTCTTGTGTGTTCAGGTTAAATGCCCAGTGCTGTGTGGGAGGAAGACGGCGTCTCCCAGGAGGCCGGAGGCTGGGTCCCTGCTTTAACTGACCCTCGGTCCCTGTGCACATACTCTCGTCTTCGATGCAGAAAACACACCTGCAGCTGTCTTTCAGGCAGCCTTTTGTTGTTATTAGTCCTCACCCGAGGATATTTTTAGAGAGAGTGGAAAGGGGGGGGGAGAGAGAGAGAGAAACATCGATGCCAGAGAGACACATTGATCTGTTGCCTCCTGCAGGACCTCAGCCGAGGCTGGGGATTGAACCTGCAACCCAGGTGTGTGCCTTTGACTGAGAATTGAACCTGTGACCCTTTAGTCTGTGGGCTGATGATCTGAACACTGAGCCAAACTGGTCAGGGCTCAGACTGGCCTTTTATCTTCCTCTTACTAGTTCTTTTTTTTTTTATCCTCACTCGAGGACATTTTTCCATTTTTTGCTCAGATAGAGTGGGAGGGAGAGAGAGAGAAATATCGACGTGAAAGGGACACATCGAGTGGCTGCCACCCGCACGACCAACCAGGGCCGGGGACAAACTGCAACCGAGGTACATGCCCTTAGTGGGAACTGAACCCGGGTCTCTCTGGACCGCAGGTCGACACTCTAACCGCTGAGCCAAACCGGCCAGGGCCCTCTTGCTAGTTCCTGACCACTGTCTCCACACCCTCAGAAGTGCCTGCGCCCAGGTGCACTGACGTTTTACTTTGTTTCATCTACTTGACTGAAGGCCTTGAAGGCAGAACTGTGTCCCACCGACCTCTCTCCCTGTCGTCCGATAAAGTGTTTGGAAAGCGACAGCAGCCCCGTAAACGCTTAGAGTGAACAGGTGAAGGAGCGAAATAGCAGAGTCTCTGCATCACCTTTGGAGAGGAGAACAGGTGGGGAATGATCCTGGGCCTGGAAATCTCCGGGGTAGGTGCCCGCCGGTCGAACGGTTCACATAACAGCAACGAGGTGCCCTCCTGGGTCAAGAGCCGTAACTCATGCAGCCAAGGAGGCGTTGAGAGGGACGCCCGTCCCGGCTGGAGGTCTGAGCTGCTCTGCAGAGGCACCGGGGGTGGGGGGTGGGGGTGGGGGGGAGCGGCACGGTCCCTTCCCACTCGAGGTTCAGCTCCTCGTCGCCCAAGGTCACATTTTGACAGATGTGTGCAGAAGGCCCCGGGCTCCTGCATTTAGAGTCGACTTTGGAAAGAGGGGTGCCAAAGTGACCGGGTGCGGCTCAGGGGACAGCACACCCGCTGCAGTCCTGGCTTCTGGGCATAAAGGGGGTGTGTGGCCCTCAGCCCCAGGCCCTCTCCCCAGGGGCCCCTCCCCACTCCCCCATCTGCGGGGGAAGCAGGATGGGGAGCTCTCCTGAGAGAAGGCAGAGGTGTCAGGGAGAGTGGGGCTGCCTTGATGAGGCTCAGCATGTGTGTTGGGGGTGCTGAGCCTATGCAAGGACCCAGGGCCCAGGACCAGGTCCCACACAGGTGGCCGCCATGAACAGGGTCCCATGTCCACGGAGGGGAAGCCAGTCTGTCAGGGACTGAGTCACTGATTCCGTCCGCTCCAGTACCGGTCCCGTCAAGACCCTGATGGTCCCGGGAGGCAGAATATCTGCACAGGTCACTGCCCACGGGGAAGGCTCCTCGGGAGCCTGTGCTCAGCCGGCTCCCGGTGCGGTCAGCACACAGCAGCCCTGCCCATTTGGCTCCGCAGTCAGAGTGTCGGCCCGTAGACCCAGGGGTCTCAGGTTCGATTCCTGGTCAAGGGCACGTACTTGGGTTGCAGGTTCGATCCCCAGCCCCAGTCAGGGTCGTGTGGGAGGTAGCCAATGGATGTGTCTTTCTCATATCGATGTTTATCTCTCTCCGTCTCCCTCCCTCCCTTTCTCTCTCTCTAAAAGTCAATGGAAAGAGATCCTCGGGTGAGGGTCACGAGCCACAGGACACCTGTGGTCTCCGCATGGGGGACTGGCCAGGGCTCCTGTGGGCCCGTCTGCAGGGCCAGGCCACTGGGGGCTCCAGGGCCTGAGCTCGGCCTGAGGCCTTGTCCTCTGCATGGGGCCTGGGCCCGCCCACACCGCAGCTGGAGGAGAGGTGAGGTCAGGGCTGTGGAGGTGGGGGGAGGCGACTGGTGTCCTGCGGAGCAGGGAGCGGTTTGCTGGGTCAAGAGGGGCCCCAGTTTCCCTGTTTTGAGCAGAGTTGACATGGGGGGGGACAGTCCTGTCTCTGGATTTGTTTAAAAGAAACATCCTTTGCCTGGTTGGTGTGATCCGTGGTTAGAGCATTGGCCTGCGGGCCAGAGTCACGGGTTCGATTCCGGTCAAGGGCATGTACCTCGGTTGTGATTTGGTCCCTGGCCCTGGTCGGGGTTGTGCAGGAGGCAACCAGTCGATGTGTCTCTGTCATGTCAGCCCCCCCCCCCCACTCTATCTGAAGATAAATGGAAAAGCGCCCCCCAGTGAGGATTTAAAACAGACAGAACAGCACAGCACAGAACAGCACATGACGGGGTGTGCTCACCGCACCATCACCGTCTCGAGTGCACACTCCAGTGGGTCTTAGATTTCACCGAGGTGCATACCTGTCACCAGTCTAATCTGAGAGATTTTCATCACCCCAAAGAGAAATCTCGCCCCCCTGAGGAATCAAGCTTCGCTTGCTCCCAACCCCTGCCCTGGCCCTCGGCCACCGTGACCTGTGCGGTCAGGCTGCTCCGGACACTCGTGTGATCAGAATCACGTGTGCTTGGTCTGTGTCTGTGACCCGTCAGCACCCCGTGTGTGTTCCAACGCCGCTTCCCTTCTGGGCTAACAGACCACTGTGGGCGGGCGGCGCTGTCTGTCCATCTCCAGTGACGGGCTCCTGGGCTGTGTCCACTTGTCGGCTGTTGTGAATTATGCTTGAACACTGGTGTCCACGTTCTGTGTGGACAGAGGACCCTTCCGCTGGGACATGCCTGGGGGCAGAACGGTGGGGTCACACGGTACCTCTGTGTGACGGTACCACCGGCCGTCCCCACCGCGGGTGGGGGTTCTGACCCCACAGCCCGCCCCATCCGTGCTAGCCGTCCTCTCGTGCGTGGGCCCAGGGCGGTGCGGCGTTTCCCTAACGACGCAGGATGCTGAGTCTTCGTGTGACTACTAGACGCTTGCACATCTTCTTTGAAGAAAGAGCTGTTCAGGTCCTTTGCCTATTTTGACTGTTGGTTCTCTGTATTTTTATTATTGAGTTGTAGAGTCCCTTAGACTTTTCTGGATACTAGAACCTTGTCAGATACGATCTGATGTGCAAACGTTTCTCTCATTCTGAAGACTGTCCTTGCATTTTCTTGATGTTTTCCTTTGCAGCACAGGTTTTAATTTTGATGAAGTCAAATATGTTTTGTTTTAATTATTATTATGCTTTTGGTGTCACACCCAAGAACCCGTGGTCTGACCCAGGGTCACGAAGACTCCTTTGCGACGCGTATTGGGCGGACTTTCAATTATGGGGGTTCTTGGTGGGTGGAAGGAGGGGGAGGCCTTGCCCTGTGAGGTGGGCACGAGCTGTGGGCCACGGTGAGGGCGCTGGGCAGGTGCAGGCGTCTGGACTCTCATCTCCTGGGCGCTGGTCTGGGAGGGGCCTTCCTGGCTGCGGATACGCTGTGGACGAGGGGAGGTATTTTAGGAACAGGGACCCGGCAGCCCATCGGGGAGGCAGAAGGCTGGAGCCAACACTGAGGTCACAGGAGCTGGGTTACAGTGTGGGGGAGGGGGTGCAGGACCAGCAGCGGGGCTGGGGACGGCATGAGGGGAACCAGAAGAGGGAGCCCAGCCCCAGGTCAGCAGCCTGAGCCAGGGGGATGCAGCCTGGGGCCTGGGAGGCGACAGTCCCCTCCACTCAAACTGGCCCCTCTGCAAGGTTCCCTGTGGGTTTCCTGCGCTGGCGGGACTTCCTCCCTCACGGGGGCTCCTTGGGTGGGACCTCCACCCCCAAGACGAGGCCAGACCTCGCCACTCGCAGTGGCCGAGCGCTGGACCCACGTCTGGCAGGACGTTCCTGGTGCTCTGAACAGTGACGGCAGAGGCGCTGAGGCCCGCCCGCCGTCCACCTGCCCACACCGCATTGAGGGTCGGGTGATGGGACGCCCACGTCAGAAAGAGCAGCCTTTGGGGCTTGTTGAAAGTCCCTCTGTTGAACAGGTCCTGGGGGACCCCGGCAGCAGGGTGTCATTGATATCTGACCGGCTGCCGTGCCCGCCCTCCCCCAGCCCTTGCTCAGGCAGCTGGTCCTGGGGCCTCAACAGGCTGCTGGGTCCCTGTCCCCATGCAGTCGCCGACTGAGCGCTGAGGCCAGGTGAGGCGTCTGGGCAGCTAAAAATGTCCCTGTGCGTCAGGCAGACTCAGCTCCAGGATGACCGCACGTCTGCTCCCGCCCGGGTGAGTAGTGAGGCCCAGCGCACCGCCGGCCCCAGGCAGGCGGCCCCAGGACAGCGACAGGTGTCCAGGGACCCCGTTCAGCTCTGTGCTGCGTCCGTCCCTGCAGCCTCTGGAGGAGGCACTAGCCCGTCACCCCTGGGCGTGTCCCTGACCCTGTCGGTGCCTCGCTTCCTCCTCTGTGCAGAGGGAGCCACAGCCCACGTGTTGTCTCGTTTCGGGGCAGCGCTTGGTGTGCATGTGGGGGAGCGGGCGGGGCCTCGTCATGGGAACCTCGGTTCCAGGTGTGGAGCTGCCCGGCCCCAGGCTGCAGCCGTCCGCTCTGGCCCAGGTCGCAGCCCCTGCGGTGGCCCCTGACTGTCCGACCAGGGCTCGGGGAGCTGGGATCCCAGCACTGTTCTGTTGGTGGGACGAGCTCCCCGCCCCACCCCTTCGTGCCCCAGCGCCCGAGGGGCCCAGTGTGAGCCCCACTTCGGGAAAGGAGTTCTGAGCCAGAGTCAGCTGGAGTCCCGAGGAGAGAGATGCGGACGATCTTGTGTTGATGTTTCCGGGACGCACCTCCCGTAACTGTCACCTGTGAGGGCAGCGGTCAGCGGTCAGCGCACTGCGGATGGCGAAGTGGGTTCAGGGTGTCTCGAGTCGTAAAGGGGGTGTGTTTCTGTGACAGTGTTCACGGTGGGGACGGGGCGCTGTGCTCCACCACTGACTTCCATGTGGACAGAGCAGGGGTGACGGGCGGGCTGGGCGGGCACCGTGCATGTCCCTCTCGGGGCGTCTGGCACTGGAACTGGGGATCAGTGCCTGCCCTTCCTGCTGCCGCTGTGGCCGGTGCAGCTGGGGCTCCACGGGCGGGGCAGAGGGGCAGAGGGGCAGAGGGTGGGAGGGCCCCCCCTTCCCACCCAGGCTGGAGCCACGACCTTGGATGCCAGTCCTGAGGGTCCCTGTGGCCGAGGGCCACTCTTCCCAAGTTCTCGGCGGCTGCTGTCCCTGCCAGGCTGGCCCCTGGAGCGGGTGGTGGTCTTCACGCCCCCGTCTCCCAAGGGGCCCGCCCCAGGTGCCGGCAGCCAGGAAGGATGGACCTCTGTGAGGTGTGGGGCTGCCCTGTGCCAGCCCAGCCCCTGGGGGCCGAGGGTCCTCCTGACCTTGTGCTGCACAGGAGGGTGGAGCGGGCAGGCCGGGGCCCCCTGACCTGGCTTGTGTCTCTGCAGCATCAAGATGGTGCTCATGTGGACCAGCGGCGACACCTTCAAGACGGCGTACTTCCTGCTGAACGGCGCGCCGCTGCAGTTCTCCGTGTGCGGCCTGCTGCAGGTGCTGGTGGACCTGGCCATCCTGGCGCAGGCCTACGCCTTCTCCCGCCACCCCCCGAAGCCCGCCCCCCACACGGTGCACCCCGTCAGTGCCAAGGCCCTTTGAGGCGGCCAGGAGGACGAGGACATGTGACTGCTGGCTGCAAGTCTCGGCCGGCCACCTGCCCTCCCGGGTGGGCCTGGACGGTGGACAGCGGGGGCCTGGGGCCGTGTCTGCACTCACTCGCTGGGACGGTGCAGCGGGTGTCGCCCCACGGGTGGGGCTGCGGTGGTTCTCAAGGTGGTGGACAAGCAGGTGTCACTCCCAGAGAACCCGGAGATGCTCCCAGGCCTGGGAACTCGTGGAGCAGGCCGTGCGGGACAGCCGTGCGGGCTTCCCCATGGCTCCGCCCGGCGTGTCCTGGATGCGCCCGGGATGCTGCTGAGGGACGGCACTGGGAGAGCTGGGCCCCAGCACACGGGCCCGTGGTCAGGGCAGCGGAGAGTGGACGCCCCGCTGGACAGCATGCGGCAAGGGCGCCCAGGGCAGGACGCGCTGGGCACAGGGCACCGCCTGGGTCCGGTGTCCACGTGGAAGGGGAGCCACACCAACCCACGTGATGTGGGCCCTGGTCTATCTGGCCCAAGTGGCCCTGCCCGGGCCCCCTCAGTGTGACCACCTCACAGTGCTCGGGACTCAGCCCTCGGCTCCGTATGGGGCCCAGAGGCCTTGCTGCTGCACTGGCCTCCCGCAGAGGGCCAGGGACAAGCCCATGTCTGTGCCAGCTGGGCACTGGCCAAAGCAAGCTCAGGGGAGTCTGAACCAAAGCCTGGAGTTCTCACGCGTCCTGGAGGGCACGGTGGGTGCGGGCGGCCCATGTGGCTCCCTGGGCTCAGGGCAAGCGGGCTGCTGCGCGGCCTTTTCCGTTTCCCGGGAAGCGGGCACGTCTGCAGCTGGTGATGCCGTGTCCCAGGACAGACGCGCTGAGCAGCCCCGCACCCACCGGGAGCCGGTGGGCCCGAAGTGACCTTCCAGGGCGGTGGGGTGGCCTGCACAGGCGTGTCTTCCCACCGTCTCCCGTCCACGTGTTCTCCATGTTCCCGCAGGTGGCTGTGGGGGGCCGCTGTCTGCCACCGTCACCACCTCTCCCCCTTCCAGGGTCACACGGGCATCTCAGCCGGGCCACCGCGCAGTCCCCGTGCTGCGGAGGCCGCGCCCCTCGGCGGGGGAGGGGCGAGTCTGTGCACCGCCCTGCGTCCCAAGCGCCCGAGGTCGGGGTGGCCGGGGAGGAGCTTTCGAGGGTGTTTCCTCCTCCCGACTTTGCCTCAAAAACTCCTGGATATTTGAGTGAGGATCCTGCTTAGTCCTTTGGCCTGTAAGATGCTTTGAAAACATGTATTTTAAAAAAAAATGAAGGGAGATGTCTGTAGCAGAAATTGCCTCTAAATTAAAGTGTCACTGTCTGCAGTGGTGACCGCATGTGCCGTGTGTGGGAACACTCGGGGCTCTGTCCGCACAGCGACTGGGAACCAATGAACTGCTCGAGGACCCAGCGTGGCCGTGTGAGGGGAGCCCGTAGGGCCAGGGCACACTGAGCGACCAGCCTGTGGTCTTGTTTTGCTTCAGGGGTCTCTGGGGAAGGTCCGGCCCAAGCACCAGCCTCTGCTCAGAAGTGTCCATGTCCCCTGGGCTGGACTGACCCCCCCTGGGGCACAGCACTGGCCCCCATCCTGAGACAGGCTCCCCTGGAACAGACGAGGGAGCTGGCAGGCCTGGCTGGTCGCCCTGGACGGCTCCACTCCCCCACCTGCTAGGAGCTGACGTAGGCAGCCCTGAGAAGGCCGAGTGGGGAGGGCCTTCAGCTCCCAGGGGCTGGGCGGCTCGGCTCAGTCTGACCCCTGGCGCGTCTGCGGGTCCCTGGTAAGACCAACTTGTTTCCCTGGTCTCTGTTCACCTGACAGTGAGCCACAGACATGACAGGTGGAGCCCAGGTGTTCCCGTGCCTCTGGACATGGGGTGGGAGTGAGGAGGAAGACAACGGGGAACTCGAGGCTCCTCGTGGTGGCCCAGACTCCGCACGGACAGGCCGCCTGTTCCCACCCTGGTGTCTGCTTCTGGCTGGTTCCCGGAACACAGCCCCGTGCTCAGGGGAGCAGGGCCAGTGACAGGCTGGGAGTACCTGGGACTGGAGGGACACTGGGCTGAGCATGCAGGGGTGCTGTCCAGGTGCAGTGCCCACACTCTGCATGTCCCGACTCCCTGTGGTCCCAGGAAACCCTTCCTGGCCCTCAAGGCCTGTGCTCTGGGCAGGGTGCTGCTCTGCCCTACAGGGCTCTGAGCTTGCAGGAGGCCCCGCCCCACCCTGGCCCTGGCCCCTCCTCCCCAGCTCTGGGCCTGCCAGGGGCCCTGCCGAAAGCTGGGAGGGATGATGGTGGGCGGGGGCCTCAGTGGGGCTTCTGAGTGATGCAGGTCCCCCTCCAGCAGGGTCTGTGGCAACGATGTCGGGGGGGGGGGTCATGGCTCAGCTCCTCAAAATGAGAAGTGCGGAGCAGCATCCCTGGGAGGCTCCAGTCCTCTGTCTCCTGAGGGAGAAGGCTGGTGCCTCGGTGACAACAGGCCTCGAGCGCCCGGGGCCTCCCCCGTTCCCTCCCCTGTCCCCTCCCTCTCCCCCACCCCCTCCCCCTCCCTGACCCTCTTCCAGGACTGTGGGGCTGGAGAAGCCCTGCAGGGACGGGTGTCCCAGAGGGTGGGACGCGGCCCCCAGCAGCCAAAGTGAGAGGCGTTTCAGGGCAGAACTGTGAGGAGATGACCCAGGAGGACCCCCAGGACAGTGCCAGGGAGGAGGTCAGAGGTCAGGGCTTTTCCTCCAAAGGAACCGGGGAACAGGGGGCATCAGTGTGAAACCTCCGGGCCTGTCGCTTGGCAGGGACGTGGGCTTCTGCAGAGCTGGGTGTACAGGGAAGGCCTTCCTCCCAGGGGCACAGCCTGCCCCCCAACTCTTCCCTCAGACTGCTCCTCACTGCACCCCCTGCCTCCACTTCTCCGAGGACCTTCGGGCTGAAGAGTAGGGCAGGGTTAGTCTGAGGTCTGGGGACAGTGTGACCTGCTCCTACCACAGGCTTGGCTGTTCTGAGACTTCTTGAATTTATTTTTAGCTAGCCATGGAGCCAGAAGTCCAGGGGAGACACAAGGAAGGCGGACAGGCTGGGGAGCCCGCAGGAAATGCACTCAGGCGCAGGATGGCTTTTCACACCACCTCCTGCAGGCGGGTCAGCCTAGGCCGAGTCATGGGGCCTTGCTGGTCCTAGCAACATGCACGTGGACCGATAGCTCAGCAGGAGCCAGGCCCCTGGGGTTTGGGAGCTGCTGCCCCTGAGCTTGGTCCCTGACCCTCGACGCGGTGGGAGGCGAGGGCTGTGCTGCTGTTTCTAAAGCTGGCGAGGAGCATCCTCCCGTGACGGACAGCTGCGGCCCTCGGGCAGCAGGGTCCCCGCCGGGTCAGGCCGGCCCGCGCGCACCCACGGGCGGTCCGCGGAGGCCCTCGCCTCGCCGGCGCCGGCGGGACCCTGAGAGCTGTCCTCCGTGGCGCTGGCGGAGCGCGTGCTGTCCTCGCGCAGGGCCGGCTCGGGGCTGGCGGCGCGCTGCTGCTGCTCCTTGAGCTCCGAGTAGGAGCGCGAGAACGTGTGGAAGATGGAGGTGACCGGAAAGGCCATGAGCAGGATGCCGCTGAGGATGCTGCTCAGCGCCACCACCTGCCCGGGCAGGCTGCGCGGCACCATGTCGCCGTAGCCCACGGTGGTCATGGAGATGACGGCCCACCAGTAGCTGGCCGGCACGCTGGTGAAGTCGCGGCGCGCGCCCAGCTCGCGCTCGGCCAGGTGCACGAGCGGCGCGAACAGGGCCATGGCCACGCAGAGGAAGAGCAGCAGCAGCCCGAACTCGCGCGCGCAGCGGCGCACCGTCAGGCCGAGCGAGCGCAGGCCGAGCGAGTGGCGCGCCAGGCGCATCACGTAGAGCACGCGCAGCGCGCGCAGCAGCCTCAGCACCAGCCCCGCGCGCTCCAGCAGCTTGTTGCCGCCCGCGCCCGCGCCCGCCCGCGCCGCGCCGCCGGCCGCCAGGCCCACGAGCAGCGACACGTAGAAGGGCAGGATGGCCAGGATGTCGATGATGTTGAGCGGCGTCCGCAGGAAGGCGCACTTGCTCTCAGCCTGCAGGGAGCGCAGCAGGAACTCGAAGGAGAACCAGGCCACGCACACTGTCTCCATCACGAAGAGGCTGTGGCACTTGCGGGAGCACTCGCCCTGGGGAGGAGAGGGACAGGTGTTGAGGGCTCCTCTGCATCGGGGGATGGTCACCCTCGGCTGCCCCACGCCGTGTGCTGCAGGAGACCAGGGGAGCCTCAGAAAGGCCTAGTTCACGTCAGAAGACGGAATTGGAGATTGGTTTCCCACATGAGCTCAGCTGACCTGCTCCCCATCAAAACGGGTGAAAAGCACTTAAAACGCAGCCATTTAAAGCCCCTGCAACGGTTCTAAGGGCAAGCGGCATCTACTCGAGAAAACCCATTAGGATTTGGGAGGGAAGGAAAGGGTCTGCTCTTTGAGCCAAGACCTCCTCACCCCCCACCCCAGGGAGAGGTTCACTCCAGAGGCTGCAGCCAAGAGTTCTGGGCTCCAGCAGGGGAGGGGGCTGGGGTTCTTCTGGGACGAGAGAGGCTTCGGCTGCTCATCCCGCCCCCACCGGCCTGATGCGGCCTGAGTCTGGGGCCAGTGGGTGGAGAAGAGGGCTCAGCCGACCCACATGCTCTGTGCTGAGTCCCCGCCCCCCTCACACTGGAGTGAGACCAGGGGCCTGGCCAGGGCCACATGGCCGCCCTGTGCCTTGCATTGCCCCCCACCCCCCCGGCCTGGCTCACCTCCTTCTGGGCAGAGGACAGACCGTCACACCTGTCCAGCTGCCCAGCCCTCGCGGCAGGTGTTCGCCTAAAGCCAGCAGTGGGGACCTTCCGCCGCCCAGAGACAATGGCTCGAGGACCCGCCTGATGCCTCAAATGAACAGGCTGGGGGTCAGCAGTCAGCTTTTCGACACCTTGGCGTTCAAGGGCACAGAGGTGGTGGGACCCCACAGGGCTGCTCCCCAAGTCTTGTCTTTTATCTTCAGGGCCAGGCGCTGATGTATCATTGGTCCGCAAGGAACCGGCAAACGGGGCTCCCGCAAACCTCCCACCGGCCGGCACTCACTGCGGGGTGATCTGGGTATCGAGCAGGGTCTGGCCTTCCCATTAGGGAGCTGCCAGAGCCCAGTACCCTGACCTCCGCTGACCACTGTCCCTGCGATGGGCCTGGAAACCCTGGCCACAGACTTGCTTCCCCAGGTTACCCTCGGACACAAGGGTTATCCTCGGACACGAGGGTTACCCCCAGACAGGCCCACAGCTTCTGACTCCCAGCCCATCACTAAACCCTCTGGGCTGGGCTGAGGGCTGGGACCCCGGCCCTAGACAACGCTTCTGCTCTGCGGCTCACGGTCATGTCTAGTTCAGCCAGTGAGCAGGTCTCAGAGGCAGGGTGTGCCTTCTCCCCAACCTGCGCCAGAGCTCACAGCCACGTGACGCTCTGTGGTTTGCTGCTTGTAGGTTTGCGGTGGGTTTTGTCCCAGCAATTTGACGCTTGTTCATCCCGAGGGCGGCAAACAGTATCTAGGACTGGCCGCCCCGCTGCCTGGGCCGGTGGAAAGTCTTTGAGTCCAGCCCTGAGCCTCATGGGGCAACAGGGCAGGGGGTGAGGGAGCTCTGAGCCCTGACGTCGAACCTGGGGGACACCTCCTCCCAGGAGGGGGTCTGCCTTTGTCACGCCCTGTGTCCAGCTGGGTGTAAGCTCAGAGAGGTGTCCCTGCTGGACTGGGTTTTCCCCAAACCCACAAGTTTGTAGTCAGGAGACGGCTGGGGCCCAGGGGGCCTGGGACAGCCCGTTAGAACCCACTGCCCGGCCCGAGGAAGGGCTGGAAGGGAGGTCGCCATCCTCGGGGACGTGGGTGACGGGGAGGACAGCGTATGAAGTTCGGACTCCAGGTCAGGGCAGTGACGAGCCTCCGCCAGGCCTCCACCTGATCCAAAGAAGCCCAAGGAACCTGTGGTGATCCCGGGATCCACAGCCCCAGACACAAGCCATACAACACCCCCTGTTGGGCTGACTGCAGGCCCAGCCCCTCCGTGTCTCAGCACAGGTACCCAGCCAGGTGTGGTGCAAGCCCCATGGGGGTCTTCAACCAGTGTGTCTGGGGGGAGGAGGGCACAGGTGCGGGGCCCACGCAGGAGGAGGAACCCCGTGTGCAACCTATAGCTTGACCATCCTGGTGGATTCTGGAGGAGACAGGCCTGTGGGCCCCCGGCCCCCCTCCAGCCCTTTCCTTAGGGACCAGCTGTGAGGTTAATTGGAAGGAGCTATTTCTGGAAATTTTAACCCAGAAAGCAGACCCCGATTTATCATAGTCTGACACACCTGGCCTATCTGGCCAGAATCGGGTCAGCAACACGCCCCTTCCGCTGGCTCACCCGGATCTGAGGCCCCCCAGCCCCGGCCGCTCATCTGCTTTGCTTGTGTTTCCAAGACTTTCAGGGCCTTTGGAGGTCGGCGGGTCCTGCCCAGCTTCTCAGCCTGCTCACCCCTTCCTGCTCCCGTCCAGCTGCCCACGGGGTGGGCAGGGAGTCCTGCTGACCGCCCTGCCAGCTGCCGTTGGGGGCCTGAAGGGAGGGCTCTGGTGCCGGGCCCGGGGTGTTTGGAGAGGACCCAGGCTCCGGCAGGGGCTTCTGGAGGGAAAGCACGGGGGCCTCCAGGGCCGTGGCGGGGGGCTGTCACCCCGATACCACCCTTCAGGTGCCACGGTGTTCCTATGGGGACAGAGGGGTGTGCTCGTGCCTGCAGGGACGTGGGGACACCTCGCCCTCCCACCCTCACCGGCTCCTCTGGCAGGGCCTGGGGTCCCCTGGCCAAGGCCGTGTCCCCAGGGCCCGGCCTGTGATGAAGTCTGGCCCCATGGGCAGACCGCCCCGCTTGGTGCGAGGCCGCAGTGCCGGTGCCCTCACAGCCCCCGCCCAGGGTCTGGGCGCCCACCTGCCATGTCTGCACAGGTGACGGGGCCCTGGGTCCCAGCTCCTTTCCTGATCATTTGTTTCTCTCCAGGGCCAGAACCGGGGCTCCCCCGATGACTTGTGGCTCAAGAACCGAGAGCCCCACTGAACGCGAGAGGTCGGAGCTGATTCTAGGCACAGACACGAGGCCGTGGGGTGCCCGGCCGTGGGTGCGTGCGAGTCGCTGACCCTCTGGGGTGTCATCCACGGTTACAGACCCAGCCAAACAGTGAGGCGCTGGGGATGTTCTGCAGGCCCACGCTCGGGGCCGCCGCAGGCAGGGAGGGGCCGTCCGCACCAGGCAGGGGAGGCTGGGGACAGCCCGGCTGGCTCCAACCCCGGGGTGGGGACAGCCAGTCCCAGCTCCCGGAGAAGACGTGATTTGAAACCACGGCTGCACGGCATTCACCTGGCACTTGGCGCCACCCCCAGTGAGAAGGGACCAGCTCAGGGCCAAGTCTTTTCAGTAACAGGCTGTGGGGAGGTCAGTGGTTGATTCTCGGGGGAGACCTGGCCTCATCCACCCCCCGCTTTGTTCTCATTTCAGAGCATCAGAAATTCAGCAGCTCCGGCCCTGCCAAGGGCACTTCTGGTTCTGTTAAAACCGGAGGTGGAGGAGCCAATCGGAGGGCGCAGCTGAGCTCCCGGGCTGCGGCCTGGCCGGAGGTTCCGGAGGAGAGTCCATCAGGGACCCCACACCGCTCACCCCTCGCTGCCTCTGTCTCCGTCTCCGCTGGAAACGTCGTGTAGCCAGCAAGACGGGCCAGCAGGCCACCTGCTCCGACGGGAAGGGAGGGACCGTGTGGCCTCTCCCCCAGGCATAGGCCTTTCTTCCAGACAAGCGCAGACCCCAACTCCAACCCCTATTTGTTTTATGCCAAGTTTGTGCAGAAAGTAGAGGAAAAGTCTGTCCTGAGCTTTATGTCTGTCTCGTGGCACATCGGCTGTTTCTACTGCCTCTGCGTCCACAGCGGGGTCTCAGGAAAACAGGCGGCGGCGTCCAGGTGCGGGGGGCTGTTCTGGGCCCTGGACCAGGTTCTGGGGCGTGGCACCGGGTCGGGGAGGGGCTGACGCCACGGAGGACATGGGCACCCAGCCACTACACACTCGCCTCCCCTCTCAGCGCAGAGGGAGACGGGGCGTCAGGACCCGAGCCCAGCAGGTCGGCTCCCGACAAGGCCCGCACACGGCTGGTACTGCCCGAATTTTGCCGACTCCCGGACCAGATGTTGCCAACAGGACACACGATTAGGCCTGGAAGTCCGAGGTCCCGGGGCCGCAGGTTCGGGTCTGGTGAGACTCAGGTCTTCTCTGAGTCTCACGTGATCCACCTCTAGGACCAACTCACCTTCCAAGGCCCCACCTCCCTAACACCACCACCTGGGGGGACATAATGTTCGGGCCACGGAACCTGCTCTTTCCCAATAGTGGGTTTCCAGGGAGAAGCCCCGCTCACCAGGGCTCGGCCGTGTCTGCTTCTGGCCTGCGTTTAGGACAGGTGACGCGTCTTCACGCCAGGGCTCCCCGCGAGGCCCTTCAGAGCGTTCCCCACAGATCCTGAAGTGCGATGTGTCCCCCTCAGCATTCCACCCAAACCCCAGCACAGACCGTGAGATAGCGAGGACAGTGGTCAGTTGCATGTGTCCACTTGACGGGCCGCGAGGGCCCGGCCGTGGTCTGTCTGCGAGGGTGCTCCCGAGATGAGCGTTGGAGTCACTGGATTCCAAGCAGGCCGGCCGTCCTGCTGGCCGGATGGGCTTCGTCCAATCAAAGGCCTGAACAGAACGGAAGGCTGACCCCTCGAGGGGGCCTGCAGCCCAAGAGCTAGATTGGAGTGTCTTCTCCGTGTCTGTTCCTGGGTCTCCAGCCTGCGGACCCAGGGTCTCAGGGGTCCCAGCGGTCACCATGGTGTGAACCACCCCTTATAAATGTAAATATCCGGGGTGGGGCGTACAGTTGTACAGGTGTACGGTTGTCGGTCTGGGAAATGATACAATAAACACTAAATAACGATACAAGAACAACCTGTTTCGCGTGTTCACGATGTGACCCCACTGTGCCCCGTACACGCCTCTCCTGCAGGCTGTCCTCTGTGAACCGCGTCAGGCGGCTCAGAAACAGCCAAACACGCTCCCCGGAGAGGCCGCAGAGCTGTGTGTGCCCACAGGCGGCGGGAACTTTGTCCCCGGCTTCCCATGCTGCTGCCAAATGTTCTCCGTGAATTCGATCGCTGAAATCCCAGCCGTGAAATCTATAACTAATTATGCGGGTCTTGATTCAATCACGTGAGCTTAGAGGAAGAAATCAACTCTCACAGCCAGACAGATAGCAGCTGCAGCGAGGGCTCGACAGCTCCGGGGTCTCCCGCAGGCGGGCGCCCCCAGACCCCTGGGGCGCAGCACCTCTCCAAGCAGCACCCTGGCCGCCACCGCACAGCGATCCCGGTGCTGTCTGCCGGGACACCGGCTTCTGTCCTCCCCTCCGTCTGAAGGCCTCTCCCCCAGGTCGCGCTGCCAACGTCCACAAGGGCCTACACCTAGGTGTGGCCTTGACCCCTCCTGGCCGTAGCGAGAGCCCTCGATCCCCAAGGCTGTGCCGTTGTCAACAAACTTCGTCCCAGACACATTCTCAGGAGAATTGGTCCTCGCTTCCCGACGATCCCACAGGAACGGGGTGCTCCGGTCACCCCCACGCTCAGCTGGCGCCTCCGTCCGGGTGCCCAGGCCCTGACGCAGCTGCGAGGCAGGCGGAGGAGTGAAGGCCGAGGCCCACCGGAGACACCCCGGGGGCCGCGGGGAGTGGGCGTCTCGCCGTCCCCTCTGGCTCGGGGCTTCTGCAGTGATGGGGTGGGGAGGTTGGGTCAGCCCTGCTGTCCGAGAGCCTGGAGAAGCCCTTCCCACTGAGCTGGTCCCTGCTCGGCGCCAGACAGCCCCACCCCAGCTCCGCCCCCCACGGCCTGAAGCCCGAGGCCTCCAGCCTGGGATGAGGGCAGAGCGTCCCTGGTGGTGGGCTCTGACGGTTTCTCCTGAGAACCGCGGGAAAGCGAGGCTCCCCGGGCGTGGTTTTTGTAGCTTAGAATGTGTATTTTGGGGTCAGAAAATTCAGGAGAACTTTCAGTGCACGTTTAGGGTTTTGGTATTTCTACCCCACAGACAAGATGGAACCGTTGGGCAAGTCACCCTGAGGCTGGGTGGGGAACCCCCAGCCTTTCCACCCTTGGAGGCCACGCCGTGTGAATGGGGCCCCCGCGGACTGGTGCTGGGGGGGGAGGCCCTTCTCAGGCAGGGCAGGTGGGCTGGGGTCATGCCCTCCAGTCTCACAGGTGGAGACCACGGCCCGGGGGTCACACGCACTTGGGGGACACGGTGTGGTGGGGATGGGGTTGGTGGCCTTGCTGCCCCCTCCGGGCTGGGGTGCCCACAGGGAGGAAGCACATTGATGCTGGTGAAGACACTGTGTTCCTAGGTTCCCAGAGCTGTTGGTGACACACGGCGGGTGTTTTGCTCAGAGATAATTTAGGATCGAGCGTTCTGCGCGCATTCTGGGCACCGTTCCCGCGCCTTCCCGTTATAGTCTAGCCCAGAGCAGGCCTTCGCGCCCGGACACTGCCCCCATGTCCCCGCGAAGCCACCGTCTCCCCGTGGACTCCCAAAGGCCGACTCCGCCCCGGGGCACCAGGTCTCCGCCTCAGGTTCCCACGCCCTAGAGCCCCCCAGGTCCGTGTGGGGGAAGACACCCCACAGCCGTCAGTGAGATCAGGAGCACAGCATGGGCGTGTGGGCACCGCGGGGCCCGGGGCTGCGGGCAGCAGGCGCTCACAGTGACCCAGGGGTCGCGTTGGCAGGCTGACCCGGCTGGGCCAGGACGTGCAGCGGGAGCGTCACCCTGTGTCGAGCCCGGAAAGCATCCAGGTCCTGGCCCCCTGGCCTTGGCTGTTGCTTCCTGTGGCGGGGGGGGGGTGCTGGGGGGAGTCCTGGGGGGAGACCTGGGCCAGAGGGGCCCAGTGTGGTCACAGGTCCTCCTGGAAGGGAGGCTGCAGAGTTGGAGGTGGTGATGGAGAAGGACCAGAGTGACGGCTCGGAGGACGGACAGGGGCCTGGGACAAGCGGAAAGGATTCTCCCTGGAGTCTCCATAGGAACCAGCCCGCTGACTCCTGCACCCCAGCTCCCTCGGCCCCCAAAACTCGTCCTGTCCGATCGCGGGAGAGCCAAGCCTTAGGAGGGACAGACGCCCTCAGCACTCAGGTCTGGAGCTGTCTGGGTGGGCTGGGCCCTCCTGGGGGGGCAGGCTCTTCCTAGACAGCCCCTCGGTCCCGCCCAGAGCCCCTCCTGGCCGAGGGCCCTCAGAGCTGGATGAAGGGGTGCCTGTGATCGACGGTGCCTGCTGCTCTCCAGGACGAGGCCTGAGCACTCTGTCCCCCACGCTGCCAGTCTCTCAGGCAGCCACAGGTCACAGCCAGGTGCCAGGGGAACAGAGGCCTGGCCTTCCCAAGGGCCACACCCAGGCCACGCCCTGGGTCACAGCAGCTGAGAGGAGGGAGCAAGCCAGTGTCCCCTGGTGGACCAGGGGACCCGCACACTGTGGTCCATGAGCGCGGAGGGACGTCACCCAGCCTTAAAGAGGAAGGAAATTCCGACGCACGCGACGTGGGTGAACCTGGAGGACATGCTGCCTGAGATAAGCCAGTCACAACAAAATGGATACCACGGGATCCAGTTATGTGGGGATCCTGGAGCCATCGACAGCACAGAGACCCGTGGATGGCGGGGGCCAGGGCTGGGGGAGGACCCCGGGGAGCGTTTCGTGGGGACAGATGGCGATGACGGCACAACACGGCTGGTGAGTGAGTCACTCACTGCCACTAACCAGCTTAGAAATGGTTAAGATGGTGAACTCTGTATTTTATCACACAGAGAACAATGATGAGACATAAAACTTTTCTTTCCACTTGCTCCGTGGTTAGAGGGTCGGCCTGCGCACCAAAGGGTCTCAGGTTCGATTCTGGTCAAGGGCATGTTCCTGGGTTGCAGGTTCCATCCCCGGCCCTGGTCAGGGCACATGCAGGAGGCAACCAATCGATGTATCTCTCTCTCTCTCTCTCCCTTCCACTCTAAAAGTCAATGGAAAAAATGTTCTCAGACGAGGATTAACCAAAAAACAAAACAAAAGCTTTTCCTTCCCATGGCAACACCCACTTCTCCTTGGCACCTGTGACGTGCCAAGGGCCAGGTGCTTTCTGAAGTCCCCACAAGGTGGTGGGCGGCACAGTGGCCACCAACACGGGGCCATTGCTGTTTAACCTGATACCTGGTCTGCACCTGAGAGTGTGAAGTGATGCTCTGGGGAGGGGGTGGGGCTCGCCCTGGAGGGTGCTGCAAGGGCCGTTTTGGCCTCCTGGGCGCTGTCCCTGGTTGAAGCAGCCCGAACCTTTCTGCCCTGCCTATTATTGCTACTCTGAACACCGGAATACATCAAGCGTCTTCTTAGCAGCACAGTCCAAAACTGGGACCTGGTTAATGCAACTGGAAACAGCTCAGGAATCAGACACGCAAACAATGAAGGATGCCAAACTGATTTCCTGAAATTTACGTTCAAATTTAATCTGCAGTCAAGGTCGCAGCACCAGAGGTCAAGCCAGGTAACAGCTCATGTTCCAGGGGAGCAGGGGCACCTCCCTCAGCTCCTCACTGTCTTGGTGGCAGCTGATCCCAGGGAGCTGGGGCACCAACCCCGCCTCCGAGGCTCCCAGGGGGAGCTGCCTGAGGAAGGTTCAACTCAGAGCCAGGACCCAGCTCCTGGCAGGCGGATCACCAGCCCCCCTCCCCCCAGGAAATGCAGGGGACACTTTCAGAGCCACACTCAGCAATGTCCTCCACACAGTGGAGCAGCCTCTTCCGGTAACCCACACACTTGGACAGCACAGGCCCAGGCTCCCGGACCACGTCCTGAACATGCACCCCGGGTACACAGGCGCTGACATTTCTGCCCACGTTTCAGTGCTGGTGTTCACAGGACAGAAGGGGGATGGGGAGTCCACCCTATGCTCAGAAACGACCCCACTTCCACGCAAAACCAGCCCGGGTTTGCCTGAGGTGGGCGCCGGGCCCTGGCCCTCTCACCCTCAAAGACCACGGAAGCCACATCCTCCTGGCCCAGGATCACAGCACTGGAGCCCACACTCGCTAGACCTCGTGACACTGAAGGTGCCGCCCCGCGCTGACCTCGCTTCCAGGGCCTGTGCGAGAAGGAGCCGCAGCCTGGCTGAGGCCTTGAGGTTGGTTGTCATCGGGGAACAGCCCCCAGCAATGCCAGCCTGGGGTGGGGGCTCGCCCGGGGCGCATTACCTAGCAGGCCACGGTGGGCCCGAGCTTGCGGTGCCACCACCAGCGGCAGAGGGGTTTCTGAGGCCCCACGTATGCAGCTGAGCTCCCCCCAGCCCAGGCCCAGGCCTTGGCCCCGCCGCCCCATCCTCTGCCAGACCGCCCCAGCCCTGCCCCGCCTCCAGCCCGCGCTCACCCGCTCCTCCTCCGCGCGGATGTCCGGCATGGTGCTCAGGCACAGGCCGACCGCCGTGATGACCACGAAGGCCACGGACACGCAGGCGAAGAGCTTGCCGGCCAGCCCCGAGTGCGGGTTGTCCACCATGTCGTGCAGGCGCCGCCGGCCGCGGGCCAGCCGGCCGCGGGGCCCCAGGGCGCAGCCGGGACTCCCGGGCGCCCGGCGCTCCACCGGCCCCGCGCGCGCCTCGGCCGCCTCCTCCTCCCGGCGGCGCAGGCGGCGCAGGCAGCAGCGCTCCAGCCGCGCCTCGTCGATGCCCCAGTAGGCCAGCTCGTCGCGGAAGGCGAGCGCGCACGGGCCGCGCAGCAGCCGCAGCTTCCCGGCGCGCAGCAGCGCCACGATGGCCCGGAAGGCGCAGGGGCTGCGGTCGAAGAAGAACTCGTCGCGGCTCACGTCGTAGTCGTCGCACACGCGCAGCAGCTCGTCGTGGCCGCGGCAGGCGCGCAGGCGCTCGAGGCGCGCGAGGGGACAGCGCGCCAGCGCGGCCCAGGCCAGGCGCACCCGGCAGCCGCCCACGTTGATGATGACGTGCCGGGCGCGGGCCCCGCCGCCGCCTGGGGGCTCCACGGGCCGGGGGAGCAGGGCCATGGCCCCATGCAAAGCACCGGGGTCAGGAGGCTGGGCCTGCGGAAGGAACGGCTCGCGTTAGGCTGGGGAACACTTGACTGCCCCGTGCATGACCCCTGGGCCTGGGGACCCAGGGAACCAGGGACTCCCTCTGGCCCATCCACTTGGCTCTTCCCTCCTGTACACCTGCAGTCTACAGGTGGCCCACATATAGGACCACAGCCTTTACCGCACACCCAGTTTAAGTGGCAGCCTGCCTCAGTTTATCTCCTGGAGACTGGCTGAGGGGCGGCCAAAGGAAGCCCACCCTGCAGAGGCTGCCTCAGGAGATCGGGGCTCGGTCCCCAGCTTGTTACCTGTCAGCCAGTAAAGGTCAAGGGGAAAGGGGGCTGTTTTCAATCATCCTCCCTGCCTGGGCGCACCCCGCTTTGGCTCCAATTTTCATGTCCCCTGGAGCCACCTACAAGATCGTAGAACAGGCTGGTAGACGCCTTGCGCAGCCAAATCAAACGCGTGCTCCGAATTCTTTACGGGTACGAATGTCCATTAAAATAATCGTTAAGAGCCCTGGCCTGTGTGGCTCCATGAGTAGAGCATCGGCCTGTGGACCAAGGGTCTCAGGGTTTGATTCCCTGTCAAGGACACGGTGCCTGGGCTGCAGGTTCTGTCCCCTGCCTGGTTGGTGCCTGCAGAAGACAACCTACCGATGTCTCTCTCTCCCACTCTCCCTCCCCGTCTTCCACTCTCTCTAAAGATCAATGGAAAAAAATATCCTCGGATGAGGATTCAAAAAAAAAAAAGAGAAAAAGTTGACAGAAGGATTAAGAGCACAGAGGGAAAAAGACATCGTGAAAACGACAAGGATTTACACAGGAAACAAAGCTTGTAGAAATGAACACGTACAGCCCGGAGCCCAGCGTCCGGAGGTGAGGCTGGGCTTGGGGGGCGCTCGCTCCCGGAAGGTGTTCACAAGGCGCCAACAGGAGGCAAACGTCGTGGAAAGGCCACGCGAACGGAGGAGAAAGCAACATTATCTGCTCACCAGGACCGGCAACAGTCAACCGAGGGAAGGAACGCATGAGATTTGAATTTCCAGCGTTAGGGACAGTGCCCGACAGGATGAAGATGCGTCACGGGAGCCAGGGAGCTTCGGTCCCTAAATAAACGTCTGCAGTGGAACCTGATGGTTTTGAACTTGGGAAGTAAGAAAGCTTTTGTTTTTCACTCGTGGGGAAACGCGCTCCCGAGTGTGGGCGCAGGACCTCCCCAGCTGTCTCGGTGGATCCCCAGAACGCTGGGTAACTGGGGCTGGGACACACTCCGCTGGTCACAGCGGAAGCCGGTCCTTCCCCAGGCGGCCGCCCTCCGAGGCCAGGAGAGCCATCTGCCCCAGCACCCGGCTGTTTCCACCCTGGAGCCCTGCCCGCGGCAGGCTCACCACCCAGTCCCTGGAGCGGCTGAGCCCACGCAAGCCCTAATGGAACCAGCACCTGGCAGGGGACCAGCACCCTTAGCACCAGCAGGCTCCTAAGGAACAGAGAGAACATGCGGAGGGAGGAGGGGCCAGCTAGGGACGCCTCTCCCGTGGGGACTCAGAGTGGTTGGATCTCCCCGTAAAAGCCAACTGCTCTAGCAGGTGAGACGGTCCACACTATGGGTGTGGCGAGATCGCTCACCCAACACGGACAGGCTCTGAGAAGCTGTTTTCTGCCCCCGTTCGGCTTGGGAGTCTTTGTGCGGTTGGTTACACTCATTTACCTTTTCCCTCACCTCCTCTCCCCATCAGCTACCCGCGGCCAAAGGTGTCCGCTTGTGGGAAGGAGGCCGTGGGACCCGTGGGATCTGCACAAAGACCACGCCACGTCCCAGCCTGCTTGCTGGTCTGGTCGCCCCCCAGGCGCTCACTGCGCTGCGGCCCTCGGCATGACACAGTTCACAAGGACAAGCACAGGAGCCGGCCAGGGACCAGCAGGAAAACGTGGTCTAAGTGAGACACGATTTTCTTCCACAGCCCACGAGCACTGACCGTGGCTGAGGGGTTAAAATAAAGACTCACCCACCTCTGCTGGCCGTTTTCACTTCTCTGTCCTGGGAGCACAGGCAGCATGTGAATCGCAGGTACGGTCACCTGTGGGGCGAACACAAGGAGCCCAGGTAAATAGCTGATTTTGAATAAAACATGACCCTCTGGGAGGTTTTCTCAGAGCCTCAAAATAAGAGCCCTCAGGGTCATTTCTATCATTTCTTTCTGACTGTTAAACTCATTTGTGTCCAATTATCATGTTTTGAAATGGATTTACTTTCTATATGTCAAAGTTACCGAGATTAGAAAAGGCTTCTAGAGTGTATATATGCATAGAATTGAAAACTTGCTAATTAGATCTATTTTTAGCTATGTTGCTGACAGAAATTGATGATTTCTTTTCCATTATAATTTATGAGAACCACGTCTAATCTCCAAATCTATACGACACAGAAATTTGGTAACTAATCATTCTTATCCTACAGCCCAGCGGCGTGGAACAGCCCTGAAGCTTTTAGTACACTGAACTTTTCACTTTGAGGCTGCGGAGGTCTTTGTAGCCTTCACGCGTCCCCAGCAGCAGATCATGCAGACCGCCCGGCTCACAGCTGGGAGGCCACACTGACCCAGTGCCGACACCGCGGCCCGTCTGGAACCACGGCCCTGGTCTCCATCTGCACTTCTGTTGTTCCAAGAAGGGAACAGTAATGGCCCCACGTGGCCAGTGTCCTGTTCGGACTAGGCTTTTCCACTCAGCGCAGCTCCCTGGAGAGCCGTCCCAGGGCTGCCGTGCGACAGCTCACCCCGGTGACCTTCCCGGCTGTGCCCAGTTCGCCGAGCGGTTCGCCAGCGGAAGGACGACTGGGCTATTTTCAGGATTTAGGAATTATGAGCAAAGCTGCTAAACACACTTCCTAGGGTATGCTTTCCTTTGGGACAGATGCCCAGCAAAGTAAAAGATTTTTTATTTTTTATTAAGTCCAATGTATCATTTCTTCTTTTATTGACTGTACTTTTGGTGTCAAGAATGATTTGCCAGTCCTGGCCGGTTTGGCTCAGCGGTTAGAGCGTCGGCCTGCGGACCAGAGAGTCCCGGGTTCGGTTCCCGCTAAGGGCATGTACCTCGGTTGCAGTTTGTCCCCGGCCCTGGTTGGTCGTGCGGGTGGCAGCCACTCGATGTGTCCCTTTCACATCGATGTTTCTCTCTCTCTGTCTCTTCCTCTCTCTCCCTCCCACTCTACCTGTACAAAAAATGGAAAAATGTCCTCGGGTGAGGATAAAAAAAAAAAAGAATGATTTGCCAGTCCTGGCCAGTATTGCTCAGTGGTTAGAGCATCGGCCTGCGGTCCGGAGAGTCCTGGGTTTGGTTCCCGGTAAGGGCATGTACCTCGGTTGCAGTTTGTCCCCGGCCCTGGTTGGGGTCGTGTGGGTGGCAACCAGTCCATGTGTCCCTTTCACATCAATATTTCTCTCTCTCTCTTCCTCCCCCTCTCCCTCCTGCTCTATCTGAAGATAAATGCAAAAATGTCCTCAGGTGAGGATAAAAAAAAAAAATGATATGCCAGGTCCGACATCTCAAAGGTTTTCTACAGTTCTACTTCTAAAATATACGTTTACATGCACTATAGTCCATTTTGAGTTCGTTTTTGTATACGGTGTGGGACTTGGGTAAAGGATCTTGGTCTTTGAATAACTGTCCAGCATTGAATCACCTTCAACCCTCTTTCAAAAATCAGCCGGACACGTCTGTGTGCCTACATGTCTGGGTTTTCTATTCTGTTCTACTAATCGCTGTAAATATCTCTCCACCAACCACAGTCTTTTTTTTTATTCCTCACCTGAGGATATTTTTTCATTTATCTTCAGATAGAGTGGGAGGGAGGGAGAGGGAGAGAAACATCGATGTGAGAAACTGGCTGCCTCCCGCGTGAGCCCGACAAGAGTCGGGGACTGAACCACAATTGAGGTACATGCCCTTGACTGGAATCGAACCCTCAACGCTTTGGTCCATGGGCCAACGCTCTAACCACTGAGCCAAGCTGGTCAGGGCACCAACCACAGTCTTGATAAATAGGCAGCAAGTCCCGGAACTGGGTGGACCGATTCCCCTGATGTTCTTTTCAAACAGTTTGACTTCTTCAGATGCCTCTGCTTTTCATGCAAATAAGTTTTAGAATATTTAGTCTATATTTACCAAAATAACCTCACTGGCTTCCTCACATGTAGTCAGCGGGGTCTGCTCACCCCAGCCAGGCAGAGCTGCAGACCCTCGGGGTGACACCCTCGAGCCTGAGTGTGTCCCTCTGTGCGAGTCCCTGATCCGTGTGCGGAGAATTCCGTGTTCCAGTGTAAAACTAGCTGCGGAATGTCTGAAGGCACAAGTAGGAGAAATATGATTGTACCTGTGTTTGCAGATGTGCTATTAGACCTATTTTGTCTAAGCAGCTATTTACATAAGCAGTTTTGCTTCCAGATCCCAGAACAGAGATCCCTCCCGCCCACCACACTCAGGGCTCCGAGCGGTCACGGCCGGCGGGGGATGGAGTGGCTGCCCCAGTCTGGGGGGGGGCCTGGTGCTGAAAGGAGGGTCAGCACTCCAGGGAGTTCTGTCTTTCCTTCCAGCAACCCCCAAATCCACACTGAGCGTCTCTCCTCTCTGACGGTCTTGGTGACAGTGGACGGGCCTTGGCGTGTCAGGGGCCCCAGGGCCTGGGCCCTCGGCAGCTGTCCTCCTGTCATTTCTAACGTGGCGATGTTGTACCCCCACACCCACAGCTCCTTTATGGCCTCAATGGTCTCAGGACGGACATGTTTCAGAGCCACTGTCCTGCCACTGGGGCCCCGGCCCTGCCCCGGTGTGGGGCCCGAGCCCTCGCAGGGCCGCCAACTTCCCTGCCCAAGATGCCAGCTCTGGCCCAGCCTGGGCCTGGACGCCAGCCACTGAGAAGGCTTTGCTGTTGTTGCTTCTTAAAATGTCTTTATTGATTTTAGAGAGGAAGGAAGGGAGAGAGAAGCATCAACGAGAGAGAGAGAAACACCCGTCGGCCGCCTCCTGCACGGCCCCTACTGGGGATGGAGCCCACACCCCGGGCCTGTGCCCTGACCCGGACTCCAACGGCAGTCTCTGGGTGCAGGGGCACACACAGTCCACTGAGCCACGCCAACCAGGGTGAGAAGGTGCTTCACAGAGACTGAGCTGCCGGAATTGCAGGGGAACATAAAGGGGGCTCGGTTTGAAAATCTTGTGGATCCAGGAGTCACTCTCCCGCCCTCTGCCCACCGTGAAGGGGGTGGAGGGAGTGTGCCCTGGTGTCTGGGCACCTGAGGGGTGGGCTGCACTGAGGGGGGAGTGTCGACCAGCCTCCCCCCAGGCTTCCCGGAGCCTGTGCAAGGGTCCCCAGGTGGGGCCCAAGACCTCCACTGTGTCCCCACGGAAGACCAGCAGGCGCCCTCCTGCCGTAGGGACAGCCGGCTTCCTCGCAGGGACCACATAGCACATCGCAGGTACCTGGGCCCAGGTGCGTGTCGGCCAGAGCAGATGTTCCAGATACTGAGTTTTTACTTTTAAATCGTGACCATTCTTCCTCTTTTCTTTTCCAGGGGAGCGTGTGAACGCAGTCCCTCCACCACAGACTTCACAGCTCCCCACGTCTGGGGAAATGGCAGGGGTCCGCACCCCGGGCAGCCTCCCCAGGAACACCACCTCCGTGATCATCATACTGGCCCTCGGAGCCAGCATAAGATCGTGACGATTCTTAACTGGTCACTTCTTTTCGAATCAGTTTTGCTAAGCAAGTGTCCCCCAGGGACAGTGGGGAGTGATGCTCACGCGGCCGCTTCCGGTCAGAGGCGTGCACCGTGGGCTCACTCTGCTGGCCCAGCACGGCCTGGAGCAGTCCGTCCCTGTGCCGCTGTCCGTCCGGAGACGCTGCCCTGCGCCTCCAGCAGACCCCGGCCGCCGGCTCCCTGCAGACCTGTCTGCCATCGGAGCCCGAGGCATCTCTGCACGTGGAGACTGTCTGCTCCAGAAGGCTTTCAGTCCGACTGCTCATCCGCGACCTGCCCACAGGACAGACCCGACACTCCTGCGCCCAGCAGGCTTGGCGCAGACCCCGAAAGCCCACGCTTGTCCTGCAGAGCCTGGGCCTTTCTCTGCACACATCCCCTTCAAGTCCAGGTGCTATCGGAACGTGGTGCTTGACAGGAAAAGCAGGTTACAGAGCAGCGCGGGCTGTGTGTACACACACCTTTTCTCTCCGTGGGCAGGAGAGTGAGGAGACTTCTGGATGGAGTGGGTGTGAGCAGCAACCTTTTAGAGCATTTGTATTTTTTTGTTATGTTTTTCTTTCCTGCTTTTTTCCCCCTCTTAACAAAAGATACAATTTTAGTATCTAGAAAGAGGAGTAAAAGTATTCTAATTTTAGAGGGGAAATCACTTCGTATAGTTTTTTATATGATGAAACGTTAGTCCCAGGAAATGACAGTGTGATAAATGTACCTTTGAGTTAAATCCTTGTAGGCATTTGATATCCTGAGAATTGAGCTCTGTGACTCAAACCGATGCAGCGGCGGCTGGCCAGCTGGGGGAAGACTCTGGGTCTCGAACCCCGAGCCTGTAATTCTCCGCAGCTCCCGGCCCAGACCGGACAGAAGAGATACTTTTGTATCCACACATCAGCCCAGACGACAGAGGAGACACTTTTGTATCCACACATCAGCCCAGACAACAGAAGAGACACTTTTGTATCCACACATCAGCCCAGACGGACAGAAGAGACACTTTTGTATCCACACATCAGCCCAGACGGACAGAAGAGACACTTTTGTATCCACACATCAGCCCAGACTACAGAAGAGACACTTTTGTATCCACACATCAGCCCAGACGGACAGAAGAGACACTTTTGTATCCACACATCAGCCCAGACGACAGAAGAGACAATTTGTATCCACACATCAGCCCAGACGACAGAAGAGACAATTTGTATCCACACATCAGCCAACCATTGAAAACCAGGGCGAACAAGACTCTGGAACTTGTTGCTTTGCAAACAGGAAGGCTCAGAATTCTAGAACGAGATTTTCCAGTCACTCCGATGTTTTCCTTTTTGCAACCACAACTACAGTAAAGTAATTCAACTTTTGAAACACAAGGAGTTTAAAAAGTCTGCGACATCAGGTAGTGAGAACAACCTGAGTGACTGTCATTCCCTCCCTACGGCCCTACAAACCAGATGTAAACTGTTTCCACAGTGACAGCAAAACGTTCCTCCCGCGTCCTGTCAGGAGCCGCGGGTGGGCAGCGGGCAGAGGGATGCAGAGGGTCCAGGGTGCGAGACCCGTCTCACCTCCCCAGACTCCGAGGCCAGAGAGAAATGCAGCCTCGAAGGAGCAGCTGCCGATGAGGAGAAGCGTCCGTGGGAGCTCAGTTCATCTACTTGGAGTGAACCAGTGATCACTTAGTTTTTATATCATTTGACTTTAACAGTCAGAGCTCCAAAAATAAATAGCTGTATCTATCACTTGTTTCAAAAACATATTCTCTTCAGTTCAAATAGTGTCGAACTTAAAATGCGCACCTGTTATGAAAAGTGCGGAGACCTGGCTGAGGATGGGGGGGGGGGATAAATGAGCAGCCCCCTCCGGTCCCAAGGCCGAATCTCCTGGGAGGGTGCTCTCCCTGCTGTACTGTGCCCCATCCCTTGCGTCCTCACCCACAGGCCCTGGTTTCCACCTGCACCTCCCGTAGGACCCTTTAAAGGGTGGGCATCACATGGCTCCGGGTGGGAGAGCAAACTTGTCTAGAGCCACTCAATCCGGCAGGGAGGAGCCCTGAGCCACTGTCCCTCCTGGCCGGGTGGGCCTCCCTGCCGGCTGGCTCAGCCTTTCTGTCCTGTGGGGTGGCAGCAGGGTCACTGGGCAGGTATCCTAGGAAGGAGGTGTGGTTTGGACCTGCTTCTGTCCCACAACTGTCTCTCCTGGAAAGACCTCATGTCCTGCCTCCCCCTCACGCCATAGATTCTTGGCATCCTCCCCCGGGCTGGGCCTTTCATGGGTTCCAAACCGTGAACGAATGAAGGGGTCTTTGGGGCTCAGAACGAGGCCAAGAGAGGTTGGAGGAGGGTGTAGGGAAGGTGATGGGACCCAGGGCCCTGGGCGGGAGGTGGTGAGCAGCTGTGCGGATGTCCACTGTGGGCCAGGTGCTGAGGGGACGGCGGAGAACAGGCATCTCCGTGAGCTCAGGGTGACACCCTGACCCCCCGGCCATTCACTAGCACGTGATGACCTGTGTGAGAGCATGAAGCCACGTGAAGCCACGTGTGACAGGTGTGACAAGTGTACGTGACAAGGGGCTCCAAGGCCGTGAACAGGGCTGACAGACACAGGCTCAGGAGCTGCCCACCTGCCGGCACCAGGCATCTGCTTTACTGAGCAAGACCAGCAACCCCTATAGGAGGGACAGCGTCCAGTGGTCCCGGCTTTCTCCCCACAGGACCGAGCCACCTCTCCACTCACCCAGCACACCCTCGGAGGTGCGCCTGGCTTCACTCTAGCTCAGCGACGCTGTCCCAGCGCCTGCCCCGTCGGGCCCTGAGATCGTCTTCACAGGCGATGGAACATTCACAAGAAAAGACGGGCAACGTTATCCGTAGCATGTGCGGGCGTGTCAACAACCTCCTAATTCGGTTCGGAAGGGGCCCTGGAGCCACCCCTGGGAGGAAAATGCTGAGCTGAGATAACCCGCTGGTCTCATCCCTCCCATCTGCTGAGCAATGATGAGCCCGGCACAGGGAGGGGGCCGAGGCACAGACCTGGGGAGGCAGCGCTGGGCCCACAGCAGAGGGAGGAGGAGCCCTGATGACAGGGGTGTGCTCACAGGCTGCCAGCCCCGGGCTCCCACAGTGCGCTGCTCCGCTGCTTCCCGGGTCTCAGGTACATGACACCCCACCCCACCCCCCGGCTCACGAGGTCCCTGGGCCATTCTGAGCTGTGTGTTGAATGAGTCCCGGCTCACACGCAGCGCGACAATGAGGCACTTGCAGTGTCCTGGTCACCGAACGGCGCCAGGGGCTCTGCCCTGACTCCCATCAGTACCTTGGTCCCCACAGGGGAAACCTGCCCCGAGCCCCAGTCTGCTGGCAAACAGCTGCTCCACAGGACGCGTGGGCTGACCCAGCAAAGGCACCATCTGGTAGATGCACCTCTGAGACCCAGCCCCCAGCAGCAGAGGATGTCCACGTGTCCATTGGGCCAAGGCCCCACAGTCTCCTTCTCCAAAGTCCTGCTCCCTCTGCCTGCCATGGATTCAACAGCAACACAGACTTAGTAGGACCTACGACGGGGAGAGTTTGGGGTGTGCGCTGTCCGGTGGGCATCAGAGTGTGAGCGGATCTGTGTGTGATTTGTATATAAGCACTGACGGAGGCCGAAGGAAATACCTCAGTAAGCGAGGGCCCTGCACCTTGACAGAGAGCCCTGCACAAGGGTTTTACAACGTATGCTTTTCCTTAACCGGTATTTCCAGGTCTTCCGTGACCACCAACTTCTGTGGGGAGGAAAAGCTCTAACAGGTAGTTAAAATCACATTGTTGCACCTGGAAAAGATAACAAAGTATCTTTCCATTTGCCCCTTGGGCTGGGTGTGGACTGTGTTTAATGTCATACCCCCCAGTGTGACCGCCTCCTCACAGCGCACACAGCAGGGGTCATCTGCCAGCTGCAGGGATGAGCCTGGGGGAAGGCCCCCCCCCCCAGCTTCCTGAGAAACAAACTTACAGGTTTCTCAGAAAAGGACACGTGAATCCCAGAGATAAGACCTGAGTCTTGATCCTGACCTGGCCCACAGCTTCCACACACTGGCATTTCCTGAGACCCCAGACTTTGCTGTTTCTCACTTGGTGAGTATTAAAGAAGCCAGTGATGTTTATTTCCTACCTTCCTCATCTAAAAGATGTCTTTTTTTCTTTTCTTTTGGTGGAAACAAATTCAAAGACATTTGTTCAGTCAGAAACTGTCATTTTTTCCTGAAGTAACTGTGAGCCGGGGAAATGCTTTGGAGAGGAGATGAGGGGCTCGGGCGCCCCCTCAGGACATCCAGCCCCACCTCCCCAGGCTCATGCTCCGACCCGTGGCCAAGCCGCTAGTCACGTGATGGCAATGGTTTTAACGCACGTCATGTCACGAGATTGCTACAGTGTGAGATACAATATCCAGATATAAAACGTGTCACATACTTTTTTCCTGTTAATCTGCAAAGACACCGCCCCTGACCCCCCAAAAGAGGACAGAAAGCAGGCAGGGACTGCTCTTCCTGGCTGTCCCCAGCGTGTTTGAGCCCTGTGATCAGGGGGAGGACCCGCAGCCCCTGGGCAGGAGGGCAGCAGCTCAGCAGAGCACACCCAGAGGGGAGGTGCTGGCTGGGGTAGACTGGGTCCCCCTGGACGTCTCCAGAGTTCTCGAAGCGGGAAGGGAATCTGGGTGCCTCTGCATGAACACAGCTGGGCCCCCGGAGCACGACCAGCTGGAGACAGACCCTCCGCTGCCCACCCCTTCCCAGGCCAGAGAGAAAGGAGCCAGGGAAGACTCTTTGCAGAAATAAACGTGCCTCTTCAAGCCAGAATGTAGGAAAAGTGGCTGCAGGGCTCAGATTTGCCCAAGGGCTTGGGGGCTCTGCTGGGCCCCCAGTTTCAGCCTTTAGTCTTCATGTGCCCAACATTCCCCGAGTCTGTGGTAAGACTTAAATGCTACCTTTTAAATGTCTGAGAAGGTTAAACATATCCAGGAAGGTCATTCCATTCTGGGAACCGAAGCCTTGGGCCACACCTGCCCCGGCCTGCCTTCCTCACCCAGCCGCTGTGCTGGTGAGGCTGAGCCAGGCTGGGGACACAGCAGGAGTGGCGGGAGGGTGTGCCAGTGGGGCAAGGGGAGGGACCCCTAAATCAAGAGATGCCCTGATTTCCCGGGGAGAGGTGGCGGACACAGAGCAGGGACTCGGCGCAGGTTGCCAGCCTGTGCAGAATGCTCAGTGAAGTCTGTCCGGGTGTCGCTGCGTTAACTTAGTAAGGCGACCCAAAGGTCTTCTGTACCACTTACATATTACACTTCAGTCTTCTTCTAAGCACACAGTCAAACCAGAACTTTGGGTGTTCACGTTTAGAGCTGCTGTCCCGGACTTCCTTGTTTAGACACAAGTATCTCCTCGGAAAGTCAGAGGCTGAGCCGGCAGAGTCGTTGGACTCGGGCACCAGAGGATGTAAATGAGCAGTTCTGCCCGGCCCACGAGGCCCAGGACGTTCACACCTGCCCCCAGGACCACATCCCTGGTTCTGAGGTGCTTAACAACAAAGCCCGAGTAGCCTGTCTGTGTCGAGGGTCAGTCTGACGTCGCCGGCACAGGAGAGGCTGACCGGGGGTCTATGGACCCCCCGGAAGTTCTGACGGCAGACCTGCCCTCCAATGCACTCATCACTTTGCACCTGACGCTGGGTTTGGCTGCTCCTCAAAGTTTCCGATTTAGGTTTGTTCTTGCAGACAAACCATCGGGCAAACAGAGCAGAGAGAAGGCTGCAGGTGCCCACAGGGGAGGCCTCAGAGGAGGGGTCTCGGAGCCAACGGGCTGCTTCTCTCTCCTGCAGTTCACTTCAGCTCACCTTGAGAGAACAGCTGAAGCTCTCGAGAGTGCCGATGGCCGAGGTGACCCGAGGGGACCCTGAGTGCTGTGCAGGCCACCAGATGGGCGAGCTGAGCACCCATGTCCTGACCAGCTCTGAAGGCTGTCCTTCAGTGCCCTGGCTGGCTGTCACCGGCTCCCTTCACTGCAGAGTCTTGGGCTACCAGGTGATGTTTCTATTCAGTGTGAGGGTGAGAGACCTCACAGGCAGCGGGGCCTCCATGACTTCAGCCCTAAATTGTCCCTATCCCCCATGAAATTTCCCATTAGTACACGCGCTCAGATGTTCACTCCTGGGTCCCAGCCCCTGGGACCCCCACCGTCCTCATCCCACAGTCCCCGAGCCCCTTTGGCTCATTCCGACCCCCAGCACCCACGCACCCTGGTGCTGGCTGCCCCATCTGCTCCCGTTCACTGCCACCCCCACACATCCGAACTCAGCAGAAGCAAAAACGTCCTCCCACTGCACGACCTCATCCTCGGTGGTCGTGCCCTCCTGGTGCCCGGGGAAGGGGAGCTTCCTCACATGAGCGGCCAAACCGCAGGACAGGAGGAGGACCAGGCTGTTTGGACCACCTGAGAGGCTCAGACCCACCTGCCTTGGCAAACCCAACATTTTGTCATTCCCTACCAACCTATGCGCTCTGTCCGACTGTTCATCTCGACACGCACACCTGTAGTTATGCCGGGGCGGTGCCAGCCGTGCCCTGGGCAGGAGCTCTCCATTGTAACTCAGTTAACGCACTGGCACACGATCTAGAGCATCCGGCACGCGCGGGCCCGGTGCCAGGCCCTGAGAAGGAAGACTGCACAGCCTCCGGCCCCACCAGCTACGAGCTTGCTTCCCTCTTCCCTCTGTGCCCACAAAACACCCGATTTTTCTTAAATTATGGAAATCTCAAGGTATAAAAAAAACTGCTGCAAAGTGGAATACATAAATTGGGGAAGAATCCGAATGCTATTTGGCACCGGCCTAGACAGAATCTGAAAGTTGTTTTCATACTGTGTCCCCAGTAGAGGTGCAGATACACCTCTTTCCTTGGCACCACTGTGTGACCCTGAGTGTGTGGCTGGTCTGCACCCACAGCCGCAGCCAAGCGGACCTCACCCCCCAACGAGGCACAATGCCTCCAAGTCCAGGTGTAGGAGGAACGAGGGCGACTGCAGCCCACTGACCCGGAGGGAATGTGAATGAAGCACAGCCTGGGGGTGGGTTGTACACAGTGAGCACCTGGGAGAGGGGGGCGGGGCTTCCCTTTGCTTAACCCTGCCTGGAGTCTGGAGACCCCACCTGCACTCTTCTCCATGGTCTGGTGGGCAGGGTGACCGTGGAGAGCCCACCTGACTGACACCCGCTCTGAGCAGGGCTGAGTCGTGAATCACCCTGGGCCTTGGGGATCCTCAGAGATCACCGCCCAGGGAGCTATCCTGATGCACCAACACAGTCTGAATCTACCTTACACCCACCTGCTCCCAATACTGGCCTTGAGCGGGCGGCAGGAACCAGGGTCTGCGCAGCCCAGGAAGAGGGAGAAGAAAGCAGGCTTCAGGTAGGGGAAGAGAATTTTCTGGAACTGTGAGGGCCAAATGGAATCCATCCAGCCCACACTGGGTGATGGTTTTGGACGAGGTGGCAAAGGCTGGTAAAGGGAGTCACAGTCCATGACTATGGTGGCCCTGCTCCAAGAGCCAGAAACCAGCTGCACTGAGGTGGGCTGGGAGTTACCCCGAAACTGCTGGAGCACACACACTTGGAGGTGCATGGACACGGCAGGGTCCCTGGAAACTCTGCGGGCTTGGAGGAGTTTCAAGGGTGCAGAGAGTGCCCGTGTCGCCCTGCCGGACTGCCGGACGCCCTGCCATCGCGCGCAGAGGCCCCAGAACTGCTCAGCCCCGCCCTCCCCACCCCCCTCTGTCCCGACCCTCGTCCGCTCTCTGCGCCTCCAGCCCCACATCGGGCTTGGCTGCCAAGTTGGAAGCCCTCTGCCTCTCCTCGGCGCTTGGGCGGATCAGGCTCCCAGTTTGCAGAATTCGAGGTGCCCTTTGCCCAATTCAGGTCTGCAATTTGGCCGGAGAAAGGGCTGGGAGAGCGCGTGTGTCTGCGCGCGTGTGTGCGCGCATGGGGGCGACTTTCACTACCACTCCAGGGACAGGAAGGGGCCCCCGCGGGAGGAGGACTCGCCCACGGTCCGCCGCCCCTTCGCCGAGCCGGTGCGCCCACCACCCCAGCCAGGGCGCGCGCAGCAAGAGCCCCCTTGGGTGCCCCCACCCAGGTCGCCTACCCCACATCGCAGACGCCGCTTTACGCTTCCGGTCCGTGCTCGCACCTGGGCTTGGGCAGCCCCTACGGACCCACGGGGCGGCGGCGGGGGAACCAGGCTCCAGCAGCCGGGCTGGGACGGCCAGGAAAGCGCACCTCGTGGCAGAGCCCGCGCCTCGCTTGCAGGGCGGAGGGAGGGAGGATCTTGGGGGCGGCGCCCAACACAGCGGGGACCCCAGTTCCAGGGGGAGGCGCTTCCAACATCTCTCCCCAATCTCTTCACCCCCCACCCCACCTCGCAACCGGTTAGAAACTGCGTGCGTCTGACCATCGCCGCTTGGGGACAGGTGCCTGAGGCCCCCCCAATGCCCCCTGCTTGGCTCGGCCGGACCCTGCGGTGTAGATCCCCGACCACTTCCACAGCCCACGCTTCTTCCCCAGGACCCTCGGATGTAGACCCCCCCCCCGCCCCCGTCCCGGCCCCAGGACCCTCCGGTGTAGACCCCGGGTCCCACCGCGCAGCAACTTTACCTCAGGATCAGACTCTGCGGGCTGCTGCTCCGCTAGCCCGGCGGGCGGCCTCCACGGGCGGAGCGCGGCGTCTCCGGAACCCACAGCCCGTGGAGTCCAGCACCGCCCCGCGCGCCGCCCCCGGCCCGGGCCCCGGAGATCCGCACGGCTGCGATGGCGCGGCGCCCCCTCGTGCCCGGCCGCGGGTCGGGAGGCGAGCGGACCCCAGCGCAGGGGCCAGGAGTCCACGGCCATGTCCACTGGGAGCGAGTCCCCGGGGCGCAGGAGCCGCGGATCCGCCAACGCGCCAGGCACACGCGCTCGCACACAGAGTGGCGTGGGGCACAGAGCCCCCTCCCACTCCTCGCAGCAGCCCGCGGGTAAAGGCAGAGGAGGGGCTCCACTTGGCGCTCCCCCAGGGCCCTTGTGGCGGCCACTTGGGGGTCTGGAGACACTGCCAGCCACCAGCAGAGCCAGCTGTGGCGCCCGCGACGCCGAGTGGATCCTGATAACCAGGCGCCCTCGGGAGGGGGATTTCATCTTTCCTTTTACCAGAAGGAAGTGTTCTCGGCAGCTTGAGCCTGAACACCCAGGCCCGGAAAGAGGTTTTTTCTCCATAGAAACACGAATTGAATTTAGAGCCAGAGGGAGGCCTGGCCACCCAGCCGGGAAAGGCCACCTCCCTCAGGAGTGTTTCTGGGCTGTGCCTGTTATCAGTCCTCCTCAGCCCCCCCCCCCCCTCGGAGCGCCTTGCCCAGTGGTCATCTGGCTGCCTGGGGAGCTAGGAGAGATCCTCGTGGGCACAGAAGCCCCTCCACCCAGGAGAAACAGTGTCTGAGACACAAACAAGGTGCCTCACGGAAAGCCCAGCAGTGCCTGGCGCACCGAGTGCCTAGTTGGTACTTTTCTTTCCCAGGTTGGATCTATGTGATTTCTCCACTGGACAGCCTTCCCGTTCTCACCAGGTCCGCCCTGGGTGCCCCCCGCAGCCCCGCACCTTGTCTCAAGTCCCTGGTTGTGACCATGCAGAGCGGACCCAGCCCACCCCCTTTCCCGGGCGCTGGGCCTCTCTGGCACGGTGTCCATGTTCCAACAACCCTGGCTTTTCAGGCAACGAAGCCCTGCAGATCGCCTGTCTGTGCCGTCGCTTCTAGATTGTTTTCTGATCCCTGATTTTCAGTTTGGTTCTTCAAACTCTAGGTGCAGTATATTGCAGCTTGTTCCTGTTCAATTCTGTCTCATTGGTCCTTACTGTCTTGGTGAGCCTGTCAGGTGTTCCAGAATCTTAACCCTATCATGAACCGATAGTGCGTTCTCACCTTGAGCCCTGGGACACACAAATCCGAGTCATCCGTGGAGTCGATGCCTCAGAGAAAGGGAGCCTGGGCCGGGCGGTGCTCTCCTGGGTTTGGGCTTGGTACTGACTAACAATCAGTTGTCTTGGCCCCATGGTCCGTCTCCATCCAGGCTACTCCAGCAACTCACCTTTCCCACTTCGTTTGGGAGGTGTCATGGAGACAGTCAAGGCCTTTCTGAAAGTGAATATTGCCAATCAGGCCTCTGAAATGGTAAGTCCACCAACATTATCCCCTCCCCTCCCCCCAAGACAGCACCTGTGGTCTGTTTCATAGGACTTCTTTGTAGCATTGGACTGATGCTCCCCCTTCCTTTCTGAAGCGGGGGTGTGAGCCGTAGGCCGGCAGGTGCAGATCCGGGGCCGTCACAGAGGTTGTGTGTCCTTGACCCCGTCACTCGCCTCTCTCTGCTCCCATGTCCTAACCTGTGAAACGGGAATCATAGCAGAACCTACCCCACTGTGTTCCTAGTGAAATGAGTCAGTACCGGGAGACACGTGGTCAGAGGGAACAAACCAGGTGCCTTCCGTGGTTATGTTAGGCTTACAAAACTAACGATCTAGAATGTTTCAGGGATGTTGCAACAAAACACTAAACATGTCTGTAAACCAAGGAGCTTTGACATTTTGAGCCCAGATGACCCTTGGAGAGGGGAAGCAGCCCAGCTTCCCACCCAAGGGCTCGGCCTGGTCGTGATGGAGGACGCTGTTGGCATCATGTAACCCTGACCCACAACCAGGGCACAGGCCTAGCGTCTCAGTGATGGGCGAGCCCTGTGTGACGTCCTTTCGAATTGCTCGTCGTCTATACAAGCATTTCTGGTCTCCCCAGGCCCCATATCTCCCTCACCAGGTGTGTCTCACCCCCTTGTTATTTGGGCTGCTGAGCTTCTGGATTTCTTTTTTTTTTATCCTCACCCGAGGACATTTTTCTATTTTTTGTACAGACAGAGAGGGAGGGAGAGAGAGGAAGAGAGAGAGAAACATCGATGTGAAAGGGACACATCGAGTGGCTGCCACCCGCACGACCAACCAGGGCCGGGGACAAACTGCAACCAAGGTACATGCCCTTAGCGGGAACCGAACCCGGGTCTCTCCGGACCGCAGGCCGACGCTCTAACCGCTGAGCCAAACCGGCCAGGGCTGAGGTTCTGGATTTCTGAATGTGTCCCTCCACATTTCTGATCGTTGTTGACCTCACAGGTGGCATCAGTGAGGGGTTAGTGCTGAGGACCTGGCAGCACACGTCCCGGGGTCTCAGCCTGGGTCACAGGGGCAGGGCCGCTTGGGGACCAGGTTGCAGAAGGTTCCCGGCAGACTCTTTGTTGCTTCTTCTAAATGATGTTACATTGTGTCTGTTGTCGCAGCTGCGCGTGCAGCTTCTATTTTAGGGAAGGAGCAACCAATTACAAAATGCTTTCTGTGCAGTGATGCAGGGTCTTTGTTAAAACCAGCAAACTTCTGCCCTGGCCGGTTTGGCTCAGCGGTTGGAGCATCAGCCTGTGGTCCAGAGAGACCCGGGTTTGGTACCCACTAGGGGCACGTACCACAAAAAAGGAAAAAAAAATTATATATGTATATATATATATATACACACACACACACACACACACACACACACACACCATCCTACTATATATATATACTGGCTTTTATCACTTAAAAGGAAATGAACATCTTCAGTGTTTCCCAGGATCCAACATCGTCTTGAAGGTTTGCACAGGTTTCCGTATATGGCTAGTACTTTACCGAAACTACTATTTGACACGTTTTTCTCTATTAGAAAACGCTCGACCTTGAACACCTCGTGGGTCTATCTGGACCCACGGGCTGACCACGCTGACGTGCTGGTCAGCGGTGGGCCTCATGCGGGCACCTATGTGTGTGTCCACTCACCGAGGGCGTGACCCAGGAAGGGGACGGACCTGGTCACCACGCAGGTGTCTAATCGCCTCTTTACCCGTGTTTTCCGAGTCAGTCATTTTCTTCTCAATATCGAACTCTACTTTCATTTCTTGGCTGATTTTCGAAACAAGATGACACATTCCCTCCTTTTTGGTTACAGCTTTGCTGGGGGATCCAGACACCAGGCAGCTCGCCCGGTCCACGTGTGGGCTACGGATTCCCGGGGCGCGTGGCGCTGCGACAGGCCGCAGAGCACTTCACCACCCCATAAAGCAGCCCTGGGCCCTTCACACTGCCCAGCCCCCAGTCCCTGCGCTGACCGACTTCCGTCTGTCTGTCTCCTCTGCGCATGCTGACACTTGGAGGAGGAAGGAAAGGCTTCCTCTCCCCAGGGGGCCACGCTCGTAGGTCCCCTCAGACTGCTCCTGGCTCCTCAGCTCTTCGAACACGAGCTTCCTTCCATTTGTCTCTCTGCTTGGTTCTTGTTTGTTCTTCCTTCTTACTCATGGAAGGAGTCAGTTGCCCTGTCCCTCCAGGTCCCCGCACCGGCTGGCCAACCCTCTGTCCTGCATGTGGGTTCTTCCCCTGGTCACCCCCCCCACCAGCACCTTCCTTCTTTTCTTTTCTGTTTCTTTCTCTTGTGGATTCACAGCCTTTCATGTCTCCAGGCCACTCTGTGGTCCCTCAGATGTCCTGCGATCGCTCCTCATCTGCCTGGCAGCCGCTTTGATGATCAAGCGCTTCCCGTCACAAGGCGGCCGCTCCGTCTGAGCTTTCTCCAGTCTCCTGAAAAGTTCACGACTTTGTGTCCTCTGCCCGCAACTCCCCCGGCCTGCGCCTCTGTTATTCTGTCCCCTCGTCGGGATTTCAGCTCCAAATAGGGAGGCAGTCGCTCAGAGGTAGACACGTTGACCTGGACGGCTGCCAGGCTGCCCACCACCCTCCGCAGAGCAAAGCCGCTCTGGCCCCTCACCTGGCACCTCGCGGGCGCAGGGAGGTCGCACCCTCGCAGGAGGCTGAGCACCCGAGTCTGTGCACGTGGCGCGTCTGTGACTCGGTCCCAGAGGAGACACTTCCAGGTCAGTTCCCATGAAAGGCCCGGCCTGGTGCGTTCTCTCCTGGCTGTTGGCAAGGGGGTGTCACCGCCCCATTCTGTGCCCCCGGACCCGAGGCTCACCTTCTGCGCCAGGCTCCTCCATTTTCCTGACGGCAGCCTGCGCGGTGTGTTCAGAATCCACGTCTCAGTGGGAAACGTCCGTAACCCTCATACTGCTACGATGACCCAGCAGCACAGGGCCTTCCGGAGGGGCCGTTCTCTTCAGCGAATCC